TTTCACGTCGATCGACCTGCTGTTCTTATTCAAGAATTTCTTGGTAAAATGCTTCACCAACCTGCTTTCAATTTCTCGCTGTAAACAAAAAAATCAGCGAGAATCAGTGTCTAAACCTAAGCCTGAAACCTTCCGCCAGTCTTCGTTTGAGAAAATTTACTGTTTAGTTGAGGTTATATTTACTGCTTTTATCCAAGAGAAAACTTCACAGCAAATCAAACAAGCTTGGCCCCTCAAACAATTTATATCTTCATGGCACCAGAGCTTTGTACAGCAATCCGAAGAAACTTGACAAAGGCCTAGGTGTGTTTTTGTTGTTAAAAGCGAGGGAAACCAAAGAAATAGGATTCACTGAAGCTTAAAATTAATAAAATAGAGATGATATCAATTATGAACAAAAAGGTCCAGTATGAATTTTCAAGTATTTTTTGCCAACCCCAAAGTTAGCGCTGTATCACCTAGTCTGAACACGATTCTGGTACGATGTCACCCACAAATGGTAGCATGCCCCACCCACCAACAGATTGCTGCAGGTACATTGATTCGTGTATGTAAACAATTGCCATTTCTGTATGTCTATGATTTAAATACACAGGACTCACAACTTTGCAGAAAGACAGTCAAATTAGACCCTGCAATCATCTGTTCATTATAATCATAATCACCATAGAAGATTCACGATGAAACCATTTGTGATATTCTGTGTCTAGACAGTGGATTTCCACCCCTCTTTGTATGAATCACAAGCAACTTTCGTGTCATTATTGTATTTCGATATGAACTGAAAATCAGTGATCTTTTTCTTAAAGAAGCCCCCGCTGAAATGTTCAATAGAAGTTGAACAGGTCAATCCGTGCTGCTGTGGAGATTGGGTCAGTAGGACCAGCGGCAGTCGTCATTGCTTTTCTTAGGTCATCTGACATTTGGAAAAAGGCTGCACCCGAAGCCTTAGAATGGAATAAATACACCTTCTTAGTCTGAATCTCATTAATTCGAGCATCCGTAATTGGAGTATTTTTAAATGAACAATCAGTTATTTTGAGTTACTTATGAAGCCTCAAAATAACTAAAAAGACATGCTTGGAGGGTTTATATCCACGCTCGTCTGATTGTTTGGAGACTCGCCTCTTGTCCACCAAACAGCAAATGGGTTCCCGCTGGCAACTGGGGTGGCAAATAAAGGGAGGAAAGGAACCGGCCACCCAAACTCATGATGCTAGCCAAGGATGAAAGCCCCCCCCCCTCAAACAAGCACTATCCCTCTACGTAAGGAACTTGGCGTTCCACACTCTTATGTTCTTTTGATTTTTAAATGCCTCTTCTTGAAATGAAAAATGGTAATTTTTTCTGAAGCATTTTTGTGTTAATTAAGTTTGCCTCAGTATATTCACGAATATACACTAACCTGAACAGGGCCCACGCCACGGGTTTTGAAAATTGGGGGAGGGGACTAAAGTTTTTCCCCCTTTTATTGCAGCTTTGAAATTATTATTTGCTGCGCAAAACAGTCGGGGGGCATGGCCCCCAAGCCCCCGGTGGAATGGGCCCTGCTGAAGCAACAAGAGATTGCATTATGCAAATTATTGACTGCATATTTGGCAGACGCGCTGTGTTTTCTCGTGATCCTTAGAGGTTTTCTTCAGTTCGTTTATTGTTTCCAAGGATCTTAATTTTTATATCCCAAAAACTAAGTTTACACACCTTAAATAATTAGCAATTGTCTAATCCATTTTGGTCGATTTTATTTGCAAAATATGAAGTTTCATAAGATCTGTTCTTGGAAGGGAAGACAGGGATGGACCCCCGGTTGCGCTCCATTCTTCACAATGCGAGCGAGGCTGCACAATAAGCACATTGTCTGCTCTTTTCGGAAAGGGAAGCAGTTGTTGATATTTTGCTGATTTAGTGAACTGAAATTGGCCCGCGTTTGTAACTTAGTTTACATTATCGTACGATTTCATTTCATGAACTATTGAATTCTGATTACCCAGCATTTGTAAGCAAGCGATCGAAATTGAATGAAACGGGTAGTAGGAAGTTATCAAATGGTCCGGAAGCAGTGATTTTTTGCTGGTCCGATGGATTGGAGTTGGGATGGCGGTCGCGACTCAGAGGCTTGTGTCGACGGCTTTTTGATCAAAGAGTTTGATGAAAATGGTATGTTTGAAAAACAACATTTCGCACTCTTTTTATTCTCACTTTTATCTGGCCATTATCAGCTAACATGGTAGGCCATGATATGTAGCTTGACCTTCCAGATTGGAGGGGGTGGGGGATCATCCAATTTACCGACGAAGACATAGATCAAGAAGAATTTAGGTGCTATTTGAGACTATTTGACCGTCCAACCAAGTATTTTTTGGACCAACTGTAGGGTTTACCGACCAAATCATGAAGAATTGGGGGTGGCATCACACCCCTTACCACGCCCTTTTGATGTGATTACTCAAATTTGATTGATTACTCCAATGGAAAGATCCGAGTAATAAAGAAGTCACAATGCTTCTTGTCCTGGAACAAAGAACATCATTGTCACAAACCAAACCCCATTTGGTCACAAAACACTTCTTCTTGGCAAACCCCTTCATCATTTTTGACAAAAAAGAAAAGCATGGACTATACATTCTTCTTGAAAATCTCTAACCGACCTTATTCTAAAACCCTACCACATCTTGTCATGAAATACCATAATTTGTCTCAAAATTTAGCCTCTATTTGTTACATATACTTTAATCTTCATCCCACAAATACATTCTTATTCCTTCTTGTTGCACAATTATATTCCTCCTTGTCACAAAATGCCATTCATCTGTGTTACAAATCACTATGTTCTTTGTTGTCACAAATGCTTAATTTTGTTGAATTCATACGTTTTGTGGTGTTAACATGAATAACACAATAGCCATAGGCCCTTTTCCCCTAAGGGGCCGCAACCAATGATTTTTCACATGCCAAAAATTTCAATTTCATATCCTGATAGCAAGTTTAATTTTGATTATCTATCAATCCTACATACCTTTCTAAACAAATCAAATTGCAAACACTGTAATAACCTTAAGTTCATCAAAGGATTACAGAATTACAACAAAAAGTAAGGAAGTGATTATTTAAGTAAGATAGGGTGTTTATGTATGAGCTCTCTAAGTAGGTGAGCAAATAAAGAGACCCCACCCCAAAGTGGGTGTGCAAAAAGGACGTTTTGATTGAAAGTTGTATGACTAGAAGAGTTGAGTTGTATGACCAGAACTGTTCTACAAATTGTACATATGAGTTGAAATAGTGGGCTTTCAATTAAGACCAAAAAATTAAGATAGAACCAGCACGCAAAGGAAAAAATAGAAATGGATTATATATTATATAAAAATAAAGCATTTTATTGTTTCTAACCCATAAAGGGTTTTCAATAATTCTATTGATCACTTCTAATGTCTTGACGAGTTTCTGACCTGTGTAAAGGAAGTTTAAGTGAAGTAATTATGAAAATGTATGCAAATAAATGTTTAAGTCAAACATATCTTCAAGTTTAGTTGCTTTAAATTAATGAAATAGAATAATGAAATGATGGAAGCTCATTTAGTAAGATTTCATGGTTAGCAGTATCAGGGGCTTTGTGGACATCAGTAAATATCTCAAAATGCAATTTATTTTTGTCATTAAAACTCTGTTTGTCATTAAAACTCTGTTTTCTTCTTTAAGCAAACATGCTCATGTTCAGTTTAGGGGCCACTGCAAAACCCAATCTGTATGTTGTACAAAAACTCATATATCTTAATAAATCTATGGAGACATTGACAAATATTTTCTCAAAAAAGGTTACCAGAAAATGCAAGGCAGAGAAGCTCTTTCATTCGATTTAATATATTTTTATCTAGTAATACATATTTTATTCTAAGTAATTAACTAGCCCCTATTTTAAAGAATGGACTTTAGTGGTACAACAGGTAGCAAGCTTGGGTGTGGATTTACCTTCTGATGTCCCATTTTCTATCACCACCAAATGATTTTGCAAAAATGCACAAGGCACCATCTTTCCAATCTTATTATCCTTCGATGGACACAGGCAGTTGTGCTTGTTAAGCATCAGCATTAGCTGATGCAACAGAATAGCATAGATGTCTTGTTGCCAGAATTGTCAGGTAATATGGTGGCACCCCATTGCTGCAACAAACAAGCTTGAAGAATATTGATATGAAATTATGGACTGAATGGACAGGGAAAATGTCTAGCCTAAAATATAGTTTGGTCCAGCGCTACAACATTTTTTCAATGGAAACTATAAGTCTTGTGTGCCAACAGTATTTGAAATCTGAGGCAAAATTTTAGATTATGAGATTTGTAATCTAAAAAGATGATTTCATTTGGTCTAGAGATGTGTTTTTCTTGGACTTATTCAAATGAATTACAACCAACCAGGAAGTTTTGAAATGTCCATTCTGATAAGTTGAAAATCATTGGAACAGGTAATAATTAGGTTTTTGTGAAATTATATTTATATACTGCAAAATTTTGTGAATTTTCAATTGGCCAGTGGCACTGACTGGGCAACCCCGACAGTCATGTGCTTGCGTTTCTTCTTGGCCTATTTTGATATGGGTATATAAATTATAGTAGTATACAAGGAACACCACAATGTGACGAGAACAAACAACAACAAACACACAAATCAGAGATGGTTAATATTTCGCCCCAGCATAAGGGGCCTCATCAGAGCAAAAGTGTACATAAATTAATACATGAAGTGTATATAAATTATGTACTGTATAACCACAAATTTTGTTTGCTTGTACTTATTTTAATTCGAAATTCTCTCTAGCTTCAAAGAAACTAATCTAAATCGCTATTTACAACATATTTACAACATATACCCCCCCCCTGTGTGGGGGGCTTTATCAGGGTGGTATTGCTTTTGATTAAAGTGGGGGGGGGGGGGTTACTTGTGAGAAGTGGCTAAGATTGAAATGGCGTATTGCTAAATAGCAAATCAGGGTCCTGCTTTGGGCAGGTTTCATGACGCAGGTTGTTTTGCCAAGTTTTAATCAAAGCGTAAAAATGTTATCATACTGCTGTCATTTACTTCCTTCTGAACCAACCTTGAGACGGAAATTGAAATATTTTTTAAGAATCAGAAAATATGTTTCAATATAATCAAGAGCTAGAGACGTATTAGAGCTACTGGGATGGTTTGTTTTGCTGTTGAATCTTGAAAGGGTCATATGATTTCACTGCTATTGTACAAGAATCCAAAAATGATATACCATTAATACTGACCATTTAAGTCTTCCAATGCAGGTGCAACATTCCTCAGTCCACAAATTGCTTGAAATATTCAACGATATTTTCCATTCATTTAGCCAAATCTAAGTATTATTTCATCCCCGCTATCAGGCTTGCATCTTTCAAGGTTATCGACATCTTTCATCATTGTTTCCAGTTATCATTCTCCTCTCTATGGTCTTTTCTTTTGCAAGTTATTTATTTGTGTCCAAGACCTTTGAGAATGTTACTTTTTGTAGCGAATTAGACATCATAAAATGGCTAGCGATGTCAGGTGCAATTTCTTTTTATGTTTCTGGTTCAGTGTTGCACAAAGTCGTACTCTTATTTACTGAAATGATCCGAACAACAGAGTTAGCATTAATAAGTGTTAAGAGGGCTTGCAAAATTTGAATTATAATTGAGCTCATAAACTTAAAAAGAACAAAAATGCTAAACCGTGGAATGATCGAAGGGAGAGTCGACATAATCTGCCGATAAAGGTAATAAAGTTGTCTAAGAACTTTTCGCTTTTAGTAAATAGAGGCTTCATCTAGGTCTGTCACATTCTGACCATTTAAATCCACTCGCGACTCTTATTTGACAAACATTTCTGTTGCACCACACCTGTAGAACCTTATCTTTATCGTGCCATTGATGAACTGAAGAGAAATCAGCCATAAATCCAGAATTAAGTCGTGGTAGTAAACTGGTAGTTAGAACACTGAGGTGTGCATGTAGTTTGTGTAACTGCCTCGTATAAACATCTTGCGTTGCTGCCTGGTTTTCTGAGAATGCCAAAATCGTTGAAGGAGCGTAGAAATAGTGGCGGCGCTCGAAAGAAGTCGTGGATTGCGTGGCCGAATGCTAAAAAATCGTATTTGAAGCGAATGCTAAGAGGTAAGGACGAACGCTGTTGCAAATGTTTACAGTTGACAAATTTCTGTCCGTCATATTTGCCTTTAAGGGAGGGATACCATATGTGAGTCTTGTTTTCTGTTAATAAATGAGTGGTTCACGTTTTTAAGCTGTTTTGAAAGTTGCATTAGAATCCTTTTACGCGATATTTTGTCGAGACAAAAAGACAATTTTTCTCTCAGTCTGATAAGCCATAATCCTCACCTGTGGCTAAAAGTCCCTTGTTCCTCAAGGTTCTCATGCTATTTAAATTATGAAAGACGATGGAAATCTTCAATTTCATCGATAACCAGTGTCGGAAGCTTTGTTTAGAAACTTAGTTGTGTCTTTGTTTTGTAAATGTTAGTGTTTTAATTGGTTGCAGACAAGTTTATGGATAACAGAAAGTCCGAATAACTGGTTTAAAAGAAGGGAGCAGTTCTGTATATCCCAAAATTCATTATCGGTTGAACGGAAATAAGACACTTCAACTGTAGTTTGAATGTTTTCTAGCACAGGTTGCTCACGCAGGTCCAATCACTCTGAAATTGGCTTTTATGTTAATAGCTTTTATGTATTTAAACCTTTGCCTATGAAATTGAACTCTTTTATTGAGGGTTTCAAAATATGTCAAACTTGATTATCAATAACGCTGTTGCACCAGCTTCTCACACAGACCTCTTTATCAGCTCTACCCCTTAATTGTCCACCCCACTATTTTGGGGCTTGCGCCGCCCCTGCAGCTGTTTTAAGGTTTGATTTGAGGAAGATAATAATTGGAAGGATACCGTTTGCGTAACTTCAGAAGTTTTAAATCTCCTGTTAAGTTTAGCAGAGCCTTTTTTCGTCAGTTTTTATATTTCGGTAAAAACTGCTTTCTTAACACGCATGCTTTCTGCAAATATTTCTTTTTCCGATGCGACAAAATGTTCCGATTATTTTCGCTTTCGTCATCCCTCTTTCATTCGCCGAGTTTTATTTCTGCCCATATTTGGACTGGTCATTGTGTCGGTGCTACCAATCAGCGGGGACTTTCTCTGATCCGGCGCATGACAGATTGTTCTTTGCAATTTTGTTTTTGTTTTGCAAAAATTTTATGATCAACGATTGTCCTGTTGCCATTCATTGGAACAGCAGGCCAACTAATAAGTTCATCATCAAAATCGGTCTCAAATTCTTGAAAATGTTTTTTGAAACCATCCTGGTGCGAAACTTTCTTTTCCCGCCTTTGAACAGTATCAAAAACATATCACTTCATTATTTTGCAGAAATTTTATCCCGCCTGCCCGAGTTTCCCGGCTACATGCAAACTCGCCAGGAAACTCGGCTAGCCGGGAAACTTGCCTCCGTGTAAATTCTCTAAAAATACTAAAGAATGCTAAAGAATACTAAATCCACATAGATAGCCACGTTGAAATTACTGTTTTACTGTACAGAAAAATGTGAGATCATATTTTTATTATGATATTTCGCTATTGGAAGACGTATACTGCGGGACTTTCACCTTTATCAGAGTAGACAGGTAGAGAACTACCATTTAGTTGAATAGGTAGGCAGCCACAAGCGAAGTCCCCCGTGTAAGTCAAGCGATTAGGTATAAACGCACGAATCTGTTATTTTTCTCGGAAGTTGATGGCCTAATTTTTTATTCTTTGTCGTAGATGAGAGGGATGCAGTACAGAAGAAAGTTTTTAGAAAATGGATCAATAGTCACATCAGAAAGGTACGTAGCTCATTAATTTTCATGAAAGCGCTGTACTTTGATAATCTTTCGCCATGTTTTCGCCTGTTTTAATGTTTGCCATTAATATATTCGAATTGATTTATGTCATTTAGGTGGGCGAGGAAGTCCATGACATTTTCTACGATTTGCAAGATGGAAGGGCTCTTGTTACCTTATTGGAGCTGCTCAGCGGGGAAAAGTTGGTACGTTCTTAGTCCTTCTTTAACTGCCAGACTTTGTCTTCTCAGGTGCTTCATGTTATTTGACTCTTTATCTTTCTGTTTCTGACCTCAATGAATTAATCGATGTTTGGCTTCTGCATTGCAAACGTTTTCTGAATTGCTATTCATCATGTTGATGAACTCCAAACGTTTTGTACTAAAGAATGTGTCAATTCTGCAGATAATTTATTCATTACACCCGTTCCCTCTTTTCAGCTCAAAGAAAAGTCTGGCTTGCGGCTGCATAAGATGCAGAATGTGCAACAATGTCTTAGGCTTTTGGCATCAAGAAAGGTTTGCAAATTTTGGTTTCTTATTTCAAAATACATTCTTTTTGAATGCTGCAGATCTACAATCCTTGACAAAAGTTCTTGGAACACCCTGCGACCAATGAAAGATGTTGAAGAAATAAAGGTTTCCGGCTGTAAGATACAGAAATATCCCCCCTCCCCCCAAAAACAATGTTGGTTGAAAAGCCTATTACTTGTCCTAGCTAATAAACTGACATTGGACGAATTCCAAGCTTTGAAACTGTTGTTATTCAACATTGTTTCAAGGAGGAGAGGGGGTGCTACTGGGGTTATGCGAAATTTTAGCTTGGTTTACCAAGACTTTTGGCAAGGATTGTAGATGGGAGATGAAATTTCTTTAAGGGCTTCAAAGTAACTTGAATTCCACGAAAATCCCAAAATAAAACCAGAAGTATAGATTGTTGTTATTTATTAATTGCACTGAAAGAATTGAAATATTCTTCGTAAAAGCAATATTGTTTTAACTTACTTTAAGAGCCTTTAGTGCGTTTCAAAAAACTGTCGATGTGTATTGACAAGTATTTATTTATTAATTTTTGTTGGCTTAAAATTAAAGTGTCATACTCTTAAAGTAGACTCCGTGTGTTATTCTATTTTGCTTTCTATTTCCTCACGAGGAAGACAGTTCAATGACATTTAAACTTCATTTTTTCTAATTTGGTCCATATTTAATGAATTTGAATCTAAGTAAAATAGCAATAGATTGGAGTTGATTTTTTGGTATCAAACTTTTTTATTTTTCGGGCTGCATTTGTTTTGTACCATATTATCATACCTGTGTAATAAACTATCAGTCATCCAACATACTTTTAAGCAACATACTTTTAAACAGTTCTTATAGATTTCTGTTTCTGTTTAGGTGAAATTTGTCAACATAAGAAGTGACGACATCGTTGATGGAAATCCCAAACTCACTCTTGGCTTGATCTGGATAATTATCCTGCATTTTCAGGTATCCCCTGCTGTTGCCAGACCAACTTTATCAATACCTTTTTCAGCTCGAAGTTGATTATTTTTTTTAGGCCACTCAAACACATTTTCATGAAAAATTTAAACTAAGATTGAGATGCAATGCAAAGTGTTTTTATACAGATTTGCACCTAAAGGTGAAGCAAAATTCAAAACCATCGTTTTAAGGAAGTTTGACTTTTTACTTAGATTTTTCAGTATTTGTTTACATCGAAACAAAAGACCTTTTTGAAGAAGATCTCTTGCTTCTCTCGGAAAAAGTACCCTTCAACATGGCTGGGAGGGGGGGGGGGGAAGGGGTTGGTGCCATTCTTCCCTTCTCATTACTTTTGGTTCGCATCTGGATATAATTTTCCTGCTTCCCTTTGGTCATTCTCTGTGAGTGCCCGACGAAAATTATTTAATTATAAATGTTTCCTCTTTTCTGTGCTAACTTTCTTTATTGTTGCAATTGCACCTGCAAATTTGTGCATAATGAATTTCGTGCCCGCAACCACAAGTCAGTCCTGATCAAACGACAATTACTACTCTCTTTTGAGGACTGTTGCCTCTCTTTTCGTTATTCTTATATTTTCAGCTCTTTATTAGTATAATTTATTTCTCTTGTACAATAATTCCACCTCTTTATTCTCAAAAATCGATTTCTTTAAAGGTTTCCACTGTGAAAGAAATTTTCAAGCAAGAGCAACTCACGCCAAAGGAAGCATTGATAATTTGGTGCAAGGAATTAGCGGATGGGTATGATCAAGTTCTTTTATGAAGATTTTTCTGTCTTTAAATGTTCTTGTTTTCTTCTTTGTTTCCGTTTTTGAAAAGCTGTATACCAGCGCCCTTTCAATCTTAACCTAAGAGTCAATAAAGCATTGTAGAACAGTGGCCTTTGATTTATAAAGACATATATAGCTTTTGTTTATTTATTTGGTTAGGTACCCTGGTGTGCGCATTGAGAACTTCACGACGGCTTGGAAGGACGGTCTTGCCTTTAACGCCGTGGTTCATAGGCACAGGTATATGCGTGATTGGAAACTATGATATTAGCTTTAATATTCTGTTGGATGTAGCTGGATACCGTAATGCCTCGAATAAGCGCCGGGGCGCTTATTTAATTTTTAAGGCTCCAGGGTGGGCGCTTATTCGAGGGGTGGGCGCTTATTTGAGGGGGGCGCTTATTCAATAACTTCACCTCTAGGATGGGCGCTTATTGAGGGGCCCTTATTTGAGGGGGCCCTTATTTGAAGGGGGTGCTTGTTTGAGGCATTATTGTATTGGCAGATGCTTGGCTTCAAGCTCGCAATACTTCTGCAAGATGGATACTTTGCAACGGTATTTTGAAACACTAATGAGCAAGGGCAAACACATAACCAAACTCTTTTAGATTTGCTTGCCCCTCTGTCAATTTCAACTAGGACAAGCTTTTGTCAGCAAGCACCCCAAACAATTTAGATCTTTGTGCTTATCTTGATGTCAATCGGGGAAAGAATCATTTAGTCGCATACAAGTTATTTCCTGCAGGATATATAGTAAGTGACTTCTGCTGCATTCCTTGCAGGCCCGACTTGATCGATTTCACATATGTACGAAACCTGAAGCCAGATGCCAGGATGGATTACCTCTTCAGAGTTGCAGAAAGAGATCTTGGGGTCATTGGGCTGCTTGAGCCGGAAGGTTGCCAATCAAATTACACTGAATACTGTTGTTGTATCATGCTTAGTTTTGTAGATGCCTTTTTGCTTTGCCTTCGTTATTTTGCTCTATCAGTGTGAATCAAGGCCGCCGTTTGCTTTGCTTTGCAGCATCATTGCTGCTGAATAAGAACTTATTTTTCAACTTTTGAAAAATAAATTTATTTGAAAAACAATTTATTGATTTGCTTTGATTTTGAAAAATGATTTTTCAATTTTAAATAGAAGACAAGACAGGAGGACAGTTGAGATAGCTTTTAGAAGTATTTTTAAACCCAGCTTGAAGTGTTGCATTAGATATTTATCAGCTTTTTTAACATCATCTGTTTCTAGACATGCTTGGCGCAGAAGTTGACGAGAAGGCAGTGCTTACCTACGTTTCATCTTTATACCGAGCGCTACCCTCCGTTCCCCCACAAACTCGTATGCAGAGTGAAGAGGTATTTTCTCCGTAAATTTTTGCACGTTGCTATAATGTCCATTTCAGTGTCTCGCCCAATAAGTTTGTTTGTGTTCAAGTTTTGCCAGTTTTGCCAGTTTTACCAATGCTTTTGACAGTTATCGTCTTGATGACGCAATGAAGAAAATCCTCAATCGTTCAAGGTTATCTTGCAATTTTATGTTGGCGTTCATCTTTTCACTGCTGTTCATTTTACAATTAACATGGGCAACAAACAAAATATTGTTGTTGTGAAAGTATTTATGTTGGATGGGATTTGATCCACCATCCTCCTTGTCGTCATCCATTTTAAAGAAATGCCTTTTTTAGAAACGCTTTTCAGATACTCTCCTCAAGAGATTTCAAATATTTCCTTACGTCATCAGGCAACAGTTGCCTAATAACTTCTCATATAGCTCCCTATTAGAAATCAATTCCTGAGATAGCTCCTCATTAGAAATCACCCCTGAAAATCAAGGGCCAAAGAATAAAAGACTTTCTTAGATTCCTGTCGATTATTTTACATTCATTTAAAAAATAACGTAGGTTTTAAGCAAGAATTAGTGCCTACAATGCCTGCCAAAAGTCTTGGAACACTGACATCAATTTCCAAGGTCAAAACCAATCATCCCCCTCTCCCCCACGGAACAATGTTGGTTTACTATCAAACGGATTAGGATTTTAGGAAGCACTTTCTTTTGCGCTTCTTTTATGATATTTCTCTAAATCGTCAACATTGTTTGAGGGGGAAGGGGGCGGAAGTAGCAAATTTTTTTCATGAAAGGAATGAAAGATATCAAATGCAGCGTAAATTGGTGGGTGTTCCAAGTACTTTTGGCAGGCATTGTCTGAATTTCATTTTGAAGCTTATTAGATATTCCACCAAAACCAATATCCTCCTATAGGTTTTTGATGGTGCTGATTCCATTTCTGCCATTTTCAACATCGTACGTGTTACCGATAAGGAGATATGGGGGTATTGTTATTTTTCGGGGGGGGGGGTAAGCTACCCCCATAAAACTAAATGCCATATTTCAATTAAGGTGAAAATTGCTAAAATCAAAATCGATTTCCAATTAGTAGGATCAAGATTGTATTTTGAATCTTTTCAAAGGCTCGTAGCCAGATGGCTGTCTAAGAAATAATGGGATAGATGAAGGAGACAAATATGAGTGGCAGCTAGAAAATAATCTAAAAATGGAAAGGATGCAATTTTATAAAAGTGACATCGATTCCTCTGTTTCATGTTTCTAATTATAGATAAGGTCGTATTTGAGAATTATGTCGGGTAGTTGCTCTCCTTTTATCACGGATTTACAAGTTGTTATTCATATAGGCCCTTGTTGTGCAATTCAGTGCCCAAATGACAAATTTCAGAGTGTTTACCTAAATTGTAGAAAGGAACCCCGTGTTTCCCACATCAGAGTTCCCAACTGATTGATCTACTATTCCATGTTGGTTGGTAAGGGAACTGAAATAAAACTGACATCCACTCGCCTTCCTGCCCTCCTAAATGCTTGGCCCAGAAGCACTACAAAGAAAGCCCTCTTCCCTACTGTTACTGCATTGTCAAAATGGCCTTTAAGTTAGACTCTACCTGCTACTTTTATCTTCATAAAGCGCAAGGCAGATTATTTCATCGTTAATTGATTGCTGTATTTGTTTGCGTGACATTTGCCACAACAAAATATCTTATTTCATCGAATGTAGCGCGCGTCGATGTGAAGGACAAGGCCCCGCAAGGCAACTCTCACCCTCGGAAATGAACGCTTGTAGACCGTTGTGTAGACCGTGGCTGTTTCTTCGCAATTTTCTGACTTGTCAGGGGGAGGTTTGCCCCCAAATTCACCCAAAAGGTGTATAATAATACCCCTCAAAGATAAAATTAACCTTTGTATGAATTCCATGAAGAAAACGGCAAAATATGACGAAAATCCCACGGTCTACACTCAAAAGGAGAATAAGATCTAGAGTACTTCAAATTCAATTCTCAGAAAGTGTAGACCGTTGACACTTTCCTGAATTTCTTCAGTTTTACAACTTGTATCGATCTGAAAACCTACAATATTTTTTATACTAGCCATGCACACCTACTGACGAGGTTTCGTCTACTTTCTTTGAAAAATACGATTTTTATAAACATTTTAAATGTGTAGACCGTGGCTGTAGACCGTTGGTAACCATTGGCAATAGGCATTTTCATACTACATCACGTGCCCATTAGGAAAGGAGCGTTCTTTCAATTCCTAGCATACTTTAACAATGGAAAACGAACAATTATAATTGGCACAAACCATTTTCCAATTATTGGGACAAGGGAAGATAGAAAATAATAGGGAATGGGGTGTCTATGAGCGCTATCATGTTGCCACATGTGAATGCGAAGGAGCATAGCCTAAGCAAATTTATTAAATTCGTAGATGGTTTTGGGAGGGTTATGGTGGATAAAATTGAGCCATTTGAACAGTTTCTCACCAGCATGTTGTTCGCAATTATTTAGATCATGTATGGTTTGTAGACATTCTCATGAATTTTTTTGTTTTTTCATCAATAATTAGACCATAAATGAGGGGACTTTTCAGAAAAAAAAACACTTTTTCAAAGGTACTAAACTGTACTGTTTTTCCTTTGAAAATTGATAAATTTCTTAAACCGATGATCGAATTCTGCACAAAATACTTGTTTTCAATAATGATTTAAATGATATTGACGGAAAAAATCAGTAGAATGTTTTTTGTAACAAATAACAATACTCGGATATCTACTATATCAATCGTTCAGAGTCCCAACCCCCTCCCCCCCTTTTAACTGTGTAAAGAGTGAAAATTTCGAATTTTAATTAGTAGCAGTGAGATCAGCACCATCGAAAACCCTAGGGTAGCACAATGTTTTGATATCGCAGATTGCTGTTTTCGAGAAAATTTTCAGACAATGCCTGCCAAAAGTCTTGGAACACTGACATCAATTTCCAAGGTCAAAACCAATCATCCCCCTCTCCCCCACGGAACAATGTTGGTTTACTATCAAACGGATTAGGATTTTAGGAAGCACTTTCTTTTGCGCTTCTTTTATGATATTTCTCTAAATCGTCAACATTGTTTGAGGGGGAAGGGGGCGGAAGTAGCAAATTTTTTTCATGAAAGGAATGAAAGATATCAAATGCAGCGTAAATTGGTGGGTGTTCCAAGTACTTTTGGCAGGCATTGTAGATATTCAGTTAGCATTTGTCCTTAGATTTTCTTAGATCCAATTGGTTGTGCTTTGTAAAATTGATATCTGTATTTGTATTTGTTTTGAATTTTTAGGAAAGGCAGCAAGCCTACTTCGAGTACTGTACCAAGGCCAAGAAAATCATCACTTGGATCAAGAATATGATTAGCCACGTGAAGAGCCGGGAATTTCCCACCACTCTTTTCGCAATGAAGGTTGGTTTCGATACCTTTTGTGTCCCAGCCTATTCAGTGATGGAATGGTCGCCGTTTCTAGGTGACGTTTGGCAGGAAGAAAGCAAAACCCGATTTTATCATGTTAACAACGAAGCAAATTTGTCTAAAGCATTTGCGAACACCTGGGGGGCGAGGGGAAGCCTGTCGCCCCCAATATTCTGGAGAATCCCGTTTCCCTTTCATCTTGTCTCGTTCATTTCTTTTTTACTTCGTTCTCAACATCTTCCCAACATTTTTCCAACTTCTTGCTTAGAATATTCAGCGTTCAAGCTACTCTCCTTGTCCTACAGCAACCACAATCACTCATATGTATCTCCAAATTGCTTATTTTTCGTGCTTGTTGGTCTTCAGAAGTTATATTTGATACATGGTTTGTAATATTTTTAGAGCCATCACTTTACAGCCAGCAAGAAATACATGCATTCGCGACTTTCCTTGCCTTACCTTAGTATTATTCAGTTCAGAATGTAAAGCGGCATGCCGTGCATCGTTCAACGAGACTTCAAATCACTGGCTGATGAAGAGCTATACTCAAAAATTTGCAATTTTAAGCATTAAACATTCTATTTGTTGATCAATGCTTTGTATCGATTTTGAATTATTTTTCCAATTGTAGGATATTGTTGCCCAGCACAAATTCTTGAAGGTGGAAATAATGCCGAACAAGGACCACGAGAGAAGGAGCCTCAAATACCTTATCCGGGATCTTCAGGTTTCTGCTTCCAGTACATTTCTCATTAGCAAATGGGTGATGTTAATCAAAATGGTTCTGCAATATCCAAAACGTTTAGATGCAATTTCCATCTTCAAAAGAAAAACTACTTCGAGTTTCTCCAGAGATGTCTTATATATTTATGTTTGATTCCTAATATTTTTCAATTCAATTTTATTCGATTAAGACAGTTTTAGAATGATAATACCAAATTAACACTCTTTGTTTTTCTCCGTAGGCAATGTATGACCCAAAAATCAAGTTCCTTGATGTTGCAGAAGGATTGCATCCGAGGGTGGCTGATGAGGTAAGCAGGAAATTAATTGCTGGCATTAAAGCATTCATACCAAGTTTTCTCGTGGTCTCGTTGTCTCATGGTCCGAGTCAGACAAAAATAGAGTTCTATCTAAGTGATAAATCACAAGATTAGTGTGGTAGCGCGGAAAGCGAAATATCAGCAAATGTCTCAAAGAAAAATAAATTTTATACCTCAAGTAGTTTATTATATAGATTGAATAACTTAAGAAACTTGAATTTCTTTAGCGTATCATGTTTAGGCCATCCAACCATTTGATCGAATCTTTTGGACAAAGTTAGACAAGTTTTTTAATGCATTGATTTTTTATACCTGCTCTTCTGATTTTCTGTTTCCGTTATACTTAATTTTCTACAGATAACTTTTGCCATGTGATTAGAAAGTATATATACATGTACATATTTTTAATCGTGTTCTTTCGGACCCTTGTTCTGACGTTTTATGCTCTGAGGAGTGTCAGACGAAAAAGCTTTTAGCCAATCTGTTGTAAAATGTTTGCTTCTTTCAAAGCCATATGAGAAGTTATTATTTTCGTAAGCGTAAACGCAGCATGTTGATTTGCTTCGTATCCACTTACTGACGTCTTCCCAATATCTTATCTTTTGTATTGACTTTGCAGTTATGGGCAGAGTTGTTGATTGCGGTGGAAGAACGCACCAAGGCGTTGAATATCGAACTCTCCAGGTATGCATTCTACTTACTTTGATCGTGCCTCGTATCTCTCTCTTTCAAAGAGAGGCAGATAAAAAGGAAGCCCGTTATAACTAATAATCTTTAAAAAGAATTTAAAATTTGATTTAAACTTCAATAAAGGAAATTAAATTTCGAAAATGGCGGAGAGGAGACGAAACACTCTGCGCTTGAATTGATATGGCATACAATCGCTGTTGTTAATTTGGACGTTTTACTGGTTGAAGGAGCATTTTAGAAGTAAACCAAGGGCAAACTTTATTTGTTTTGGTTGCCTAGTTGCAAAAGCAACTGATTTACTTAGATCTCTTGGTGCATATGAAGTCGACATGTGCACTTTCCTAGGTGTAAATAAAAACAAAACAAGGTTAATTAAGTGCTGCCCCGACGGGTCAATTGATTACAAAAAAGCCGCCCAACCCCCGTCACAATAATTTTTGTTTGAAAGGGAGGCATCTCTGATCCTGTCTTTTTGGTTTGAAGTGTGAATATGTTTGCAAATATCAAACCCGAAAGGGGGCAATTAATTATTGTTTAAAAGCAGACATTTAATTGCCTGTTCAAGTTAAACAAAATTTCAAACGAAATGACAATACAGATAACCAGTGTTTTGGCGGATTACTTCTGTGAAAATGGGACGTGAATTCCGTCTTTGTTCTCGTCCATCGATTGTTTGATGGTGAATAATAGTCTTGTTTCAGCAATTAGCCGCTGTTGTCATAGTAACTTGTGTATGCAAACTGCTAGAAGTTGCTTCAGTCAAATCATAGTTTGGTCAGATGGTTTACAAAGACTTATTTCGAGGCTCATTTACGGCGTTTTATCGCTCAGAATAGCTCGCCACTTATGCGGTAACTTATAAAAATATTTAGTTTCTGGAAGAAATGAACTGCGTCGCTGTTGTTCAAGTACACAAAGCGTGGTGGAATTTTTAGTGTCAGCCTTTGCTAATGTTAAGAGGATTTCACTTGGTTCACGGTTGTACATCTGTTGTCTAATACTCGTGTCGAAATCACCCGCTGTCTTGGAACAACCATAAGAGTCCATCGCTGGCTAGGACTGTGTTGGATTACGAAGATAAATCTTGGCTGGGGATGACCAAGGGTTTGTGTTCCGGAAGCAAAGCGTAAATGAGCGTTTGCTGACTAAACGTTGCCGCGAATCGAAAGAAGCCCAAGCGAGACTTTGTTTGTTTAAGCTCATTTCACTGACTGCGTGCTAGTTATTCTGCATCTGGCCATCCTAACATATGTATTGGTAGAAAACGTACACGGAGAGGAGAAATTTTGGTAGTTTCTTGGAGCTTTAGAGGCCTGAGAGACCTCCTGTTAGGAAGCGCTGTTCAAGTGCGACTTATCTGCGAGAATTTCATAAAGGAACGAAGCAAATCAAAAATTTGCAGGAAGTGGCTAGCTGTGGTTCTTGTGTCTGTCATCAGAAACTGCACAAAATAAGCGACTAGGATTTCTTCTTGATCGTATTTCAGTGTATGCTGTGGGAACTCGAGACGTTGTGCAGATTTGGATTTAAGTTACTTGTGGTTACAATCTTGGTTTGATATTGAAATAAAATTTAATTGGTGGAGTCATATATGTTAACAAGACAGCTTTTTGCTTGCTGAAGAAGAAGTGGAAGTAAAATCGGACAGATTAGTCATGAAGCTAAATGACAAGGGAAAAAATCTTGCTATCGTGTTTGTTGAAAACTTAAAAGTGCTTATAAAAGACATCGTAAGAAAAGAAAAAGCTAGAGATATAGATGGAATCACCAGTGAGGAAATCACTGCTAGTGAAGAAGAGAGCATTTCTGGTGAAAATCTTATTGCAGCCCTCGCAAGCGTCTTTGCTGTAAAACCAGATGTGACTTCTTCTGGGTTCGAATGGAATGGATATGCAGACAAGGATGCGGAAGTAAAAAAAGTGGCAGCAAGTTCACCTTTGCAGAAAGTACCTTCGATCGGATCAAATTCTTGGAAAACCACATCTGAAAATGAGGCAGGTCCTCGTAAGACGAAAGAATCGAAATACCTGCTCACTAATTGCTTCGCAGCAAATTCGCATCAGGAATTTAATGATGTACCAAACAAAGTCTTGACTACAGGTCTAGAAGGGGAACATATGTTTGGTTCACTTCCTAAAGAAGACAATGAAGTTTTTGAAGATTATGAGAATCTGGGATTAATTGATAAAGAAACCGAAAGCGGAAGCCCCGGTGTCAAGACAACTTACAAAATGGCAGAGAACTCATCAAGCTACAAAAAAGACGAGAGTAATAGAAAGAATTTGCGTTACAAGAGCAGTTCGTGTTCTGGAGTTGACAGCTTACAGTTAATGGAGTCAGCAGATTCAGGTGTTTTTGAATGTTTTGCACCTACCTTGGACAGAGTAAGAGATGCAGAGGAAATGCAGAGAAATTTTGACAGAAGCGATTTAGAAACAGACAATGTAATACACAAAGGACGCAACAGTGGGACAAGCATGAAGAAGGGCCACTCCGAAAGTGAAAAACCATGTTGTTCAAATGGAACTTCTGAAACCTTCAGTACTACGAGAGGGTCTCCGAAAAAATTTGACAGCAAAATTCCAAAGCTTATACGTGAAAAAAGAACAGACAGTAGGGGAATTCACAAGGAAAGCAGTTGGGTGAGATCATTGCGGGAGAGCATTTTGAAGTTTAAAGAGTACGATATTGGCATGCCCAATAAATGCAAAGACACCTCATTTGATGGCAGGAGGTATGAGAGGTGCAGCAGTGTTGATCGATCATTTGGAAATCTAGAGACGATATCTGAAAAATGCAGAGGCGGTAGAATCAAGTCAGCGAGAAGCATGGTGAATTTGAGTCGAATCTCTCCGCGGCTGGATAATCCAACTCTGTTTTGGAAGCACAGGACATCTTTAGAGCGAAGTTATTCAAAATACATGGAGGATGAAAAACAAGTTGTGAAAGATTTGAAATTTGACATCGAGTATGCGGAGGCAAACAGACAAGCATCGCGTCGTTTAAAAAATAGGATGCGAACAGGGTCTTTGTCGGTGATGGATGAATGTCTTGAGGAGAATGAGCTTATCAACGAGATTGCGAAAGATTTACGACGCGAGGCTCAGAGGCGAAAGTCTCTCGTAAAAACCGAGGAAAACTTCTGTCATGATGAGAGTTTAAACACATGTAGTACAAGATTAACGTCATTTGAAAGTTCATTTAAACAAAGGCATAATAAGCCATCTAGGATTCCGATTTATGAAGGGTACAAACACATCTAAACATTTTAGGAAGATACGCACGCTTTACAGATTTTGGGGTATTTTTTTGGTTTGAAGAACGAGTGACGTTGTTTTCAACTTTACTTATCGGAATCAATTTGTAACGTAGTATCTTTAACGTGTTAAGTCGTGTATTTCCTATTTCACAACTTATGTTATCATCTTTTTTAAATGATTGGTACAAAGATGAATGTCTTGTTTATCTTGCCTTTTTGTGTTTTGACTGAAACTATGAGTGAAGGCCTAATTAAAATATCACTTGAACTGAAAGGCGCTAAGGAAGAGTTTGAAACGTTTGGTGAAACATCAATCCATTAGCGTCATATTTTGTACGCTGCTCAGCTAGCTGTTTGATAATTCAGGACAGGCATGAGTCGAGATGCAGAAAGTTTAGCCTCTAGCCGTGTCGTAATATTTAGAGGTCTACTTGAATAGCCGCCCAGTGGCGAAAAAGTAATTATTTATTCTAGAATAGAGATGACAATTTGCTTAATATAACTACAGCCTCATACTCTAGGTTTCTGTTTACAATATCAACGCATAAATGTATATTGTTGGAGCAATCGAGTCCTGGGTATGGGGTGGTTCCCAGTCTTTCTCCTGTCACCACTGCGTTGACATGTCTTTCGTGATAAATCGCTTCGGCACATGTCCTCAAGGGTTAGTTAGTTGGCTATTGTGGCTGAGTGTGTAGTAAGCACGTTTTTGTTACGAAAATCACAAACATCATCTCACAAATTGATTTTCTCTTTGCTCCGACCTAGACTTTACAGCATATATGTTTGTGCCACAAAATGAAATATCGGGGATTTTCATACTAAGATGTTCGATGATGATTTGCCGTTCTGGCTTAGACTCCATTGCAAGGAAACGCCTTACCGTTATGTAATTGTTAATGCAGAGGAGCACATGTTTTATTTTCTTGTTACATTCTATGTCCCATTTTCGTCAGGTTGGAGCACCTGCAAAAGATTGCCGAGAAAACAGAGAAAGAGGTAATTCAATGTACATCCGTTTTTTATGAGTTTTCGTGAAAATGTTGTATATTTTGTGCTTGTTGCTATCTAGAAATAACCACAGGCTACCATATTGCGTCCAGTTATTTTTACTTGCAACGGTAAAGGTTGAAGTCAAGCAGAAGTATATGACAGGATTCTGTCTTCTATTTTGTTAAGTTCTGAAGCAGATTCTTTTCAATCGGTAAAAAAACTTTGCTTTTCAAGTGCCTTTACCGCAGGCTGAGTTTAGTTTAGTTATCAATTTAAGATTGAACCATGCGTTTTCAAGTTGGGAATGATTTTGAAAATATTTGAAACTATTTGACTTTTTACAGGCTGCTGCTTTAGAAAAGGCTCTGGACAAAATTGACGAAGAGGCTAATTCGGTGAGAAACCTTTGTCTGCAATGTCTGCAATGCGATGAGAGAATTTATGGTTCCTTACATTGACATTTGGATTTGTTTCTGATTTACGTTCGGGCACCGTTATTGATGTTTTTAAAACCATTTTGATACTAGCAAAAATGAGCAAAGAGCAGAAGAAAAAAGTTCTTGTTTAGATCGACACGTATTTAGATTTACTGTCAGACAAGGATGCGGAAGTAAAAAAGATGGCAGCAAGTTTACCTTTGCAGAAATTACCTTCGATCGGATCAAATTCTTAGAAAACCACAACTGAAAATGAGGCAGGTCCCCGTAAGACGAGAGAATCGAAATACCTGCTCACTGATGGCCCTGCAGCAAATTCGCATCAGGAATTTAATGATGACTCCATTATAGATAGACTGACAGGTCTACTGAAACAGATAAAGAGCTACTGACAAAAGTTTTGCGCTGGATAGTTCGTTCTTGATCTAAAAGTAAATCAATAAATCTCATATTTCTTCAGATCGAAGTAAAAGCAGACGAGCTGGGGTCTGGTGAAGTGCGAAGACGACATATACAACTAGACAAGGCGCTTATGGTATGGTTTTTACGTGTATCTCGGTTGGTTGAAGACGAGTTGACAATTGAAGACTAGATAACAACCGTAGTGCTTAGGACCCAATTGCTAAGATAATTAAGAATCTTTATTAAGTATAAGATTACATTAATAGCAAGCCATAAGCTCAACGAAAATGCTTTACTAGTCTAGAAGGCCAAAAACATATTCATTTCTTTCTATTAGTTGGCTTTATTTCAGCAAAAAATGGTAGCACTTGAAATCGTTTCTACGTTTCTCCTTGAGTTATCCCTTGCACATAATTCTTTCTAGGTTTTTGAACCAACGGTGAAAACCCTTATTGCTAATGTCGAGATTTTGCTCAGTGGAAAGCACGACGAGGCAGAGGAAATTCAAGTCAGGTTTGTCTTTTCAGCGTTTGCCTTCTTTGGAGACTGCAATTTGTTTTAGCTGTTGTGTTTTAGACATTGTTAAAGCTAAAATAGCTGGTTTGGCGTGATTTACAAGGAAACTGTAGTCACTGAAGGCAGCAGAATCCTCTGATGAGTGCTTGATACTCTAATGACTTGGATATACGAAAGATTCAGTGAAGGGAATGTTTTATTTTGCAGAGTGAAGAACATAGCGAGCCGCTGGCAATTGCTGAAGCTGCGTATCACAACCATTATTGAGAAGGAGACAACAATGGAACTTAAAAGGACGTCGAGGATGAGCGGGCACCAGATCCAAGTTACAAGAGACACGACTGTCTCCGATGAACCGTTTGACTCTCAAATCGAAATTGAACCAGGTGTTATGCTTGATGCTGCCGACCTTGAAGGATACAACGTGCAGTACAAGACAACGAAAACAGTGGTGACCGTGCGTAGCAATGTCACTGAGGAGGAGATAGAAGAAACAGAGCGTGTTCGCAAGGTGGAGTCTGAAATGACCGAAGATGAAATAGCTGTTTTCACAGAGGCTGGGTTGGAGCAGGGCGCAGGCGTGTTGCAGGAGAAGAAAGGAAAATCAAAGGTGCATTTTCTGGACCATGCTTACGAAATTTCATACATAAATTTTTAGGATAGATTTTTTATTGAGGACGATATAGATGTGATTTCTTATGAAACTTTACCTGGTTTTCCGTCTGGCGTAAGATGGAGACTTGTTCCTTATACAAAAAAAACACGCCTGACTGAAATGGAGGGAAACATTTTTTCAGACCCTTTGCGTTTCTCAGTCTTATAAAAGGAGTTTGAAATCCCTCTACAAGAAGATTTCAACTCTTCTCAATCATACATGTTGCAACTTGACGCATAGTTGAGCCTGATATTAAAGTCATTTGATACGGATTCTCAAAGAGTGCTTGATGAATGCCATAACTGCGTGACTGTGTGTGAACCATAAAAGGCCATTCTTTTTTGACATCGATATTTTCGGGAACTGTGTGATTTTTTAATGTATGGTTTGCTCTTTACTAATCAAGCGTGTAAAATAAATTCGCATAACGAATAACGCCAAACGTTTGCCATAAAACGCAGTACATCTTATACTTGTTTCTGTCATGCTAAATCGAAAACCAGGGGTGATATGGATAAATTGTTTTTTGGGAAAAATTGATTCTAATCTTAATAAATATATTGAATAAATCATATTAAAAGTGAATAGATTTTGTTTTTCTTTCGCCCTTTCTCGCCCATTCAGTTAACAAATTATTTAAACAAACGATTGACTTAATGTTTAAAAGTAACATTTAACCTAATGACAATCTAAAGTGTTAATTATCATATGATGGAGTAATGTCACTTGATAGTGTGAACCTTCTGTTGAAACCAATTTTAAACAACTCAAATTGTGTGCAATAATAAATTTTAGCGCAGATCGACGTTATTGGAACGCATCACTTATTTTTACTGACCCAAGATATGTGAAATGTTTTTCGATTTGTGAATCTTGAGAGTGATTAAAAATTCACGTTGGTTGTGTTGATAGTGCGATTTTGGGCGGTGATTCACCGTTAGCCGCATTAGCCTCTTTATGTTTTCTTTGATTGATTTATTACGTAATTGCTCACGGTAAAGAATCGATTCACTTAGCCAACCCAGTTTATTCCGCTTCCAAGGAATTTCAAAAGAGAGTTTGCCAAAAAGATAATGCGAGTTGGGAAATGTGGTTGCCAAATGCCCTATGGATCATGATAGTAGACGCTCATTTGCCTGCTACCCCCCTCCACTATCCCCCCCTCTCCTAAAGTCTTGGTGTCTTATTTTGACACCCCCATGCATCAAAATTACTGTACAGATAATCGACACACAACAATCACAATATTTAACAGTTCTGGCGACAACACTCAAATTGAAGTGGATGATTGATATAACGAATCCCAGTTGTTTAGTTACTGATAATAACCACTGCGTCCATAGGAGGCTGAAAGTGTGATTGGCGATGCAGGCCCGGGCGAGGCTGGCTCGTCCGAAAGCACACCCGCCTCGCCGGCCGAGCACGCAAGCTCACCCAGTGCGCAGGACGAGTCCATGAGCGAGGCAATGAGTGAAGCAATGAGCGAAACAAGTAGTACAATGGAGGATCCTGAGCGACGCAGACGTTCAAGAAAACGACGCAGCAGGGTAAAGTTGCCCGGCATCTTTGCATGCACCAGGAAGACAGGCTCTGTTATTTCAAGTTCGAGTGATGAGGAGGATAATAGGCCTGTCAAAATGAAACCTGGCCAAACTGGAGACCAATTTTCGAGTGCAAAATTTCAGGAGATAGAAATTACTTTGTCATGGATTGCATCGAGAAAGGTATGTTAAACCTTTCGTGAAATATATATTTCATTTTAAGGACTTGTTGTCAATGTTTCTTCACTTTATAGAAGTGGATGAGCTGAAGTAAGGATTTTCAGCGAATATCTAGATGGCTACCCATTACATTCTGTTTTGCAATATTGTTTCATGTTTCATAATTGTGAATATAAATATTTCAAGAAAAATATTCTATTAAATTTCCAGTATGACTGACTACTAAGGGTTTCAAATCAGGACTGCCATGTTTTTAATTTGCACAATTAAGGCATTTGTTTACGGTTTGTTTTGAGCAGGTATTTGCTATGCAGAAGGTGAAATAGCAGAACATGCTGCTTCTCACTGAAAGAAGTTTGGCTATCGTTGCCCAACTATCAATATTGATTTTTAAAAATATTGAATTTGGGCTAATGGACAACACAAATGTTGTAATGAAAATATTATTATAAAAACTACAAACTTGCAGTCATAAGATGTTTTTGCTGGGATAATTCTTTAATAGCGTAGGCTTAGTTAAAAACAACCTGCTATGAGTGATAAGACAGGTTGACATTGATAAATTGGACTGAATTGCTTGATGTGAATAGACTCTTGGTCTTTGAAATGTGATCGCTTTGTATTTGATCGCTTCGTAATGGATCGCGTCGTCATGTAAAGATATACCTGGATCAAAACCAGGACCTTTGTCTCTCTTTGACACCAGAATTTAATCACAACTGATAGTCATTCAATCCAAGTTATCACTTATCATCTTTTATTTAACCAGTCGTCTTTCTCTAATGCAGGGGGGCACTAGATTTGAGCTTTGGTTGCACTATTTCGCACCTCAACCTGGCAAAAGAAATTGTGATTCTAATTGTATTATTATCATACAAAACAGAACCATGTTGTGTGTGAAATCATACACATCCATGCATAAACTGGACATCGCTGCTAATTTTCGCGCCAAATGGTTGTTGTTGCTGTAATTTGTTTCATAGTGAGATTGTTGGCAATATGTTTCCCAGCAGTATTGTTTGTGCAATGGATCAAGATGCTGGTCGTTAGAGATCAATTCAATCCTACAGATCAATTTTAGCAATTTTCCAATCCTTTCCTAGCAACACCTGCCACTCGCTTAATTGCAGCAAGCGTCAAAAGTCGGTTGCTGTCTCCTTTCCCTAACTTCTTACCTCCCAAAAACATTTTACACAGAGACCTAGTGAACCCCCCGCAAGTTGTAAAGGCTGTCTTGAGCCCGAACATAATAACTTCTTTTTTTATAGTTTTATTCACTGTAAGCGTTTCGCTAAAATACAAAAAGCTAATAAACAGAGAACTGAATAAATTAAATGAAAACTTTAACAATTAAAAAGTATTGTAATTTCATCAACAACCGATCTTTCTGTAGCTTGTGAATTTTCTTCTATTTAAAGGTAACAATTTTGCTCAAAATAGCTGGTTTGCGTTAGGCCTCTTGTTGCAGAAGGGAGGCCTCTCTAAAACAATGGTTTTGCTTCAGTTGACATCGCTTTGTAGCTGACAACTCGCCCCAGACCCTACTACTGCATCTCGTATAGCTTTACATCACAGCTCTGTTAGATGAATCCAACAGATATTTAGACCTATGTTGTTAGCTTTCCTTGCTCTTGCTTTTTCAGTTCATAAAACCATTCATTCGAATGATCCATTTTCAATGTCTGTATAATTTTTATTCGAAGGCGATTTTGGATAAGAACGAATTTGGTTTTGATTTACCAACAAACGAAAGACTTTTGGAAGAAAACGACCAGCTTCATAAAGAGATTCACCAGTTTCAAAGCGAGGTTGATAAAACCTGCAGCCTTCAGGTATTTTGTAGTTTTTTCTTCTATTTTTGTCATTTTAGCTTTTTCCTTTTGTATTCTTCATTTTTTAGTTTTTTCCTTTTGTATTTGTCATTTTGTAGTTTTTAATGTTAATTTTGGAAGACAATTCCTGGCTTACATCTGAATTATATGCTTACTTCTTACGTTTGAAAACCGTCGCATGTTTTGTATTTATTTCTGCTCTCAGCCCAAACATAGCATTTACGTAACACCCCATTACCTATTTCCATAAAGCAATCAAAATCAATCAATAAATGTCTTGCTGTTTCAATGAATCTATTCTCCTTAGATCAATGAATCTGTTCTCTCTAGATCAATGAATCTGTTCTCTTTACGTCAATAAATCTGTTATCTTTAAATCAATGAATCTGTTTTCTTTAGATCAATGAATCTGTTCTCTTTAGATTAATGAATCTGTTCTCTTTAGATCAATGAATCTGTTCTCTTTAGATTAATGAATCTGTTCTCTTTAGATGAATGATCCTCCACCAGAAATCATCGTCAAGATTGAGGAAGTTCGAGCTTCATATGCGAAGCTTATGGTAATATTTGTAATCCTTTACCAGGCCTCCTGTGTTATCTGCAAATGAAATGTTTTAACAAAAGCTATAAATGGCTTTGAAAAAGCAAACATTTAGTAAACTGAAGCTTTTCGTCTGACACTCTTCAGAGTTTAAAACGTCAGAACATAGATCAAGACTCAACGCTAGGAAATATATATACCCAGTTGTGGATCGAAATAGGCCAATCAGAAACACGAGCACATGACTGTTGAGGTTGACCAATCAGTGCCGCTTGCCTATTGAGAATGTTACCAATGGAGTCCTAAGGTGAAAGCGAACTCCTTTTGACTACACAGTAGCTGTATTTTCGTGCTTTTTGCTTCTTGTAGGATCTTTGCAGCCTTAATTATCGTACCTAAATGTATATCCTGGTTTGTCTTGTTCTAGAGTATGTGTGGTTTGGTATATGTGTTCTATAGTATCTGTTATCGTATAATCTTAGTTAATGGATTTATTTTCAAGCTCTCGAATGCCAATTTTCAAACGCTACAACGCTCTCACGATTCCCTTGAAGCGCGCTCTTTGCCAGCCTCTCACTTTTAAATTATTTCTGAAGAACGTTCAACCACAGGGATCCAATATGGCAGAAGAGGTTAAGTTTGAGCCTCTGGTACTAATATTTTACGTTTTAATGAGTAGGGATTGCATTTACTGTGTTAATGACATGGAACAATGTGAGTTCAAGGTGCTTCAAGGCTTATAACAACGTTGTGGCACAATATTGATAAGTTTAGCTGTTGGTCCTATAAAAACTAAAGTCAATAATCCTTTATTTTGCAGGATTTGTGCATTAAGCGAAAGCGAAACCTGACATTCTTGGTTCATTTTATGAAAGAAGCCACCAACGAACTGCTCTGGATGAGCCAGAAGGAGGAAACCGAAGTATCACGTGACTGGTCTGATAAAAGCCTCGACCTGGTGGAAATCGACCAATACAGAAAGGTCTCCTTGAATTCGCAATTTTTCTTTTAACCTTTTTAACCTTTCATTAAATGACCTATGTTGAATGGTAATCTGTAGAATCGGCGACAACCATTTCCAAAACTTCTTCATTATCCAAAAAGTCAAGACGAGCCCCATTGTTTTTATCAGCTTTGACGGGCAACTGCAGCAGCGAATTTTCATCGTTGTCAGCCATTTTAAAAAGATCTCTGTTTGGCGATAGTTGTAACATATTTTCTGAAAGTGTTCATTATAATCATGAGGATTATTGTTAGGTTCATTATGGTTTTGATTGAATCAACAGGAATGGGACGATGAATTCAAGGAGCATAAAGCGAATTACAACGCGATTACACAGAAAGGGAACGACTTGATGAACGACCAGCACCCTGGATCTGCAGCCATTGCGGTTGGGACTCTTTTTTTAATGGTTTACATTGCATTAACCCTGGCTTCCGTGTGAACTAGCTTTCTGTTCCCATACTTATTGCTCCAGCAAGTAGGAGGTTTTCAAGGACAGGATGATATGAGAACAATATAAAAATAAGGACTTACGATCGTACCTGAAGATTAGGCAATCGTACGTGAAAATATAATAACAAGTTTGACTTCGTATGGTATAACTACCAAAAAAGAAAGCTGCAATACAATCTAGGATAAAGGCATGGGAAAATACCCAACTTAATACAATTTTCATCCCCGCACACTTTTCTTCAGCCTAATTTCGAACTGTAGTAAGCAAATCGCCTGAAACAATTGCGCAGACTGGTATCTTGAAAAAGCAAAGCCAAGGACCCCTACGGCTCGATACTTCGAATACAAAGACTTGTTGCAAACTTGTATGTTAATTTTTTCAAAGTTTTCAGAAAAGTCTTACTAATAATATTTGTCCGTACGTACGCAGTTTTTTTCGTCCTGCGTACGACATCTTACTTCTTCCGAAAATTTTTTTTGAGCCCTAGGTATTTGGCAGTTTGTTCACCATGTCTCAATGGAATCTCTAGGTTCAACATAGTATCAATTTGATGTTTAAATTGGCATAAAATCTGCACAATAAACTTTGAAGAAGTAAACGATTTTGTTTTTCCAACCATTTTAGGCCTACATCGAGGTTATGTCAACGCAATGGAATTGGTTGCTACAACTGCGAATTGCCCTGGACAAGCACATGGAGCACACCCAAGTTTATGTGCAGGTTCGTTTAAATCCATTGGAGCACATGAAAAGTTCATAATTTTTGGCTTTTTCGTTTTATTGCAAAATATCCTATAAAAGATTTGAAGCTAGCCACTTTGATAAAAAATTGTTTTTTAGTTTTATCACAGTGCACATGAAATAGAAAAATGGCTGACCGTCAGAGTTAACTTGCTGACATCAATGTTCGAAGGACTGCAGGTTACAAACGAGTCGGTTCTGAACGAGCTTATAGGAAAAATGAAGGTATGTTATTCAGATTGGTTGTTAATGTGAAATGCATGCAGCATAAAGTCGAACTAAGCTGTGACTACTGGCAAGGAAATTCTACTTTGTCAATGATTAGAATCAGAAAGATTTGATTATATTTTCATAGTAAGATTTCAATTTTGTTAATGTTTATTGTCATTGACTATGATTTCAATGTTTGGTAGCAAATCAGGATTTTTAAGAGGTTTTCATTAAATATCTTTAGCTGCCTTTGGATCATGATCAATTAGTTTTTCATTTTCCATCGACGTGATATTCAAGGAGAACGGCTTATTTTGTGAGAGAGACCTGACCTGTTCCTCACAATGCACAGTTATCGTTAAGACTGTTGTATGGCAGTGTCAAGGTTTCCAGCCTGTTGCTATATACTGCTACACGTAAACTCCAATTGTTTTATTCTGGTTTGTAATATTCTTGTGAAGATGGACTTAAGGTCACCTTTGAAAAGTTTCGTGCCTGTCTCTATTATGATTTCATAATAGAGATTTGGTTGGGGGAGTCTGGGATATGAAGAAACGGTAGAAAGGCGTGGCCTGTACCCATGTAACACTGTTTCATCTTTCGTACTAGGGTAAATATCATTGTTGTTTTGTGTTACCCAAATCTGGGTTTTCGTTGGGACCAAAGCACAAAGACGGATCCTAAACGCTTGTACTCCATTGTCAATAGATTCGTTTATTTTGTTCCGATTATCTTGAAAATTAAAACTGTTAAGGGCTATAGAATTGAAGAGCTTTAGGTACTCCAGATGCCCTTCTTGGAGAAATTATTTGATGGTAGTTTGTTTTCTTCGCTTTCTAACCTTTAAGAGGCTCATAGGCCTTCTTTGATGTAGATTATTTGGTACAACTTCAGACATTTCAAAGGAGAATAAATGAATGAAAGGAGAAGCATTATCGATAAAACAATCTCGATAGGAATGAAGTCGGTATAGATTTAAGGTTTGTCATAAGAATGAAAGTTTGCTAAAGACGCAAGGGTTGACTTGGATTGACAAGTTTTGGAGACGCAGACTCCAAACAGCACGGAAGATAAAAACACAACGGAGGTTTCTTTTAGACGGTCATTTTATTCCTGTCCAAAGTCTCGTTTCGACACTGGGATGTTCTCATTGGTCAATTCTCATCACCGGCCGGGTCATCAATGACTAATTTTTTACAATAGCCTTGGTTGTTATTTAACGATTTTAAGGACACACGTTCATCTATGATTGGGTGGCAATATTTTTCAACGGTTGGAAATTGAAGGAGCAGCACTTTCAAGCATTTCCATTGAAAGGTCTTACAGCCTACCATTGCAATTCCGACAAAAATTCCTACAATCCTTAAAACAGGAAAACCGTGTCTTCAATAACGCTCTATAGAATGTTTTATCTTTTTTTGCTGAAGGACTTATCTTGCACTATTGCAGGTTGCACTTTCCTCGACATTTTTATCAATTTCTAGACAACTATTGATATTATTTATTAAATCTCAAAGTCAAATGATTTTCTTTTGATGATCAAGAGAGGAGTAATTGCTTTATTGCATTTTTCAACAGTCAAATATTCAGCCTGGCAACATTAATAACCTATTCACTAGATATAGGCAAAGTCTCGAAACACGAAACCCAAATTTTGAGCACCTTTGACCAAATCAAGAAGCTTTTGCTTCCTTCAAACATGCGACCGCCAGATTCTTAAATGAAGTTTACAACATAAAAAAGGACGCAGGTCCACGGAAAGAGCCTTGTGGTAGCCCAGTGTAGATAGATTCCTCTTGGGGATTTTCCATTTAACGACGCTCTTTCGGTTAATTAGTGAATTCAGAATTTTCTCACTTCTTGATGTTTTTTGGCAGTATTTTAATTAGAGTGCAATGTACCTTGAATGAAGACCTGCAGAAAACTGCTTTCATTACGCAGGCTGCCAAATGCCTAATTAGTAAGGCTTCAGGACGCTTTCTCATATTGAACCAAGTTTTAACAGCCAAATCTTTGAAAGAATCCACCGATTTGTCTTTAGCTTTTTAAAGAGGAAAAGAGGCTTGAGGATTAAAGATAGTTCTGGTTAGAATTTTAATAGTGTTTTTGAGACTGAGCTCTTCGAAGCACATTCTTTGGCACTGACATGTTGATTCGGTGGCTGAGAGAAGCTTGACAAGCTGATAAAATTAAGAAGAAGAAAATAAGATTTTCCAAGGGTTTGCCACCGTGAAACCAGATATCAGTCTTGAATGGATAAAATAATGAAAAGCGATTTAGTGTTGTCTGTTACTGTGTCTCGTTTCTAGGTTGACGTCATCGGCGATAATTCGAGCCTTGTTGTAAGCAGACGCAAGATTTCTAACCATTATGTCATCAGGCCGGGGGTTTGCCCTTTCACTCAATAGCAAGAAGTGGTTTAGAAAACTTTCGAGTGATTTTATACCGCTAAAAATGCGCTAACCTGCTCTTATAATTTTTCAATCGTTCAATTTTTGCAGAGTCTCAATATATTTGAATTTGTTTATTTTGAGCCTAAGATTATAAGGTGTAATCGGATTGCACTATAGTGTTAATGACTCCAAGGCCAGATACGTCTATTTCAAGGCATATAGCATGAAATACCGATTTATTTTGCTTTCAAAAAACTCAAATAAACAAACCATTTCATTATTGACAAAGCTTCAGCTTTGCACTATTCTTAGATTATTCTTGAATTTCAGTGATTTTTAGACTCGGTATTCTTATAGATAAATATTCTTATAACAAACAAGTTTCTTATGATAAAAATGTGTGAAGGCCCTGTCTCAGAGACACAGTGAAATGCAATACTTACTGTAAGTCATTTCTGCTCGCTGTTTGGTATTCCGCTCGAGAAGTTCAATCAAGAAAATTAATTGCATTCGTGGTTTTTTGGAATAGGTTATTCTAAAAGCAGTTAACGAGCAGATTGGGGTTTATTCATGACGGGCTTTTTCATTGGCCTAGTAGAGTTCAATCCTCACTCCGTAACATGAACCGAACAATTACTTGGTCTCAAATGAAACATTGTAATTTTTGCGTCGACCTTTTAACTTAATCCCCGATATCCCTGATTCAGAACTGGGCGATTACATTTCAATAGTGTTCGCTTTTGTTTTTCGCGTGGTAATCTAAAATCGAACTACATAAAGAGGTAATTTAAGTAACTGCGGGTGTCTATCAGCTTTGCCCGAACTCATGAATTATTTACAAGCTTGCGATTGATAAGGCTCTTTGGATATTATCTTTGAGAAACAAAGCCTTTGTTGTCTTGAAAGCTGATTAAAAGCGACCAGATTTGCATATGTGAACTTCCACTGGACCAAACAGTTTCATCAACCTTTCGAGCAAATTTAGGCCCTACGACGATAAATATTTGCAATATCGTTAGAAACGTGAGCCTAAATGCGGACAAAGGCTGGAGGCTGCGAGCCGTGTTTCAAGAAAATGATGCTGACTACGGGCATGCACTGTTTACCACGTGAAGCTCAGTCAAATGGAATGAAAACTGCTTGCCGAATTGCTTAGAATCTTTTGGATTTATTTTTAAATCAAATAATATTGCGGAATAGAGCTTTTGCATAGTACCTGTGACAAATCAGCAATGTTTACAAAATTGGTTACATTTTATATCTGACAATTCAACAAACAAACCGTGTCTTCAACAAACCGTGATTCAGTTTCTGTGTTTACGTTGAATTATGGCTGGAAATGATAACATGATTGCCGCTTCTGTTGGCGTTTTCGGTATCGTTGGACTGTTGCTTCTTTTCCTGGTTCAACGATCGAAAAGAAAGCGAAAGCGGAAAACTTCTGTTGTTGTAGCAAGCCACGTGGAAGGAGAACATGCTAGGCCCTCTCAAGAGGAAAAAGTTTTCCCACACCAGAAGCTGTCAAACGAAAGAATTATTTATAATTATTTAGAATCGAATTATTGGAGCAAAGCTGACATGCACAAACGTATATTAATTCCAGACGACATAACACAAAAGCATTTTAAAAATGTAAACAGAATCACTCGGACAACGCCCCCAATTCTTGTCATCTACTCAGCACGAAGCGTCTGGGAACTTGGCTTGAGCGAGCGCGCCGAAAGTGGCCTGAAAGAAAACTTCTCTTTTGTCATGCGGGGTCCTGAAGCTCCTTCGCAAAGAAAGCGAAGGAAAAAAATTGAATACGTGCTAAATGATATGATTCAGTTTAGAAAGGTATATGATACTGAAGTTTTGGTGGAATATAGATGTCTGCCACTTGTTGTTTGTGTCCATGCCATACCAGTGCAGTTCTATGATGTTATTCTTTGTAATCATCGCACGCAATCTTAGTATGTATTGCACCGATATCTTTCTTGGAAATCGCAGACAATATTTCAGTTTTACAAGTTTTTGTCCTTCCCTACACTGCCGCTGCTCATCGGCCTCTCTTTAGAGGACAGCCGCAACATTGCCCATACACCAATCAAAATTACGGCCTCGTTTTGGGAATTTCTCCAAACTTCATACTAAATTTATTTGAGCTCAGATTAGAATTTACCACCATGCCTAATCCTGGCTAGAATTTCGCATATGGTTTTATGTTTGTGCTGTAGATTTTACGACCATATTGTGTATGAAAGACAATAACATTTGATAAAATTTTATGCTATTCAACCTCGTAAATTGTCCTGTTTATTTTAGATTTCAAACATTGTTATGAGGTTTTGCCATGGCCCCCTGAAAAGCAGGCAAATTTGGCCGCTGAAGCAAACGTTTATAAAGATATCAGAATAAAAAAGATTTCACGAAAGAAAGAATTAAAAAGAGATGAAACTAAAAACTTAAGGCAATATACTCGCGTGTGAAACTTTCTTACTTCATTCGCTAATCATGGCCACATTCCTGACAGAGTATCTTCTTTTATGACGTCATAAAAACAAAATCGCAAGCACTAGCATCATGAAGCTTGCACGGAAACTAAAACTGTAGTACTTAATCAAAGTACGAAGTAAAATAATTCAGTATAATTTAGTCTAAAGTATTTTAAAAACGAAGCCATGAATTAGGTTGGAGTATTGTTGGGCATGTTTTGAGATTCAAATGACCTGCACAAGATGTTTTTTTAAAACTTTACTTCTAATTGGAATGAATGAGTGATTTTCTCTAATGGCTAAATAACAGCAACCAAACAAAAGATTTAAAGCTTTAGGAAGACATCTCCAAACCATGCAGGTTTTTGGAATCTGATTGCAGCAAATTAAGAGTATATTTTATCTGTTTGATGTAAGAATTTGAGGCTAAATTTCTTTTAAAATTGTTATATTCTTTGATGTGCTAGGCCATGAAGCAAGAGTTGCTGGACCAAAAGGATTCCGTGAGTTCGCTCCAGTCTTTGGGCAAGCGAGTGATTCCATTGGAGTACCGTCGAATTCCATTGAGGGAACCAAAAGTAGTTGTCTCTACATGTGAATATAAGCAAGCCACGGTATGGAGCGACTTTTTACATGATCTTGTTGACTTGATTTTGACCTAATGTTTTCCTGAAACTTCTTCTAGCTCTAAGTCTCTCGCCTACGGTCGAAATTTCTGCCTTTGCTCCAATAAACATACGACTGCGCGTGAAGTTTTGAATCAGCTAAGGCTCACAGCTATTTTTTCTTTAAACGCCCAAAACTAAATAAAGAGGGCTGCAGTTCATTTGTTTGGGAAGACTCCTTTTGAGTTGAAAAGAAAAGAATAGTTTCCTACCATGTTATCAGCAAACGTTTAGTTAAAAACATGTTTAGTTCAGCGCTTTTGATAAACATAATTGCTTTTGGTCAGCGCATTGTGGGATGTGAAAGTACCCCCTGAAAACATATTCAGGGCTGACAAAGTCCGACCGATATCAGACACTGTGAATTCTACAAATTTCAAATGGGTTCTTAAAATCCATCAATTCTTACGAAATATTCAGTTTCCCAGGAAAGTAGGTGTCTTCAAGGTTTGTTAACCACTTCCTAAACCCGATAATAGCAACAGGAAATATTTTATTGTGGGGCACTCAAAGATGGCTGGTGAATGAATGAAGGTGCCTGAAGAAAATGACTGATTTGCCTTGTTTTTAAAAGAATAAAAAGACTGGGATTCGATGGTTTTGTTATACTGAAAGCAGAAATCAAGTGTAATATATGAATTCGCGTTATTCATAAGTGAATATGAATAATGAATACGTTTTTAAGTGCATTGTTTTATCGTTTTCTCTAATTTCAGGTGCCAGTGTTAAGTGACAAAGAATATAACCTTAACGAGAATTCTGACCACCACAAATGGAAGGTGAGAGTCTGCTTCGAGCTTCATTTGTTTACACGGCCTAGTCTTGTGTAGTCTGCTTCGAGCTTCATTTGTTTACACGGCCTAGTATTGTGCAGTCTGCTTCGAGCTTCATTTGTTTACATGGCCTAGTCTTGTGCAGCAGTATAATTTTGCAATCATAATAAGCTGTTCTTCATAAAGATAATCACAAACAAAAGCATTGAAAATTTTTGTAACACCGAGAATGAAACAGGATATCATCTTGTTTTCACGTGGGTATGTGTACAGCCTCGGTTCTGACATATAGCCTCTTTTCACGACAACTGTTGGAAGAATTGAAAATAGGAAAGTAGTAGACTCCGGGGATTGTCTTTAATGTTGTGGCTTCAGCCCCTAAAAAATTGAAATGGGCGTTTCCCGCTGAGATGGGCGTTTCCCGCTGAAATGTCCTTTCCTTACCTATTTGCCTTGAATTGTACGACCCTCACACTTTTGTGGATTTTTTGCGTATTATGAGAAAATATCCTTTTGCCCTCTCGTTCTTTCACACGATATCAACTATGGTTCGTTGCTGCACCCTTTCTTGTATCTTATTTTGTATTTTCTGGCCTTGAAAACCCCTCCTTTCCGTATGTTAATGAAATCCCAGACCGCGAAATCCCAAGAGATAAAAATTTGATTGTCTCTTGTTTTGTTTGCAACAGGTGAAATTATTTGCGCAGTGTAGTTGTTCCATTGTACGCTTGCTTTTGTTTCGAATTCTCAATTTCATTAATATTGAATCAATTGCTTTGTGTGAAAGTTATCAATTGTTCGTCGAGTTCGTCTACTGTCAATAACTCAGACGCATGATCAAATATGTTTAAGCATATTTAGTGGGCAGGTCAACAGGCCAGAGAAGTCAGTCTTGCTAGGCCAGCTCTCAAGCTAAAACGAAGCGAGTTCTAAGTTCAAAGCTTCTGCAGGTTTGTCCTCTTTCACGAAGAGTAGGCACCTACCAACATTGCTCGATTGTTTTGCAAAATGTGCTTATAGTTGACATATCTTTAACTCGTTGTGCTGCCTTGCCTCGAGCTTACTTAGGCCATGTTCAAAGGCGTCTTCTCGCATTTGTCATTGCTTTTTAAATAACCTCGGTTGTAACCTCCTTTCAAATAATATGTTAAAGACTCCGTGCCTTGAACTCTGAAGAAGTTAGTCGGATATTAGACGAATTTTGATTAGCAATAGTTTGCAAAAAGTATTGCATAAGAGTGTGTGGGCATGCCCCTCTAGCCCCCTGTCGCACGACCCTTACTTGACCTGGATACCTATGCGTTTTAGATATCGATACGAATAACCTGGAGTTTGGATATTGTCTACAAGTTTATTGCTTGGATGTGACGGTGATTCGCTAAGAATGAGTAAACATTGTAAATGAGACTTAATCCCGGTTTATTTTGCCACGTTCGTAGACAGATCATATCATCATTTTGTGTGATCCTTTGATAGGCCGCCATGTTGCTTTCGAGACAGCAACAACAAAAGCATCCAAACGAGTCTTCTCATTTTAAGGGAATATTAAAGAGTTTGGAGTTATTTTGAGACTATTGGTTGTTTGGAAAGGGAGATTGTAGGAACTAGCAGCAGTTGCTCTCTGTCGGATCAATGATTTTATTTGGCAGATTTTCAAGCACAGGGAGCTTTTTAAATTACATTTTAAACATACCATTGAAATGTTGTTGATCAAAGTGGTTGAATATACAAAGAGGCTACGATTTTGTTGATTGACGAAGTCTACTTGAGCGTTAACATGTTGGAGCAGTGTATAATCAATTGAATTTCTTAAATAGAAGAAGTCAAAGGCAAATCTTCCTTGCTTTTTCGACCTTACAAGTAATCTGTTACAATCTTTCAGTTTGTACTCATTGGAAATGTTCTTCTGAAAACCTGTTTTGTTGTAATTTAAAGACAATACGCTTCCTCTTTAGTGTAACCTAAGTTAGGAATGTGAATAGAAGAACTAATCTTATAATGCGTGCACATCTTTTTTCAACGTGTGAGAATGCTGTGACATACGACTGTGAATATCCTAAAACGTAAGGCAGCTGGTGTTTTTCAGTATCAAACATTTTTCAATACCGTCTTTCCCTTATTAGCTAGGCCCCTATTACACCGACACTATGGGACAACTTGCCCCCGCTGCTCGCCATGACGAATGTTCTCGTTTTAAAAAGACTAGCCTCGGGCGTACGCTCTTTTCACACTTCACTGTCCTTTCGTTTGTTGTGGATTAATATTACGCCACCCCCTTCTTACCTTACTAGCTTCCTTTCGATTTGATTCCGCGAACGATTTTACAGAAACTTGTTCGATTTCCAAGATTATTTGCTACCAAAAAAGCCTGTTGCGAAACTCACAGTAAAAAAGAAGCACTGAAAATTTGCCCACTTGCTTCTGCTGTGACGACATATACTTAAATCATTTTCATGTGTTCTTTTTTATGGTCAACCGCCACAAAACCCCGTTCAACTGTTGGTTGCTGCTTTCAGCTTTGGGTCACGTGCTGAAGCGTCATATTACGCTTATATCTCTTGACTCACTGCCCGTGTTCAATTCTTGTACTGTTATTTTCAAAGAGAGGGTCACTAGGAAACGAGGGTGATTATTCTTTCGATAGCTTTGCTGCTTTTGATTGCTAATTATGTTTTCTTGTTTATTTTGTTAGTTACAAGACAAAAATGAAGACGAATTCGAGGCACCATCAGTCTGCTTTGTGATTCCTTCACCTGACCCCGAGGCCCTAGATCTCACAACGAGGTATCACCATTTCTTACTTCTCAAGATCTTAATTGCTTTACAATTTTACATATTTTTAAGCTATTTGTGTTTCTACTTTCAAAATTTCCTACTTCATATTATTTCTTTCCGAATGCCTTGAAGTCAACTCGCATGTCCAAAACTACGCTCATGACATTTCTGCCAGAAATACTTGACGTAATGATCTGCTCTGTTCCCCAGAATTGAAATCCAGTACAAACATTTACTGACACTTTGGAGGAATCGATATTGGCATCTAAAGCAAGCATTATCGGCATCAGAGTCGCCTTCCGGAGTTAAGGTTGTGCACACCGTTGCTGGAGAAAAGGTACTTCTTTTAGTTGAATGCATTATCTGTGTATCTGGAATTTTGGATTTTGACAGTTGTTCTTTTGGATAGCCTTGACGTTTCAGTAAAGCTCACCCAGGATCCCTTAAATGGATCCTTCCATTATTTCAGGATTAAGATCTGTTTAGTCATGCAGTTTATTTCCCCCGTGGCGGTTCTAAGCCCTTGGCTACTTCCTAACTCTTAGAATTGCCCGTCTCGACATGCAGACTTCCGTTTGTAGATAGCATTTTATTAAAGAAAGCGATCTATTTGCAAGAGTCTGTTTGTCCACAGTTTGTTTTGCTAATTTTGTTTCAATTTTGCTGCAGAAAGTAGGGCTCCATTTCTGTTTATTAAACCTAGTTGGATTTCTTCCTTTATAGATAATTGAACCCGAGTTCTTTGCTTCGGGAAGTGTTGACATTGAAGATCTGTTAAAAGAAATTGGCCAGCATGTTGGACCAATCGATGACGAAGAAACGGACGAAGAACTCGCTTTTATAAACAGGCAATGGGAGAAAGAAGATATTTTGTCTCCAAAGCAGGATGAAAGAGAGGCCGAAGCGGATATCGTACCCGAAGAAGAGGTTTTGGCTGTCTCCGAAGATCAGGCTGAACAAACTCCCGGAGAAGAAGTTCCTGAAGCGGAGGACGAGCTGCCGCAGGAATCTGCAGTACCAGACTTTGAAGAGGTTATTATTTTTGGATAATGTACTACAGTAGAATCCCGTTATAACGTACTCGGTTATTACGTACTTTCGGATATAGGTGTGCTTGGTCCAGGCAAAAGATGTGCTTGGTTTTGTCAATTTTACTTACCCTCGTTACAACGTACTTCGGATATAACGTACTTAATACAGTGGTCCCTTAAAGTACGTTATAACCGGATTATACTGTATCATGATAAGAGGAAGAAAGCTTTCTTTTGCATCTTTGGAAATGAGATGCCCACAATGCATTTAATTTTTTCAAGTTTGTTTGAAAATGCAAGTGCTTAATGATATTATTTAGTTACACAGCAATTCTTTTGTGCTGAGGGTCAACTAATGGCACGAGTTTTCCGTTTAGGAGCTTAATTTATCTGTGGAAAAGTTGCTAACTTGGTTGGTGTCTATTGAAACGAGGCTCCGGTCAAAAGAGATTGTTGCCATGGATGCAGATTCGAGTGAAGACGAAATTAGAGAAATTGAGGTACTTGTCGTAAGTTTTTATAGAGGAATATCTTTATTTCTCCAATATGGCGGCAGATAACACAATAACATTGTTTTTTTAAAGAATTAACTTTATTTTTTCAAAGATACCAATTGATCCCCTATTGACAAATATGGTTATCCACAAGACGTAAATACAATCATATCGATATGAGATTGAAAGTACCGATCTTAAAGATTTCAGTTTTTTAAAGTTCATTTGTTTATATTTTCCATTTATTAAACGGATTTGCGGCTATGTTGTTGAATGGAGTCGTTATTTGCCGCGAATCCAATTAGAGACTGGGTGTCTCATAATCAAGTGATTAGGTTTAAATACTCACAGGGCTGGATCTATTTAAAAGCATACTCTTGATGTTGTTTGTTGCTTTTTGCGTGTATTATGTTTGGTAGATATACACTTATTCTTTTATAAGAAACTGGCTATAGGAAACGAGTACTGGACAGTCAGATAAAAAATTATGAAACTTCAGTACTTGAAGCAAAAATATTAAGAAACTATTAAATCGTGATAAAACTGAGAACAACGAAATTTTGTAAAATTCAAAAACAAGACTGCCCTGTTGGCCTAGAACTCAAGACACAAGGGATGAAAATATACTCCCCGCATCTAAATACAGCATCAGAACAAAAGCGAATCTCTTGAAGTGAAAAAAAAGTTCATTAACATTTCATAACATCATTCATGACATCACAATTAAGAAACTCTTAAGAAACAATGAGTATTGAAATTTCCAGAACATTAAGAAACTACAGTACTCAACATCGACCTTTGTTTCTTATAAAAAATGTGTGTAAGTAAAAAGCAAGTGTTAGCAGAAAGCAGCTAAAGATAGCACCTTGTGCCATTGCAGCGAGGTAGAAATTAGATTGCGTTATAACGAACAAGGGTGGGAAATTCAAAGTCAAAACCTTGTCGAAATTAGAACAAAGATTCGAGTGTAACAATATTATGCTAATTATTATTATTGGTTTCCCTATTTCGTTCAATATTTGATATTTGGTCAGCTTTCGAATTGTGTTTCTCGTTAGTCACGGGAGCTAGGCTGATATAAGAGATGTTATTTTTGAAGGTCACTTTGCAACAGATGACGAAAGAACAACAGCAATATGAGATGATAGTTGAAAAACAACCAGAAGTTTCAAGCATGCAGCTGCAATATAAAATAGGTGTTCTTATTGAGAAATGGTCTTTGGTTTCTGAGAAGCTGAAGCAATGGGACAAAAGGTGATCACGTTCTCGCAATTTATTGAATTGGTCAAAAGAATGATCGTATTGGTCTGAATAAGTTTCTAGTTATTTTATGGATGCTACTGCTTTGTCATTATTTCTCATCCTCAAGACTTTTTGTATCTTCTAATTTTTAATTTATCTCGTCTATTTTCCTGGACAAAGCAGTAGCAAAACTCGTTTCTTTCTGGTGATCATTTTTCGAGTTTCTCAATTTTCAATCAATATTTGGCTTTTAAATTTTTTAGCCAAAACTAAAGCACCTAATTCTTTTGAAAATGGTGCAAGCTGACGAATTAAGTAAATATATAGATCCCAGACGCGCTTTTTATTTCCTTTCTAGTAAAGGGGAAAGCTAATGCTCCTATTTTTTGGAAAAACTGCACAAAGTTACGTTGGTGCTTAGCTAGTCTTGTTGCAAAAAGCAGTAAAGAGCATTTTTGCAAAAACCATGCTTTTGTAACCCATTAATACTTGATATACATTTCGAACCCGTGATTTAACGAATTAGTGTACGATCAATTGAAACTTGAAAGCTCTTCTGTTTTGGTCTTCTAATTTAGAAGTTTTTGCTTTGGAAGGTTGAAGCAAGCGCAGGTAATCCTGGAAATTGCAACTGCACTTGACGAATGGCTGTGCACTGTTGAAAGCGAGTTGATAAGTCAGCCTGGATTTACAATGGACATCGAAGTTGTTAGTCACAGACTTGCAAAATTAAAGGTGACTTTTGCTTCACGACCTGTCTTTTAGGATGCTTATCATAAGCAAATTTACACATTATCTTTGCAATGCATATTTAATACATTGATCGATGGTGTTGTAAAAATCTGATATCGTTTATCAAGATTCATATCATAGTTTTCTAAGCAAAAGCATGAAATTTACTCGGAAAAGTCAGCTCGTCTGCTATTCAGCTTCTCGCACCTGCCGTCCCTTTTAAGGGTAAATTGTAAGGTAGCGCTAGTTCATGGCAGTCAAACTTTAATTGCAGGAATTTTCTCATTTGGCAGTGACAAAGAAATTAATGAAAATTTTAATTTAGAAATTCTGGAAACGCTCATTCTAGCAGCCTTCCGCTTCGATTGGGCTAGTTGAATTTCTGCACGACTCTAAATTGAGAAAGAACTCCGTTATAGCAAGTCGAATTAGTGATTTTGCTAACATGTTAGAATTTTAGTGTTTTTTGCCATAATTGCGTTTGTGTTTTGTATTTTGTCACGAAGCTAATGTTGTAGGAGCCGCCATTTTAGTTTAATCCTCTGAAAACAGAATTCAGAATTTTACGCCTATTGTCAGTTTCGTCTTGTGAATTCCTGTTAGCTTAAATAACCTGGTGATATTCAGAAGTGATATTCATTAAAGGGGCTAAAGATTCCTCCAAGATCTATGGGGTTCTACAGTTTGATATTTTTGCAGGAAATTTTGAGGGATTTTGATTCATCAACTGAAGACGTGGAGCGATTGAGACACGCATCGAAGGAGCTGGGCGACGTCGAGCTGAAGGAGACTTACACGATTTTAATGAGATGGGAAAACGCCCTGAATGAAACAAAACGACGAACAGAAACACTAGAAAGGATACTCCCAAAGTTGGTTAAGTTTGAAGATCAAATCCGCACCGAGATGGAATGGGTTGTTACGAGAAAGGAAACGCTGGATGCCCAGGTACCCGAAGCCCCCGAGGACCTTCCAAAACTCAAAAAGGAGTATGAGGTAATGTCGTTAATCCGGTTGCATTTGAACGAAACTCTTGCTTCTATGGTGCGGCATCCTCTTAGCCCTATTTCTCCAGTAAATAGAGTAAGATTTCGAAAAACCAAATGTCTTCTGGCGCAGAATCACCAAAAGGAGTGTTCGGCTTTGAGTATCTTATAACATAGTCTGGTCACTGTTTTACGAAAAGCCTGTCAGAATGTGTGAATACTTAAACATACAACCGTTTGATTCATTCTGTTCTATCCTCAAAGGCTATATACGAAGAGCTTGATTCACACCGAAAGCCAATTCAACAGGTGTACACTGCTGGGGAGGAGTTCCTTACAGAATCCGAGGTATTAATCTCTGCTACATTTTTAATATATTGATGAAAATTAGTTTCTTTGCCAATCAAATTTTTTTAGATTTCTCCTAAACAAACATGAAGTGATGCTAATCTTTTAAGTCAAATTTCTCAGGTGTTTGAAAATAGCCTTGAAGAATATCGATCATTCCTGGAGAACTGTGAAGACAATAACGATCGCTACAAGGACTCGAGGGACGGGCGAGAAGTTGTTGCAGAGCAGTTGCAGGAACTCGCACGGTTGCATGCAATTGTGTTACAAGAAGTGCCAAGACGAATCGACTTGATTCTGGAAGAAATCGTCGAAGAGGAGGAGCAGTTCAGCGGAGATGGAACCGAGGCCGAGGAGAAAGCAAAGGAATGGGGCGAGAAATGCGAGGCACTGTTAGATTTTATTGAGAAGGCAGAAGTAAAATTGGCCAAGCAGGAGTTCAAATTCAACGAGGGCTTGGAAACTGACAAAGAGTACTTCGAGGTGAGAAACCTATTTCTCTCAATAAGGGAGCTGTCATTAAGATTGACCGGTACCCGGGCAGAAGCAAATCATTTAAAGCACCAAAAGATTCTAACCCCCCTAAAAACTGTAAAATATTCTGTAACAAAAACACGCAAATGTATTTCATCCGCCAAATTTTAAAAGTTCACAACAATTGTTTTCTTGTCAGAAGACAGACACTTTTTTGCCAAGAGCCATCTCAGCCCTGGATTGTTCTTTTCAACATAGGCATATGACTTTTCTGGTTTTGAGCAACTATAGAACATGAATGATTTTGCTAACAATTTGAGAAAACTTTTCCAAAGATTTATTTCGGTTTTATACCCAAAAAATTATATCCTCCCCCCCCCCACAAAGTACCCTCAAGAAATTTCATACCCTTGAAATTTGCTTCTACTCCATTGCCAGTCAGCCTTAATGACATCTCCCTAAGTTGCCCAATTTTATCTGCCTGTTGGTGACAATTTTTTTAAACAACCAGTACCTCTGACAACCTAGATACCAAAAAACTCTTGTAGACCAACGATAGACAGTCAATTGTCGTGCTCATTTTGACGCATTTCTACCCTCGTTCTGAATTTTGTACCTCGTTCCGCAGTTGCAGACTTTTTTCTACGAACGTTTAGCCTCGAGATACGATAATTTCCCCTAGAATTCAGGTCAAAGTTAGACTCGGGTTTTGATCGTATTAAGGTTAAACTATAGCGAAGCACAATGCATGTTCAATTATCCAAAAGCTGGGATTTCAATTCTGGTCTCCTTATTATGAAATGTGAGCAGGAGTTCTGTTTTTAATGCAATGAGACATATTAATTAAGCATTATCGAACAGTTTCTAAAATTTTTGGGAGTTGTAAATATTCCATTCAACTTAATAAATGTTCGTTCAAGTTAGTTATTTTTGTTATATTTTTTATATTTTTGATGTGTTTTGTTAGTTAATTAGTATATAAGTTTTGATGCTATGCTTTGTATAAGATGGTGCTTTTATGATGATAGTACTAATTTTTTCCTTCACCGTTTGGTTATGCCGAGCTACCAGTTAATCAGGGATGAAAAATATTAACCAAAAGCTTTTGCTCGTGGGTTTTTTATACAAATGAGGAGGCCTTTTGTTGGCTGATATATCAATTGAATTTTAGCAGATTTATCAACATTTTCAAAAGGTCCATGTCATTTTCCATATCATTTCATGTGGCGGGGAGAGAAAAGTGAATCCATGTGAAAGCTGTCCAGGGGTGTCTTTCGTGCTCTCTTCAACTTTCCTCACGTCCTTCAGCCGTACTCTAACACAGGCTACCGTTCTCCCGCTTTTCAACCGCTCGCCCGTCTTTTTCCGTAGTGGTCAGGCAGTACATTGCAATTAGAATAAACAGAAAATAGTTTTAACAAAGATAATTGTTGTTATAAGGTCATATTCACAGTGCTCAATTTTGGATTTCGCTCTTATTTCATGTTAAAGCATTGTTATTCATGACAAGCGGTCTTAGGATTGGCAGTGTGTTGAATGAACAGCGTTTTCAGAATATTGTTTGGATGAAACCAAAAAGCAACAACTTTATCAGAATGCACAAGAAAGCCTTTCCGTGGCAAACAATGCCTGCAAACTCTATTTCTAGCCCACCTTCATTTTCCATTCATTGAAAACGCTAATTTATATTGAATTTTTTTATCGCCTGAAATATTCCATCTAAGCAACGATAATAGTTCACAGGAAGTAACGAAGAACATAGTTGTTGAATTTCGCGTGTTTCCTTCTAATTAGTCCTTTAATGATGCACCACTTAGCAACGATTAAATCGCCGTTCTTTCTTGCAAAATTCCTATCCTCTTTGGAATAATTATTCTTTGGAAATAATTATCCCTCCCTATCATCCGATTGAGGGAAAGAGCCGGGGGGTTTCAAGGCAAATTTCTATTGACGTCTCACAATATTTAGCCGCTCCTTTTTGTAGCATTTCATATTTCCATAATATCTGCTACGATTTTCAGGCAGTCAGACAAAGTTAATCTTCTCACATTTGATTCGCTTTGTGAACGGCGTGTTCCTATTCCGTCCTTTTCTGTGCTATGACCGCTTATTACCATTTTGACCCGCCCTTACAACGTCTCTTACAACAGCTAGCCTTACTTCTTCACCATTATTCTGTTTGTTATTACAAAGTTCATTGTATCAGCCTTAATTTGGTGCCTAATGTTGGTTTTGATATCAGAGTGAATCTGTGGCGCATTCCTTTTATCTTGGATACTATCCTTGATTCAACACTTCCTTTGTTTCTTTGTCCGTCGTAACTAGCCTGAGTGTACATTCTATTTTATGTTCTCCACGCTCCAGCTATCTTCAATAAGAGCAAGGTAGACAACAACACGATTTTATAGCTTCTGGTTTAGGAAATAGCGAAACGAAGCAAAGTGTTACGCGTGCCCTTGAAAGGCCTACTAATGCACTAAAAATGGAGAGCGATTCCGATACTGATTCACTGAATCTTTCGCCGTCTCTGCGACGAAGAAATTTTGGATACATTGGAGCGTTCAAGGTTAGTTTATGATCGAAAATATTATTTTGCATTCACGAGTTTGCAGACAAACCCTTTATCTTTCGGATTGGATAAGTTTTGGGAACCTGTGATTTTCTGTGCGATCATGTCCGAACTCCGAGTTGTCATTTGGCAGTCTCGAAACGACTGACGCATTGCTTTCTTCAAGAGCCCGTTTCTTGGAGCCTTGTTTAGAATTGAGAGGGCCTTTAAATAAACAGGATTGGGCTACAAAATAAATTGGATTGGACATAATGCCATGTGGTTTCACATCCAAAGCAATGTATTATCATAATGCCGGTTGCCATTCAATTAAGACCATAACGGAAGAAGCGCATAAGTCACTGTGGGCCCCTGTATTTTCGGCTCGTGGTCGCCCCGCCCCCATCAGCTAAGAGGATTATTGTTACAAATGTATTGTGTCTGGATGCAGTATGCTGTATAAATAGATCAGGGGTGATACTGCTATCAGAATAACAAGGGGTAGGGGGATGCCCTTGTGCAAAATGTTGCAAGATACTAGCAAAAGTAGAAATTGTCAAATTTTCGGCATAAACAAGGGGCTCAGGGGCTGTCAGCACCCCTCATATACATCATGATCATTATCATAAAAATAATATCACCATCATCTCATCATCATCCAGACTGTTCAGTATTTTTTCTGCGCTGGAGACACCAGAACAATAAAGATCAAATTTGCGGATAGCGAACGTTTCGCGGGATATCGTGTAGCAAAGGCTTTGGAATCCATCTTGTATTCTATGTTTTCTTCTTGTAATCAGACTCTGAAGTTTTAATGTGGGGTATTCGCGGGGAATATGACAAGGTAGAATCATGGAGCATTAGGGGTGTCACACCCACTACAATCCCCGCTAGTTACGCCCCTGATTATTGCACGAGGGAAGCGAACCTTAACCTGTCAGATATTTTTCATTGACAGTGATGAAACCCTGTGCTTGATAAATGCATATGGTGTCCCTATGTCGTGTCCAGCTACTGCTCAACCCGAGAGGTGATTCACTCTTGCAAATAGCGTACGAGATTTTGCCTAAAACAAAAGGATTTCTGGAGATTCTCAGATAAAACAATAGGATTTTCACAAAAGGTGTACGAGATTTTCTTTGAGTGGTTTGCCCCTCGGCTCAACCTAAGCGTTAGAATTTGAAAGCATTTGTCTCATTTCTGAATCTGTAGACAAACAAGGACACATGATGTCGCATTGAAAAAGTAAAATTGCAGCAACTGCCAATAGATGTTTAAAAATGAGCATTACAGTATTAAAAACGAGAACCAATGATCATAATCTATGAAATTTATCTAAAATTTGTTCAGTATATAAAAGCTTTCTAGTTTGTTTCGTTCTTCACTTTCTCCTTTTAGATCTTTGTTCTCGAAAACATGTTTAAACTTAGACTACTTTTTCTCGTCAAAATCTCTTGTAAGGCTATGATGAGTGTCGGTATAATTTGAAAGTTTCACATACAGTTAGTTTGATAGGTGTGGTCATGAAAATTTTTGAAAGGCAACACCCAAATATTCAAAAACTTTGAATATGTGCAGTGATAAAAATTCCTTAAAGTAAACCCTTGGAAATATTCGTTCCATTAACGAGACGTTTTATTTGGGCCCCAATTCGTGTAGCATATTATTTCATGTGTTTTCTGCAGGATTTTCGAGCACTTTCTTTCTTTTTGTCATCTTTGATTAATCTTTTAATTCACTTTTCGCTTCTATTGCCTCAAAGTGCTGACAGCTATTCAACCCATTTATGTACAAGTCACATGGGAAACTACCTATGCAAGACTGACGATGAATATAAGGGTTATGGATGTAGAGAACTGCTCATCCTTTCTCCCGACAATCTCTTCAAGCTTAGAAAATCTTCCCCAGAAAAAAACGAAAGCAAGTCAGGGGTTGGGGATACTACTTAAATTTATTTCATTTCCCAAGCCTTCCTCGCCATCTTCAAGCGTGTCATCGCTTTGCTTTCTGGTATATGCAAAAGGGCGTCAAAGTGTGGTACGCTTTGCATTGTGGGATATCACGTCTGTCTGCTAGTCAGCCAACCCCCGCGTAACATTCCAGTCTGTTCTTGTGTTGAAACTGTAATGTAATGTGACGTACTTGGATTATAAAGCTCAGGACCTTTCTAATTGAGCCAGTTGCATGTTAATCCAACCAGTGTTCATGGTTGCCCATTCGCTTAGATTTTGCATAAACTAATTCGATTCTGATATGGTTTTGGTTTCCCACGGTAGAGTGGCTAGTGTTTTGTCAACATTCGTCACCCTGCCTCGTTAATGTAAAATTGAATTGCAGATAAAACACCCAAGAGCCTGTGTTTTTGGTGAATTATTCTTTTGCTAGCAAATGAATTACGCAGGCTTAGTTAGCTCCAATCATAATATTTTCATTTTCCCGCTTCTTTGAACCACGACTGACAGTTTGTCAGCCCTTTCTGACTCTATGAAAACGGAGAAAACCTAAAAGCTTTGTTGGAATTTATCAAAATATATTCTCGTTGTTGATATTATGAAAATAATATTGCCGAAATGTACGTATACCATACAGAAATTTATTGAAAGAAATAAGGAGAGTGGAACATCGCTTTAAGACCATTTTGATTACAATTGCATATTATTTGTAAAGTTTTTTAAAACCAAAAGAAACAGAAAGAAGTAATAAATAATTTTTCTCTTCATCCGTTATTTTAAAATGCAAAGTGAGTGACTCCTCGATGCTCCTCCAAAGGAGCGTGGATCTTCAAAACCAAAATGCAGCGTAGTGATATTTCATGAAACAAATTTATTACCACCACATCAACCGTGTACTTGATAAAGCATAAAAATTATAATAATCTTTAATTTTCCTCCCTGCCAAGCCTTTGCTACGTATCTTGCCAATTACAGCGAGGGACAATTCACTCTTGCAAATAGCGTACGATATTTTCCCTAAAAAAAGGATTTCAAGGGATTTTCAGATAAAACAATAGGATTTTCAAAAGAAGTGTACGAGATTTTCTTGGAGTGATTTGCCCCTCGAATTACAGTCTCCGGACAGATCTCGATGGTCATTTTCATCACTAAATTGCATTCATTTTTCTGATTAGAATTTGTTAACCGAAGTGCACGAACAAGAGGACAATGTTGATCTCACAGTTGGGCGTGGCCGCCGATTTCTCCAAGGAGCACGTTCGAAGCTCACCCCTGAGTTACGACTGAATCTGGAAAGTAAAATGACTGCCCTAGAATTACGCTGGGCCAAGTTGCAGTCTGAATGCGAAGGAAGAAATCAAAAGCTTGATATGATTCATGGCATGCTAATGAAATTCGAAGGAACGCTCAATCCATTTATGGTGCGTAACTCATTTTTTGATATGTTATTTCGTTCAAAAATGATCATCGTTTCCTAAAAGAGGTGTCCTTTTTGGTCAAATGCCATTCAAAGAAGGGAACCTAAGCCACTGGAATAGTGGCCATTTAGGGGACCAAGAGCTGTTTCAAAATGGGGGGAGGGGGGGGGTGGATTCTTTTGTGTTTTATAACGCGTATTGCCTCCAGTTTTAGTGATCAGTTCGTTTATGGTGGCCTAGTATTCCTGAGATTGTAGTTTCCTTTCATATAAAACTTTGAGGCAAGAAGACCTGATTCGCAAATCAAACACATTGCAGTGTTTAGCCATTTTAAGTTGTAGACGGAACGACAGTTTGTTCCCTTTCTGCATTAATATCATATTCCGCTGTAAAATTTAAGCCTGACTTATATCGAAAAAGTAATTAATCCTCTTTTTTGCTTACCTTCAAGAGAATTACGCGATTAAGCCTCTTGGTGAAGCATTTCGAAAAACAGTGATAACGAGGCGTGTGGCTTTGCCTCGCAATATAAACATTTTCGGCTATCTTTTTTTAGAAAAAAACCACAAAACGTTTCAGTTTTGCCTTTCTAGCATTTTAAGATATGATTAGTTCATCTCAATCATAATTGAGGGTCTTTATCGCCAAATTGGCAACCCACCCTCCCTTGCCAGACCGCTATTATTGCAATCAAGAAAGGGTATCCTTTAAATTTCGATTAAACTTTTCAAGACCCCTTAAAGTTTCCTTTTCGTTTGAAAAAATATCATGTTATCGTTTATCGTGGCCACAATCTACCAATTGAATAGTTACTGAAGCCTGAACGCCTTTTCTCACCCGAAATCACTGCTGGCCTGTGGGAAAATTTTATCATGGCACAAAGTAGCGGTATTGCTACTCCCCAACACGCTTGAATTCTATTCTAAGCATCTAAAGTCAATTTGTTGCTTCAAATACTCTCAAAAACTCATTGTTTTTGGGCAACGCCCTTTTTCATCGCAACTTGTGGCTCGAAAACTTGTATGTTCGCTTCGTTTTTCTGAAATTCCACCAAGGATTCCCTTTAGGTGAACCAATGATAAAGAAAATTATAAATCTGAAAGATGTTTTGAAAACATTTTTGTTTAAACGTTTTATTGAAAACTATAGTAAAGATTTCTGGGTTTGAGGCGATGCGAGTACAAAACAACAACCTCACAGAAAAAGTAAGCGGCAGCATGTGTTGATATGTATACAAATGTTTTAAAAATTTACGCGGCAGGCTTCCTCCATGTTCCACGCCAGAAACAGTAGAAAATGTAGAGCGATTTAATTAGGGATGTTTAGCTGGGGCCAGGAGCAGACACTTCGTCAAGTATTGGGGGGGGGCAAGCCTATTTTTTAATAAGATGACGTCACATTTCCCATTGTTTTTTAACAAAAGACAATTGTCCTCTAAAGTATTGGGGGCGGTCACTTGAAAACTCACGGATAAGTTTGAAAACGGGTCTCAGAGTGGGTCAGTTTTAACCTGGGTATCTCCCCACTTTCAACAACAGCAACGTTCAAAAATTGAGATGGGCCAAAAATAAAAAAACAAAATCCTCGATGTCGATGTTGCTTCCATTGGCCAACAACGATGGAAGTTGAAGGATTATTGATGCAAATACTGAATTATCTTACAACTTTTCACCCTGGATACATTTTAACTCGGCTTAGTGGGAACGATCAGTAACGGATTCAAAACGGTTCGAAGAAAAATGCCGTTTCCATTAAAAACGTATAACTTATAACCCGGTTTTGTTTTAACCCGGGGTAGTGGAAGGGCTGCCTTTGTCGAACTTGTTGGGCGGGTTGAAATGAAAGAATGCTAGAGATCGCCATGAGAAACTCCATAAGAAGCAATTCATAAAAATAATTTTGTTGAGAGTGATATAGAGGAGTAGTCATTGAATTGTCAAACCTATAATTACGTTGATGCTGGGAACAACAATTGATGGACGATGAAAAATTGATGGACAATGCTCGTGGCCCCTTTGTGCCACAGGCCTAGGACATCATCTACCAAGGTCATTGAAAGATGAGGACAGAAGGGAAAGTTTGCCCATGAGCCTTAAGAAAATAGGTGGAGTGGAACCTCGTTTCTTAATTTACATCATGGCTTTTGAAAGCCCGTCGGCAACCCTACCTGCTACATTTTGTCAGTACCGAGGGGCAAATCACTCCTAGAAAATCTCGTACACCTTTTGTGAGAATCCTATTGTTTTATATGAGAATCCCTGGAAATCCTTCTGTTTTAAGAAAAATCTCGTACGCTATTTGCAAGAGTGAATTGCCCCTCGGTCAGTACTGTACTACTTTGAAAATTCAACAATAAGGGGACCCCCAAAATTCTTTCCAAAAATTAACAGAATAACAGATGTGGTTATATTTTGCCACTAAAGAAGGGTTGTATCGGTAGGGGTTGGGGGGGGGGGGGGGGGGTGGATGTGGCATATCACTCTGTGAAATTTCATGCACTCTTGACCAAAGTCTTTTTTCTAGAAAAATCCACAAAAAATCTTTAAAATATTTTTCTTAGGCGGCCACGTTAATTGTTTTTATTATTGCAAATTGGCACATTATAGTCGTTCGCTTTATGCTCTCCTTTCTGACACCGACCTATGTTGATTTTATAATCTTTTTATGGATGCTCATAAGGCTTTTGTTTCAGCTTTATTGCCATTTAGGCAGTTGTTTTTACTTAATATTGGTTGGCGGGAACTGTTCCTTTTTATATAGGTGTTTTTCCTCTGTACAATAAAACTTTCCACTTTGTTTTCGTTTTGTCTTCGCCCTATGCAAATCTTTTTTAACTCAATTGTCCTGCCATCCATCTATTACAATCGCTTTCTGTAACTCTCATGAAGATCCATAGGGCATTTCTTTGCTCTGTCTGTGCAGCGTCCGGGGGTTCCGTTCTGCCATGGTTTTGGCGCAACGAAGCGTGCATGCCCAATATTTGTCTGGTTTTTCTGCCAACGATAGTATTCGCAAAAAGGGCGTCTCACCCGTAGTACTGCCCAGCGACTTGCGATCGAGTGACTACAATTTCGTTGCAAATGGAAATGTACACCGTGTCAGTTCCGCCATTGCGGCCGGTTGTCGAGTTTCAGGTGGGCTCATTTCTTTTGTTAACTTCGTCAATTAATTCAATTTCTTGGTTTCAATTTCGATTTAATATTTTATTTGATTTAGCTCGCTTCGTTGTAACTTCGGTCATAGTCTGACCAGCCTTCCAAAATTAGGTAGCATGTAAACCGGATGTGTAAGTCCGGTTTCATGTTTGGTACAAATCAACGGTTTTGTTTCCATAAATGGAAGGCGACGTTAAGTTAATCCCCGCTAACCACTTGAAAGGCCATTTCATAGAAGTCCCGTTCTAACTGGATCGACAGGCCAAAAAGCGAAGTAAATAAGGAAGGCCGCTCTGTAGACCTTCATCGTTTAACTTTCAAGACATTGCAAATAGTTGATCAGGAAAAAAGTGGCGAAAAACGAAATGTCGGGATTGAAGCAAATCTGAACTACCCAATTTGCTCTTAGCTCTTTAACTCGCTGTTGTAACTCAACTAAAGCCAAATAAACATGTTCGATTCTACTATTCTCGAAACGTTTTTGAAAATGCATACTTATTTCTTCTAAAGTAATATTTTCAGGCTTTTTTTAAATATTTTACCGTCAAAAATTGTCTGTAAATTATTATCACCTCAAATTGTCTGTAAATTGTCACAACCAGATTAATAAAAGACAGAATGCATTTGCTTAAAATGTTGGTGTACTATTTCCGTTGTAACAAGATGAGCAGGTTGCCAGTAGATTCTTGTGTCATATTTCATGCTTGAGATCCTCGAGAAAAACTTCTTTAGATGTGTTAAATGGGGCAGTAAAGCTGTTCTAAACGGCTTTTGTTCGTCTTGCTTGTTACCGCCTAGTTAGCTATTTTATCATTCTTCAATGTGTGTGAGTCATGAGAACCAGTTGAAGAAGGAGTGTCCCAAGATTTCTCTTGCTGTTATCATATTGTTATCGCTTGCGAATGGACGCCCATCTAGACTTTTTGCACCAATCAGCTGACGGTTTTCAGTGGGGCTATTTTTTGGTTATGGATGTTTCAAAAACGATTACAATACAATGGGGTGGGAGTCAGTGGCGGGGTGGCTATGTTTTCCCTGGGGTGGGCAAGTCAATTTTTGCGCTCTATCTAGATATCGTGATTATATCAAAGCACGTGTTTCTAGAAGGGAAATCAATTTTTGCAACTTGAATTCAAAATTTCATAAATAGGTTTTGACAAAAATTGCGAGAATGGAAAAAAGCTATGTAATCCTAACATTTGACCTTCTCAATCGTGGTTCAGTAAATATCCGCCTATTTTGAATTGGCTTATTTTTGAGGGTCTGCCTATTTTGGAGGAAGTACGGTAAGCAAAACATAAAATACTAATCAAAAGACATTGTATTCAATTACACTGATGGCTGGCGGCGGTTGGCGGCGGATACAGGCTGGCGGCCCCAGGAACTCGTTTATTATATCCAGAATACCAGCTTCAGAGTAAAATAACGTAGAGCAACTCTTTGTCTCGGACTCCTTAGTTTTTAACTAAAGGTAACCTTATTTCATTTCGCCACTGCTTATGGGCGATTTTTTCAGCCTAGTGTCGTCATATTAATGATGTATGATATACAAACATGGCTCAAGTTTGTTATTCTCAAGTAGATATTGGATAGTAGTTCTTTCAAAAACTTGAAAGTTTCAAACACTTAACCCCACTGTTGAATCGGACAGAGACGGCGGGACGAAATCGAATCTCGGGGGGGGGGGGGGGGTGTTAGGAATCAAGTTTAGTGACAGAGGAGGACCCACCATGGTTGGGTCCGACGCGCAAGAAGATTTTTTAATCAAGCCTTCTAGAATGGCAAAAAAATTACCATGCCGCTCAGAAAAGACTATTCGACGATGCTCAGAAAATAATTGATGATTGATTTTTAGAAAAGAATTGGGAGGGGAGGATTCATGCGTTTGGAAAAAAAGGTTGACCTTTTTCTCAGAGTGTACATCGATACAAATAACAAAGGGGTGTTGAATTTATAATGTCTCAAGTAGGCTTGAGACTTCATGTTATTATTTGGAGATCGCCATCTTGGCTCCTCGTGTTCGAAGTTCTAGATCTAAAGGGACTCGGCCCTAGTGACCGCAAAACCGGGGATGGAGTCTCTACACTACAATATTGATTGTCAGGGTACATTCCATGTACTTAGCCCCAAAGATCTTCGGCGTACGCCGAGGTTTTTTTGGCGTTCCGAGTGCAAACTAATAGAAAACATTATGAAGCCACGTACATAGTTAGCACGAAAACATATGTTGATTGGGTCACGCAACGTGCTTCGATCGTAGAATCACACGTTTTATTAGATTGTTCACAGGAAGTTACTGCGAAATTACAGCAATTTTAAGTGAGACGTGGATTTGTAAAGTGATAATAATAAAGCTTTAGTTTATTGTTTTTGAGTATTTACTAATGTGCTGGGATGACGAGGAGCGGACAACGGAGATCTGCCAAAAAGAATTAAAAAGTGTTAATATCTTTTATATTGCGATGTTTAGTGTAAGGAATTGTGAATGTGACGGGGGTCGGGCTTCTCTCTCCAAATGAGCTCAAATACATTGCTTACTCAAGTTTGGGTCAACGCAAATGATTAATTTTGTTAGAAGAGTTTTTGTTAGAAGAGCCTTTGATCTATTGTAGAGTTTTTCAGATGACGATACAATCATAGTGGATTTATGTCAGTTTGTGGGACCCTTGTTTGTAGAGAGGTGTCCGTTGTAAGGAGGTGTCCGTTGTAGAGAGGTGTCTTTTATGGGGAAGTGTCCGTTGTGGGAAGATGTCCGTTGCAGGGGCGTGTCAATTGTGGAAGTTCCATTGAAGGGAGGTGTCTATTGTAGGGAGGTGTCCGATGCAGGGAGGTGTCCGTTTTCAAGAGGCGTCCGTCGTGGGAAGCTGTCCGTTTTAGAGAGGTGTCCGATGCAGGGAGTTGTCCGCTGTAGGGAGGTGTCCGTTTTCTAAAGTTGTCCGTTGCGGGGAGATGTCCGTGGTAGAGAGGTGTCCGTTGTGGAGAGGTGTCCGTTTTCTAAAGTTGTCCGTCGTGGGGAGATGTCCGTTGTAGAGAGGTGTCCGTTGTGAGGAGGTGTCCGTTGTAGGCAGGTGTCCGTTGTTGGTGGTGTCCGTTGTGGAGAGGTGTCAATTTTGGAGAGTTTTCTTTGTAGAGAGGTGTCCGTTGTAGGGAGGTTGTAAAAACGTTGAACAAAGGGGAACATCGCCCGCTCTCGAACAGAAAGCACGCTTTTCGAAAAGATGAGATATGTATAACAGTCATGCGATTCCTTGCTATGGACATTGCAAAGCAGGCAACTGCTGAAAACATAAGAAAGGAGACACAAAGATGCCACTTGAGGCTGAGCAATATTCTTATGATGTTCTTAAAGATTTGATGATTTTGAGCTTGAATATTCTTATAAAAAATATTCTTATAGAAATATGAGTGAATAAGGAGTGATGTTATTCGCCTTGTAAATTTGAAGACCTTTAGCATGGATTGGCAGTAATGAAACTAACAGTCGTATGACTCTTTCTCGGTGACGTAGTATTGGCATTGCTGGCGACGTTGTTGTCGATATCAAAGTAGGTCTCTATAAGTGTCCACTGTCTTGCTAAGGAAGTTAATGAAGCGCCCACTTAAAGCTATGTCTTGCGAAGGAAGATAATAATCATAGTCATAATCATGATTCCTTCCTGGATGCTACTTATTCTCAATAGTGGTTGAAATGATATTCACCCCCGAACAGAAGCCATTCTCGACGTCACGCTTTAAGTCTCTCATTCTTTCCCAGGTTTAAGTAGCCTGCGCGCAGACTAAGATTTAAGCCAATTCGACATCGAACTAAATCCCTCTCTTTTGTTATATTTATAAGACAGGGCCAAGAACAAAGTTCTGCAAAATAGATGTAGTTCTGGACTGGGTCATTTGCTTCCCTGCGTCCGGCAATTTAGAACCTTCTTCGTTCACTCCAAATAAACTGGCGGACGAAAGTGTGATCTAGCAAGAGTTTTACATATATTGCTCTTTTCAGGATGTTGCTCTTATGCTTAGCCGTTTCATTGTCTGCAATAATCCACCGCAGCCTTTTTCTGATATCTTTTTCTAACTAGTATTCTATGCCTTCAGCCGTTGTTTTGAAAACTGTAAACACATTTTAACAAAATACGGGGAAAAGAAAGCGACTGATGCCTGTTCAAAATCAAAGAAATTGAATTTTATGAAAAAGCAATCATTATTCCAATCTTGTCAGCTACAGAGTTTGCTTGACCATCTCAATGTTCTCATTTATTTGCAGACATGGCTACAATCTGCGGAGGAGCAGGCTGCTTGTTTCCATATCAACGCACCCGATTCAGAGAGCGTGCGAGAACTGATGAAGAAGCACCAGGTAAAGTGTCCTATTTCAAACACGTTGCAGACAGTCGTCATTTGCATCCCAATGTTGCATATCAGGTTTCAACCTGGGATGTAGTCGTAAAATTTTAACAACGGGGGCTCTATGAAATTTCTAAGTTGTTCTTGTCATGTACACTCTTTTTTTATAAGAACAATTTTATAAGAACACGAGCCTCAAAACTGGTCAAAAGTTGAGAACAAATTAAGAACAAGCTGAGGCTGAGCTTCTGCAAAATGCAACTTTGAACAATGTTTTTTCTCAAAATCAAGGATTTTTAGCGATATATGGGTGCTATTTCGGTGAATATTTAAATTTGTCATCAAATTAAGGCTGTCTCACTCACTTTGTTGGCAAATGAGGCCTGAACACCTCCTTAGAGCGGAAAAGCTAGCAATAGCACTGCTTACACCCTCTTAATTTAAGAACAAATTAAAAACAATCCAGCCTCAGATTTTCGAAAAAATTAAGAACAGTCAACCTGAACTTAAATTCTCTGGTTCTTATAAAAAAAGAGTTGTAAAAAAGAGTAAATTTTCTTGTAATCATTGAAATTTAAACATGGTGAGGGTTGTTGTGTTTCCGAACATTGTTCGAGCAGCCAGGTACATTGACTGTGTTGAGCGTCAGCTGAGATGAGAGCATCAAGTCTATGGGGAAGAGTTCAGGGGGGGGGGGCGACTTTATTGCAAGTGTGGAGGCAAATGTCTTATTGCTCAGGGGTTCAGTGAAAGCCGCCACCATGGTTGGTGGGGAGAAAATTTTGAGATATGGCATGAAATGCATTTGAATATTCATGGCTTCGAAAATTTTAACAAGGGGGCTGCGACCCCCTGAGCCCCCCACCACTACATCCCTGGTTTGAACATCTCGCATTACACCCCATTTTTTCGCAAAATAAAGCCTTTTCTGGTTGACGAGCATTTCAGAAACGTTTTTAATTTTTTAATTAAACATTGAAATATTTTTTATGAAACTGGGTATCCAATTTCATCTGGACATTCCCCAGTGCATCATATTTCAGCAGAGGAACTGATAGTAACTTTTGTCAACGATGAGTAACGATAAAGAAATTTAGCAGACAGTTCATCGTTCCATTTTGTTAATTGAATAAGCCCGAATCATAATCAAATTTATAAATGCATTGGTTGCATGAGATTAGCGGGCCCGGTTAAGCGGGATAGCTAATTGTCCCCTCGATATGAAGGGATAAATTTTGTCCCATATTGCGATGCTGTGAGCTTGCCCGGTCAACCGGCGAACTTTCAGTCATGATTTAGCTTTAAAGACACAAGTGGGATAATATTAAAGAACTCTGCTTGCAAACTCTGATTCTCGTATCTTAGTTTGGTAAAGATAAAGTATAGCCATTTTTAGACGAGGGCACAATAAGCATATTTGTAATGAGCTTCTAAAATGAATTTTAATGTTTTCTTCTTGTTTTCAAATTTTAATTCACTAAAGTGCGGTGTATTTCGATTATTATTAAGTCTTGAAGAAATATTATGACGATTATAATGTTGATTGAAATGAGAGTAAGGCAATGAAGATGATTGTTAGGATGAACTGTCACTGACTTTATTTGAAATACGATTGTTACTTGACTGCATGTTATTATGATAATTTATTTATCAGTGTTCGTCAACAAGCTAACCTTGAGGTTTCTTTCAGCAATTTGTTGATGCAGTGAAACGGAGGGAAGTTGATCTCCAGAAAGTGAATCACCATGGGGAGGCATTTCTGGCAGAAGCAAAGGTATGTGTCCTGACTTTCATTTTGAACGAAGCACTGTTGCCAGTCACAGGTGGCCAGACGAAACAGGCCTATGTTACATTATTGTTGTACTTTATGTCCATTGGATATCAAATGCTTTGTGAGCGTTTCAATATGGCGCTGTGGGCAGTGTTTATTCAGCCATGTCAGACAGCGGATACGGCATTGCTTTTTTCCAGATCTTCACTCCCGCGTTCTTTAATCGTGCATTTCAATTTGGATGCACCCAAAGGTCGACCGAGTGAAAGCTAGCTGTGCAAGCTGCATTCTGCCGTGGTATAAAGCCGGCATTTTCATTTGAGATTCAATGGAAAACTGTTTTGCCACACACTTGTTTATGGGAATCACGGAGACGCCAAGGTTGCATTTGCGGGAATGGTTCAGACCCTATGCAAAGCGAAGGTTCGAAGCCACTGCCATAACAGCTTTGCGCTCTTCTTGTCCCCATTAACGACTTTAAAGTAAACAGGAATATTCTACCCAACTCTGCTGTTTACAGCGAATGAATTGCATGTTTTCAAATCAGATATCGGCCTAATAAATATCTTTTGCAGCATCACTCCCTCCCATTAGGTCGGTTTCTCTACCTTTCCGCTCACATGTCTAGTACACTTATCTGGCAACTGCTGTTTAGCGGTCATAATTGATAAAAAGTAGCAACTGTGTGTGTGGTTTGTGGAATATGACGGTTTTATGTTGCAGCTCCGACTTTCACGTTTAATGCGATCCTCAGGCAGCTGAACTCATACTTCATCACACGATCATTTTTACTTCAGGACAAGATCACTCACTCTAATGCCTCAAGATATTTTTTTCGTTTGTCTCCCTAGCAGATATTAATTGAGATTCAAAATCGACCATTGAGATTAAGGACAGTGTTTCCCAGGGTCCTTTCCGCATCAGTTTATCCAGTTATTTTTAAGTCAGGCAAACAAATAAAGGGAGATTAACTCCCGTTACCGCCATTTCTTTTCTTTTCATAAGCTGTTGTTAAAAAAAATATAGTTCTTAAGCCAATTAAATTAAAATGATGATTTTCTTCAATTAAAAATAAGTTATGATTATCCTAGGTGATAAATGGTAGCATTGTGACTGGAATATTCACCTTACTCTCATAGAAATTGAGAAGAACAGTTGATCTTTTAAGCCTAAACAGAGGAAGTTTTTATCCTTTTGTTAGTATTGGTTTTTGATCACCAGACAATCCTTGTTGTTGTGCTGCTAAGGCGCTTATTTGTTAAAGGCTCTTGTGCAACCGGCATGCTTAGCGGCAGTTGTCTTGAAAAAATTGTCTATTATTATTATTTATCATATTTATACACAGAAACCCTATCAGCTACTTAGTTAAAAAAAATGTTTGTAGGTCGGTTCTTTGAACACTTTTTGCAAAGCGTGACGGTTGCGCAGGAGCTTTTAATTGCAATGACGATTAAGTGGATTGAAGTGCATGTCTTATTTAAAAATAAAATTACACTATTTGTACATTTCTTCTTTTTGTTATATGCAATAACCTTCAGCTTGTTGAAGTTTGCATTATTTGGTAGACGTGGACGTAGATGTAGACGTAAACAAAGACGTAGACGTAGACGTAAACATAGACGTAGACGTAAACATAGACGTAGACGTAAACATGGACGTAGACATCACTTCTGCAGAAAAAGACTATGCTGAGTGATTTTCTTTCTTTTGATCATTTCGTTGAAACTCTTCTACTTTTTTTATTGGAAAAAAGATCAAATTCAATAGTGATCTAAAATTACATCATATTGATTCTGATAGGCTTTCCAAAAGGAGCTGGAAAATTACCTTGCAAGTGTACCTGAAGCAATTTCATCAGCTGTCGGTTCTAGTGGACAAACATGGGTCCTCGAGCAGAAATTGCATAACATAAATGACCGATATAGAAAGCTGATCAGAGCAATTCACTTCAAGGGGAATTTGTTGAACGAATCATTGCAGAAGCATCTTGAGTATGATGAAAAAGTGAACAACTTTATGCCATGGCTGGTTGATATCGAGAGAAAGTTTACGAAGGAATCCCAGGAAGCTGTGCCTTCGGATTCCAAGAAGATATTGAAGAGAATTGAAGTAATCAAGGTATTAATGCATGTTGCATTTGACAACTGTTTGTTACTGGCTTTGAAGCATTTTACAATCAGTGATTTGATAGAGGTTGAAGCCATCTTTGCAAATAAGTATGTATGCGAAAAAACAGTAACATCATACCTTCTTGCTTGATCATAGCCGTGATATCTTTTCATAGGTCTTTCAGAATGCGTTAGAAGAGAATTACGTAGAAGTCGTCGGCATCCGCATGGCTGGTGAAATTCTGTCAGGCCTCGACAAGCGAGACATCGAACATGCTGTCGGTTGTTACGTCACCACCCAACCTCCAGGTATGTCACATTGGCCTTAAGTTGTTTGTCTAGAATGGGTAACTACAAGTCTTTTATTGTTGTTTGTCGTTCAGTACATCACTGTATTTGGTCGAGGGTGGGCTAACGAAATTATTGCTAACAAATTGTTTTTGAATATTAAAGGTACCTGGATTCGAACGACAACAGCAATCGCGAAACGGTTTGAAGAGGTGAAAGTAAACTTTTCTGGCCTGAACAGCCGGCTGCAGACAGTTTTGGTGACCGTTCAGAACTTCAAAGATGGCCTTGACTCTATGTACAAGTGGAGCGAGCAGACAAAGAAAACTTTCGAAAGAATGACAGCAGTTACTTTCGATATTTATATTCTCCAGCAGCAAATCAGAGAAATAAAGGTTTGGTTATTTCATGTTATACAATCTCCTCACGCCATGTTATTTTTCGTTATCCAAAGCTTTTGCCAATTTCAAGGTAACCTCTCTCTACCGGTGTGTTTGAGTTCTTTTCTAACAACAACAAATAATAGATATTTCATATTTTTATTATTGCTTGTGTTTCCTACAAAGAGAGTCGTACATAATATAAAGATTGATTCCTTTGAAGAAGAAGCTATGCTTTACAGTGGGTTCCTTTGGAACAGCCATCAGCTTCTGTTTTAGTCTACATTTAGAGTATCGATCAATGGAGTCGTTAAATCATCCATCGTTCGACTAATATGTTGTTTTCAGACGAACGCGTCCTATTTAACGAGTGGAGGATACAGAGCCAGTTCTGAGTGAGGATGTGTTTGGATAATGTAATGATGATGCAATGTGGTGTGAAAGAGAAGGAAAGAGAAGCTGAGTCAGCATGACTAAGATGATTTAAGCTGTAAACAATGGTAGAGGGAATTGCCTATGGTTTACGATGCTTTAAATGACATGGGGGGAGGGGGGTGTCAAAGGATCACCTTTAATTGTAGCTTTGAATCAGCCAGGCCTTAGAAATAGTTGGAAATATCAGGCATACAATTGTTGGAAATATCAAGCATACAACCTGGCATCCGATCTTCATTTGTTCTTTAACTTAAGTGCTAATTTAATAATTCTTTCGTCATTGTTTCATAAGTAATGTTGGAATCTCGAGTATATGGGCTGATTTTTCTATGTTAGACGATGTCTCTGGACATAGAGGGCCGCAAAGCCAGTCAAGACGCACTCAATGAGACGTACAATTTGAAGAGAAGAGATGGTCAGGCGCAGAAGTATCACGAGAGAATGCAGAAGATCAATCGAGCCTTTTCAGAGTTGCAATTCAAAACTGGAAGAAGGAAGGATGACATTGTATCTGTGTATCAGAAGATCGTTGTCCAGTTTGAAGAGTGGCTTATCAAAGTGAAGAAGCGGTTAGACTCGGGCGAGGTTTTGACAACTGACATCATTCTGTTTGAGGAGCAGCTGACTGTATGTTGTTCATTTAATTTTCTAATTGATTTTATTCAACCGAAATAAACAACATTTATTTAGTAGCTAATTACAGTTACTTGTAAGAGTCTTTCATAACAGTAGTACTAGTCAGTTTAGCAGTTTGTGAATAAATATGTGCATGGCAAACATGTAAATAAATCGATTAAGATGAAACGGACAAGGTACAAGGAGTGCGAAACATATCGTCAAAGTTGATACAAGATTTCTTGCTAAGGCTATCAATTCTAGCTAAATCATAAGCTACTCTATATCAAGTAGAATGAAAAATCACCTCTACAGTACAGCTACTCTAAAGACCTCAGGGGAGGGATGGGAAGGGATTCCATACTGACACAACTTCGCGTGCAAAAACAACTTGAAGTAACTATCACGCTTGCATACGCAATTCTCTTGTAACCTTTTTAAAGACTCTTCTCTTTTTCTTTCTCCTGCGACTAAACAATTTCACTTTGTTGATTGGATGAATTCTGTCTGATTGGAATTTACAAACAATGTCCTCAGTTGCTGCTTTTATTTTGGATATGCTCAACCTGCCGTTGTTGCTTTTTTATTTTAGCATACGCGACCATTTCATTTGTTATTTAGTATAATTTCAAAGGAAATCTTTAACATGTTGTAACTCACTTGCCTATAACTATATTCTATTGGCAATGACTGTTTTATACTCTTAAACAGTATCCTTGTCTTTGTTGATGGAGTGCTGCTCATTAAAGTGTTGTAATATAAAGAGAGATTTAGCTACAGTTTTACTTGTATACTGTGAATGATGTATTCATTTCTGTTGTTATCCTTCTGTGTAGCGAATCACCGAAGATGTTGAATCGCACAGATACGATTTCCAGCTGATAAACCAATGCGGACACGAGCTTGTCAACCTAGAGCAAGACCGAAAGTCGTCCCACCTCTTGCCGATACTCGACAGTGTAAACAAGAACTGGCAGGCTGTGGCACTCCAATTGATTAACCATAGTCGGCGATTTGACGAAGTTGTGAAGTGCGCAGAGAAGTATCATGGTATAAAGCAGCCTTTGATGTTGTGGTTGGACAAAATGGAGGGGAAAGTAACAACACTGCGTCCTGTTTCTGTTCAACCTCACATCGTGTTGGAGCAAATGTCTGAACAGAAAATGCTCCTTAATGAGACTTACAATCAAAAAGGCACTGTTGAAATTCTTACCAACATATCAAAGCAGTTGGCAGCCATTGTCAAGATCGATAGCCAAGGTTTTTATCTTACTTTTTCATACATATCGCCCTAGCTCTCTTGATTTTTTCGTAATTCTGTCTTGGTTTCTTATTGTTGTTTTCGATGAGAAGTTACACATTTTTCTGACAAGCAACATCGATTTGTCTAAATCTCTTTATCTTCCATGTCAACAGAACCCCAAAGTATCAGTGCAATCGAAGAGGAAGTTAAATCAATCCGAGAGAGATTCACAGACGTTGTGACGATCCTTGAGGCGAGGGGATCTAACATCGACGTGACTCTTTCTCAGACTGATAAGTACAATATTGCATTCAATGAAGTATCGATGCTGATGGAGAGTGCTGAAGGGTTCATATTGAGGCAAGGACCCATTTCAGACGATTTAGACGTTTTGCAGAAACAGCTTGGCGAGCAACGGGTAAAACTTTTTAAATTATTTTATTACTTCCATAAAATTGTGCGTTTTTCCAAAGTTAATCTCATGCAATCACCTTTTTGCATTCAAAGACCCTGCACCTTTTTGTAGGTAGTTTGCGAAAATGTGTTGTTTGTCTGGTTTCATCTGTCGATATTCAAAACATAACAGTAAGAGATTTTCCATTGAATGTCAACAGGCTCTTCAGAAAGACTTGGCACAGGGAACACAAGATGTATACTACGTATTGGGGCTGGGCAATGATCTTGTTGGCAATCGTGACGACGTTGATGGAGCGAAATTAATTCGAAATCAGGTCGATTCAATTTCGGCCAAATGGGAGGAAATCAACCTCCAGGCGGGCGAGAGACAGCGTCATCTGGAAGATGCCGTCGCTAGATCATTTCATCGTGACGTCACAGCGTTGCAAAACTGGTTGGACAGTACTGAAAGGGAAGTGAACATTTTTGTGGGGAAAAAGCCTACAGAAACTGAAGTTGAGCAGTATGTCCAGGTGAATAATACTACTCTTATCCAGTATTTCCTCGCTTTTTTCGCAATGCTGTGAAATTTTGTCACAGTCCCAGAACAACGTTTAGGCAAACTAAACAAGGCACACGAAAAAATATTCTTTCGTTATTTTCTAAGTCATTTTGTAGTAAAGTCAACATGCAAAAGTCATTTTCTAAGTCATTTTGTAGTAAAGTCAACAAAGAAACGAATTTATTTCAAGTTTCTATTTCACGCTGAACGTTTAGTCAGAATTTTGCCAAGAGGGGCCTAATTGAGGCATATCGACTATACTATATTTAATATGTAAATAAAGACAAGGCCACAGTAGCAAACTGCTCGACGGACTCCAATGTAATGCTTGCGGCACAAAAGTCGATTAAATGTAGCGAATAACGAAACTGCAACTTGTTGGAAACAAACAACAACGAACATAAGTACCCGATAAGGCCATATGCTTGGGTGCAATATTAACTATCTTTAATTGTTTACTTGTGTGCTATGTTTTTTGTTCTCCGCTTTTTGCAGTGTTCTTTATCTTCGACATACTATCTCAACCGTTATGGTTTACAAGGGTGTGGCAAAAATTTCATCCACCATTAATTTTATGGTAAGACTATGTTTACAAAATTGTGAAAAGCTGTGATTCAAAGGTAATTAATACAATCTCCACAAAGTTCTGGAAAATTGTTCAGTAGAGGGAAGAATATTTTATTCATGGGAAACGTCAGAATTTCTTTGATTTTTTTTACAGAAACTAATGGAAGAAGCAAACGATTATGAACGTTTGATATTTGTTGTTCGTTTGATTGCCAATGATTTGATTCAGTCTGGTGGAAACGAAGCACAACAGATTGTCAAAATCAAGTCCCATCTCGATCAGAAATGGACTGCGCTAAGCAAGAAGCTTCAAGGAACTGCTATACTGAAAGGCCGAGTCACTCTGCGTCTTCTGTTTGATGAAACTAAATTCAAAGACTTGGATGATGAGGTTTATTTCTTGTTTATCAAGCTTATCTAGTTTCTGATTTCTAATATCATTGCTTCTCTTACATATGGGTCAAAATAACGGTCATATATCTTCTAACGCTCATGAGGCTTGACAATCCATTTCAGCTAATAAGGCTTGACAATCCATGTCAAATTTTGGTCGCAGTAAAACTGATTTGTTAAAGAAGGTCAAATGACAAATTTGTGAATTGAATAAGTCTATGATGAGAATTTTATTTTGGTATGGATGATTTTACCTCAAGTATTATATATTTTGATTTTCGGTATATGTTAAAGGTTGTTTTCACATGTAAATCTTAAAAGTTTAATCTTCTATTCAAGTGCTTAAAAGTTTCGTCTGTGGAAGATGATTATGATAAATGCTTGCAGTATTTATTAAACTTCCCTACCGTATTTTTCCTAGTCCATGACAATCCTTCCTGAGACACGGAAGAGAAGATTTACTGAAAGTCCTCATGAATGTGCAGTGGACAGCAAAGCCATACATATTGAGAGAGGAACAGACGAAACTATATCAAACGGCGACCATGAGCAGACACTGGTAGCTACTGGAGTAGAGCAGACGTTCTTACTGCAGCAAAACACTGTAAACGTTGATCAAGAAACTAACATAACAACGATAGAAACACCTGGAATCCAGGGAAGTCCCTTCACAAGTATAGAGATAAGACGGAAGGATGAAAAGAAGCTGGATGAAGACAAAAGCAGAGAAGTCGTTTTCAAGACCACGAAAATAAAGCCTGTGAAACTATCGTCGATAGAAAAAGAGTTACCAAAAGAAAATCAACTTATTCAAGTTGAAAGGGTGTTTGTGACACGCATTCTGAGGGAAAGAGATGGCAGTGAACGTGTGGTGGAAAGCTCAGAAACTGTTTTACCATATGACGTTGGCCGGGAGGAGGAAGAAGAACCCGAGAAGGTTGAAGAAGTTAAAGACAGCCGTGGCCGTGTGACTAAGAGAATAACAACTAGTGAAGTGTTTTTGGAAACAAGAAAGAAGCTGGTGAAAAAGAGTCAGGTTATGCCAGATGGAAGTGAGGAGCCTCTTGAAACAAAGGTTGCAGAACCAGAAGATACCAAGGAGGTGAAGGCACCTGTAATTAAACGCATTGTAAAGCGTGTAGTGCAGCAACCAGATGGAAGGGAAAGAGTGGTTGAAGAGCCGAAATCTGTGAAACCAATTGAATTCACTGAGACTAAAGAGGATTCGAAGCCAGATGTAACTGAGAAGAGAGAAAGAGGCAAGCGTGTGCGCATCTTCACGAAGAAGGTAGTTGAAACATTCCAGAGGAAGACAGTGAAAAGAGTTACGAAAAAGCCAGACGGGAAGCAAGAAGGTCCTGTTGAAGAAGAGGTTTTAAAGCCAGTGGAACCTGTCAGCTACAGAATAGTGCGAAAAACCGTGCATCATCCAGATGGAACAGTTTCAACAAGTGAGGAGCCCGATTTCAAAATGCCAGAGGATGCAAAAGAAAGCGTAGAAGAGATAAAGGACAGACGTGGAAATGTGGTGAGAAGAGTGACGACAAGGCCAGTTCCAATGATAACTGTGAGGCGAGTCTATAGAACAATCATAATTGCCCCAGACGGAAGAGAAGTCAGCGTCCAGGAAAGGGTTGAAGAACGAGAAAAAGAAAAAGGTGTTGATGAGGTTAAAACAAGGAAAGAGGAGCACGAAGAGGTTGTTACCTTGATGGACGTTGGTCAAGTAGAATCTTTGCCAAGTGAACCGAGGGAAGAAAAGCTACCATCTGAAGAGAAGACAGTTGTCTCGAAAGATGGTATTGAGATAAGAAGAACAGTAACAATTAGAAAGAGGATTGTTAAGAGAATAATCGTCATGCCGGACGGCACAAGAAGGGAAGTGGAAGAAGAGGTGGAAGAACCTGTTGATACACCTGCAGGAGATGACTATCTCGTTATTGACAGGGAAACTGAAAAGGTTACAAGAAGAGTAGAAGAGCCTGAGGAAAGACCGGAAATGGTGCCAGAAAGAAAGCCAAGAAGAGAGCCAACGCAAAAGCCTGATTCAGGGTTGAAAGAAGAACCAGAAGAGCCTATTTCACGTATGGTTGTTGTAGAAGACGAGTCAGCACCGATGGAATCTCCAGAAGAACCCGAGAAAGAAACTGTAACATCGGTCACTGCAGATGGTCGTGTTATTCGAAAGACGGTGACTGTGAGGAAACGAATTGTCAGGAGGATCATCCAGTTACCTGATGGGACACGAAAAGAGATTGAAGAGGAGGTTCCTGTTAGTGCAGATGAGAAAGACATTGTCGAAGGCATGGAGGTCACTGTTGATGGCAGAGAAGAAAGGGTGTTGCCAGTTGAGGATGTGACTGTTGTTAGGAGAGAGACCACTCACAAAGAACCAAGACATGTTGAAAGGGTGTTTGTGACACGCATTCTGAGGGAAAGAGATGGCAGTGAACGTGTGGTGGAAAGCTCAGAAACTGTTTTACCATATGACGTTGGCCGGGAGGATGAAGAAGAACCCGAGAAGGTTGAAGAAGTTAAAGACAGCCGTGGCCGTGTGACTAAGAGAATAACAACTAGTGAAGTGTTTTTGGAAACAAGAAGGAAGCTGGTGAAAAAGAGTCAGGTTATGCCAGATGGAAGTGAGGAGCCTCTTGAAACAAAGGTTGCAGAACCAGAAAATACCAAGGAGGTGAAGGCACCTGTAATTAAACGCATTGTAAAGCGTGTAGTGCAGCAACCCGATGGAAGGGAAAGAGTGGTTGAAGAGCCGAAATCTGTGAAACCAATTGAATTCACTGAGACTAAAGAGGATTCGAAGCCAGATGTAAATGAGAAGAGAGAAAGAGGCAAGCGTGTGCGCATCTTCACGAAGAAGGTAGTTGAAACATTCCAGAGGAAGACAGTGAAAAGAGTTACGAAAAAGCCAGACGGGAAGCAAGAAGGTCCTGTTGAAGAAGAGGTTTTAAAGCCAGTGGAACCTGTCAGCTACAGAATAGTGCGAAAAACCGTTCATCATCCAGATGGAACAGTTTCAACAAGTGAGGAGCCCGATTTCAAAATGCCAGAGGATGCAAAAGAAAGCGTAGAAGAGATAAAGGACAGACGTGGAAATGTGGTGAGAAGAGTGACGACAAGGCCAGTTCCAATGATAACTGTGAGGCGAGTCTATAGAACAATCATAATTGCCCCAGACGGAAGAGAAGTCAGCGTCCAGGAAAGGGTTGAAGAACGAGAAAAAGAAAAAGGTGTTGATGAGGTTAAAACAAGGAAAGAGGAGCACGAAGAGGTTGTTACCTTGATGGACGTTGGTCAAGTAGAATCTTTGCCAAGTGAACCGAGGGAAGAAAAGCTACCATCTGAAGAGAAGACAGTTGTCTCGAAAGATGGTATTGAGATAAGAAGAACAGTAACAATTAGAAAGAGGATTGTTAAGAGAATAATCGTCATGCCGGACGGCACAAGAAGGGAAGTGGAAGAAGAGGTGGAAGAACCTGTTGATACACCCGCAGGAGATGACTATCTCGTTATTGACAGGGAAACTGAAAAGGTTACAAGAAGAGTAGAAGAGCCTGAGGAAAGACCGGAAATGGTGCCAGAAAGAAAGCCAAGAAGAGAGCCAACGCAAAAGCCTGATTCAGGGTTGAAAGAAGAACCAGAAGAGCCTATTTCACGTATGGTTGTTGTAGAAGACGAGTCAGCACCGATGGAAACTCCAGAAGAACCCGAGAAAGAAACTGTAACATCGGTCACTGCAGATGGTCGTGTTATTCGAAAGACGGTGACTGTGAGGAAACGAATTGTCAGGAGGATCATCCAGTTACCTGATGGGACACGAAAAGAGATTGAAGAGGAGGTTCCTGTTAGTGCAGATGAGAAAGACATTGTCGAAGGCATGGAGGTCACTGTTGATGGCAGAGAAGAAAGGGTGTTGCCAGTTGAGGATGTGACTGTTGTTAGGAGAGAGACCACTCACAAAGAACCAAGACATGTTGAAAGGGTGTTTGTGACACGCATTCTGAGGGAAAGAGATGGCAGTGAACGTGTGGTGGAAAGCTCAGAAACTGTTTTACCATATGACGTTGGCCGGGAGGATGAAGAAGAACCCGAGAAGGTTGAAGAAGTTAAAGACAGCCGTGGCCGTGTGACTAAGAGAATAACAACTAGTGAAGTGTTTTTGGAAACAAGAAAGAAGCTGGTGAAAAAGAGTCAGGTTATGCCAGATGGAAGTGAGGAGCCTCTTGAAACAAAGGTTGCAGAACCAGAAGATACCAAGGAGGTGAAGGCACCTGTAATTAAACGCATTGTAAAGCGTGTAGTGCAGCAACCAGATGGAAGGGAAAGAGTGGTTGAAGAGCCGAAATCTGTGAAACCAATTGAATTCACTGAGACTAAAGAGGATTCGAAGCCAGATGTAACTGAGAGGAGAGAAAGAGGCAAGCGTGTGCGCATCTTCACGAAGAAGGTAGTTGAAACATTCCAGAGGAAGACAGTGAAAAGAGTTACGAAAAAGCCAGACGGGAAGCAAGAAGGTCCTGTTGAAGAAGAGGTTTTAAAGCCAGTGGAACCTGTCAGCTACAGAATAGTGCGAAAAACCGTTCATCATCCAGATGGAACAGTTTCAACAAGTGAGGAGCCCGATTTCAAAATGCCAGAGGATGCAAAAGAAAGCGTAGAAGAGATAAAGGACAGACGTGGAAATGTGGTGAGAAGAGTGACGACAAGGCCAGTTCCAATGATAACTGTGAGGCGAGTCTATAGAACAATCATAATTGCCCCAGACGGAAGAGAAGTCAGCGTCCAGGAAAGGGTTGAAGAACGAGAAAAAGAAAAAGGTGTTGATGAGGTTAAAACAAGGAAAGAGGAGCACGAAGAGGTTGTTACCTTGATGGACGTTGGTCAAGTAGAATCTTTGCCAAGTGAACCGAGGGAAGAAAAGCTACCATCTGAAGAGAAGACAGTTGTCTCGAAAGATGGTACTGAGATAAGAAGAACAGTAACAATTAGAAAGAGGATTGTTAAGAGGATAATCGTCATGCCGGACGGCACAAGAAGGGAAGTGGAAGAAGAGGTGGAAGAACCTGTTGATACACCTGCAGGAGATGACTATCTTGTTATTGACAGGGAAACTGAAAAGGTTACAAGAAGAGTAGAAGAGCCTGAAGAGAGACCGGAAATGGTGCCAGAAAGAAAGCCAAGAAGAGAGCCAACGCAAAAGCCTGATTCAGGGTTGAAAGAAGAACCAGAAGAGCCTATTTCACGTATGGTTGTTGTAGAAGACGAGTCAGCACCGATGGAATCTCCAGAAGAACCCGAGAAAGAAACTGTAACATCGGTCACTGCAGATGGTCGTGTTATTCGAAAGACGGTGACTGTGAGGAAACGAATTGTCAGGAGGATCATCCAGTTACCTGATGGGACACGAAAAGAGATTGAAGAGGAGGTTCCTGTTAGTGCAGATGAGAAAGACATTGTCGAAGGCATGGAGGTCACTGTTGATGGCAGAGAAAAAATGGTGTTGCCAGTTGAGGATGTGACTGTTGTTAGGAGAGAGACCACTCACAAAGAACCAAGACATGTTGAAAGGGTGTTTGTGACACGCATTCTGAGGGAAAGAGATGGCAGTGAACGTGTGGTGGAAAGCTCAGAAACTGTTTTACCATATGACGTTGGCCGGGAGGATGAAGAAGAACCCGAGAAGGTTGAAGAAGTTAAAGACAGCCGTGGCCGTGTGACTAAGAGAATAACAACTAGTGAAGTGTTTTTGGAAACAAGAAGGAAGCTGGTGAAAAAGAGTCAGGTTATGCCAGATGGAAGTGAGGAGCCTCTTGAAACAAAGGTTGCAGAACCAGAAGATACCAAGGAGGTGAAGGCACCTGTAATTAAACGCATTGTAAAGCGTGTAGTGCAGCAACCAGATGGAAGGGAAAGAGTGGTTGAAGAGCCGAAATCTGTGAAACCAATTGAATTCACTGAGACTAAAGAGGATTCGAAGCCAGATGTAAATGAGAAGAGAGAAAGAGGCAAGCGTGTGCGCATCTTCACGAAGAAGGTAGTTGAAACATTCCAGAGGAAGACAGTGAAAAGAGTAACGAAAAAGCCAGACGGGAAGCAAGAAGGTCCTGTTGAAGAAGAGGTTTTAAAGCCAGTGGAACCTGTCAGCTACAGAATAGTGCGAAAAACCGTTCATCATCCAGATGGAACAGTTTCAACAAGTGAGGAGCCCGATTTCAAAATGCCAGAGGATGCAAAAGAAAGCGTAGAAGAGATAAAGGACAGACGTGGAAATGTGGTGAGAAGAGTGACGACAAGGCCAGTTCCAATGATAACTGTGAGGCGAGTCTATAGAACAATCATAATTGCCCCAGACGGAAGAGAAGTCAGCGTCCAGGAAAGGGTTGAAGAACGAGAAAAAGAAAAAGGTGTTGATGAGGTTAAAACAAGGAAAGAGGAGCACGAAGAGGTTGTTACCTTGATGGACGTTGGTCAAGTAGAATCTTTGCCAAGTGAACCGAGGGAAGAAAAGCTACCATCTGAAGAGAAGACAGTTGTCTCGAAAGATGGTATTGAGATAAGAAGAACAGTAACAATTAGAAAGAGGATTGTTAAGAGAATAATCGTCATGCCGGACGGCACAAGAAGGGAAGTGGAAGAAGAGGTGGAAGAACCTGTTGATACACCCGCAGGAGATGACTATCTCGTTATTGACAGGGAAACTGAAAAGGTTACAAGAAGAGTAGAAGAGCCTGAGGAAAGACCGGAAATGGTGCCAGAAAGAAAGCCAAGAAGAGAGCCAACGCAAAGCCTGATTCAGGGTTGAAAGAAGAACCAGAAGAGCCTATTTCACGTATGTTGTTGTTAGAAGACGAGTCAGCACCGATGGAAACTCCAGAAGAACCTGAGAAAGAAACTGTAACATCGGTCACTGCAGATGGTCGTGTTATTCGAAAGCGGTGACTGTGAGGAAACGAATTGTCAGGAGGATCATCCAGTTACCTGATGGGACACGAAAAGAGATTGAAGAGGAGGTTCTGTTGTGCAGATGAGAAAGACATTGTCGAAGGCATGGAGGTCACTGTTGATGGCAGAGAAAAAGGGGTTTGCCAGTTGAGGATGTGACTGTTGTTAGGGAGACCATCACAAAGAACCAAGACATATTGAAAGGTGTTTGTGACACGCATTCTGAGGGAAAGAGACTGGAGTGAACGTGTGGTGGAAAGCTCAGAAACTGTTTACCATATGACGTTGGCCGGGAGGATGAAAGAAGAACCCGAGAAGGGTTAAGAAGTTAAAGGACAGCCGTGCCGTGTGACTAAGAGAATAACAACTAGTGAAGTGTTTTGGAAACAAGAAGGAACTGGTGAAAAAGAGTCAGGTATGCCAGATGGAAGTGAGGAGCCTCTTGAAACAAAGGTTGCAGAACCAGAAGATACCAAGGAGGTGAGGCACCTGTAATTAAACGCATTGTAAAGCGTGTAGTGCAGCAACCAGATGGAAGGGAAAGAGTGGTTGAAGAGCCGAAATCTGTGAAACCAATTGAATTCACTGAGACTAAAGAGGATTCGAAGCCAGATGTAAATGAGAGAGAGAAAGAGGCAAGCGTGTGCGCATCTTCACGAAGAAGTAGTTGAAACATTCCAGAGGAAGACAGTGAAAAGAGTACGAAAAGCCAGACGGGAAGCAAGAAGGTCCTGTGAAGAAGAGGTTTAAAGCCAGTGGAACCTGTCAGCTACAGAATAGTGCGAAAAACCGTTCATCATCCAGATGGAACAGTTTCAACAAGTGAGGAGCCCGATTTCAAAATGCCAGAGGATGCAAAAGAAAGCGTAGAAGAGATAAAGGACAGACGTGGAAATGTGGTGAGAAAGAGTGACGACAAGGCCAGTTCCAATGATAACTGTGAGGCGAGTCTATAGAAACAATCATAATTCCCCAGACGGAAGAGAAGTCAGCGTCCAGGAAAGGGTTTGAAGAACGAGAAAAAGAAAAAGGTTGATGAGGTTAAACAAGGAAAGAGGAGCACGAAGAGGTTGTTACCTTGATGGACGTTGGTCAAGTAGAATCTTTGCCAAGTGAACCGAGGAAGAAAAGCTACCATCTGAAGAGAAGACAGTTGTCTCGAAAGATGGTATTGAGATAAGAAGAACAGTAACAATTAGAAAGAGGATTGTTAAGAGGATAATGTCATGCCGGACGGCACAAGAAGGGAAGTGGAAGAAGAGGTGGAAGAACCTGTTGATACACCTGCAGGAGATGACTATCTTGTTATTGACAGGGAAACTGAAAAGGTTACAAGAAGAGTAGAAGAGCTGAAGAAGAACGGAAATGGTGCCAGAAAGAAAGCCAAGAAGAGAGCCAACGCAAAGCCTGATTCAGGGTTGAAAGAAGAACCAGAAGAGCCTATTTCACGTATGGTTGTTGTGAAGAGAGTCAGCACCGATGGAAACTCCAGAAGAACCTGAGAAAGAAACTGTAACATCGGTCACTGCAGATGGTCGTGTTATTCGAAAGACGGTGACTGTGAGGAAACGAATTGTCAGGAGGATCATCCAGTTACCTGATGGGACACGAAAAGAGATTGAAAGAGGAGGTTCCTGTTAGTGCAGATGAGAAAGACATTGTCGAAGGCATGGAGGTCACTGTTGATGGCAGAGAAGAAAAGGGTGTTGCCAGTTGAGGATGTGACTGTTGTAGGAGAAGACCACTACAAAGAACAAGACATATTGAAAGGGTGTTTGTGACACGCATTCTGAGGAAAGAGATGGCAGTGAACGTGTGGTGGAAAGCTCAGAAACTGTTTTAACATATGACGTTGGCCGGGAGGATGAAGAAGAACCCGAGAAGGTTGAAGAGTTAAAGACAGCCGTGGCCGTGTGACTAAGAGAATAACAACTATGAAGTGTTTTTGGAAACAAGAAAGCTGGTGAAAAAGAGTCAGGTTATGCCAGATGGAAGTGAGGAGCCTCTTGAAACAAAGGTTGCAGAACCAGAAAGATACCAAGGAGGTGAAGGCACCTGTAATTAAACGCATTGTAAAGCGTGTAGTGCAGCAACCGAGGGAAGGGAAAGAGTGGTTGAAGAGCCGAAATCTGTGAAACCAATTGAATTCACTGAGACTAAGAAGGATTCGAAGCCAGATGTAAATGAGAAGAGAGAAAGAGGCAAGCGTGGTGGCATCTTCACGAAGAAGGTAGTTGAACATTCCAGAGGAAGACAGTGAAAAGAGTTACGAAAAAGCCAGACGGGAAGCAAGAAGGTCCTGAGGAAGTTGTTCGTTTCAAACTTGTCGATGTTGATTTTTCGGAAAGCCCTAATTTGCAGGAGTCGGTTGAAGATGTTAAGGATAAGAAAGGAATCGTTATCCGTAGAATTGTTTTGAAGGCTGTTCCTGTGGTTACCACTCGCAAAGTTTTTCGAACCATTGTTGTGTCTTCTGATGGAAAGGAGGAGTCGGTTCAAGAAAGGGTTGAGGACTTCAAAAAGCATTCGAAAGTTGCTCCTCTCACTGAGTTGAAAGTTGATCTCCCTGTTGATGACTTCATTGATGCTTCTGATATGTCCACTGATATGTCATCAGAGCTTTGCATCCCAAATATCAAGCCAAAACTTGTTGAAAGAGTTTCTGTATCTTATGTTGTGAGACACGACGATGGCACTGAGCAGCAAATCAAGAAATCTGATACAATTTCACCGATGTACCCAGACTCTGATGATGAGAAGGGCGAATATACTGAGGTAAGCAAGAACGAGAAGGGAGATGTCTTAGTTACTGTCACGCCTGTATATTATTTGACCAAAAAAGAGTTGACAAGGAAAACAAAGATCGATTCTTTTGGCCATGAAGAAATTGTTGATGAGAAAGTTATCAACGAGGAAAAATCTGAGATCAAAGCACCAGTGATAAAACGTCAAGTTAAGAAAATGATAGAAGATCCAGCTGGTGAAGAACGGGTTGTGGAAGATGTTGAATATGTTGAACCTTTTGAAGTCATCGAGGAAGAAGAGGAAGGAAAGCCTGATGTGACTGAAAAGTTTGAAAGTGGGACGCGATTTAAAATATTGGAAAGAAAAGTGACTAAGACCTTGAAGAAGAAGTTTTACAGAAGAACCTATCATAAAACAACTGGTATGAAGGAAAGGCCCTCTGAGGAAGTGACAATTCGGTATGTGGAGCCAATTGACTACAAAGTGGTTGAAAGAAAGGAGCAGGACAAGGATGGAAACGAAGTAGTGTTGAAAGAACCGAAGTATGTCTTCCCCGAAGACGCTCTTCCGATGTCAAAAGATGTCAAAGATAAAAAAGGTGACGTGGTGAAGAAAATCTTACTTGAACCTAAGCCTGTAATTACGGCTCGCAGAATTTCAAGAGTTATTGTCCTTGCGCCTGATGGCACTCAGCAAAGTGTGCAAGAGAATGTTGATGAAAATGACCAAGTGCCCCAGCTGGAGAGGCATTCTTCTCAGCGCAGTTATGACAAAGTAAACATTAGTTATTCGACTTCAGCAACGCAAAGTGGATATGGAAAGTCACAACTGAGTGATGTTACCGGAAAGAAAATCACGTCCTTTGCAGTTTCTGAAGAAAGTAATGTAACAGAATCAGAGAAGGTCAATTATTTTGTGAAAGAAGAAATACAAGGGACGCAGATGCAGCCAATGGTTGAAGCTTTTAGTCGTGTTACAGAAGTTGAGGATAGTGCCACTACAGATGTGACGGTAGCTGTCCAAATGGCAGGTACGGAAAAGATGGAGCCGAACAAAGTTGAAAAAGTGTACAATACAAAGATTGTTTTGAATGAAGATGGCACAGAAAGGGTAATCGAAACATCAGAGACAATTATTCCTGTTTTTATGTCTGGGAAGCAGTTTGCGCGGAACGGTACATTTATCAAAAGGGAGCGTATGTACGAAAAGTTATATAATGTTGACGATGAAGGGGAAGAAACGCTTTACCAAAGCAAAGAGATCGAGCCTGAAAAGGTGGTGGATCTTGGCGACAGTTGTGATGAAATAATCTCCGATCAAGATGACCCTAAGCCCTTGAGAGTCTTCATTACAAAAGATGAAGGTCTCCCAGAGAAAACTACTATAAGGGAAAAAGATAGATCTGTGCAGTTGATAAAAAGAAAAGTCAGAGAGATAGACATCAAACAAGTAGAGAGATTGCAAGGGGTTGATCATGGTGTACCGATAGAGGAAGCTGTGTTGCCGGTTGAGCCGATAAGTGTAACATATGTAAAAAAGGTACTGGATAGAGGTGATGAAACGAGTGTCGAAATTGAAGAGCCTATGTACAAGATGCCCGAAGGATTGACTGATACAGTGGAGGAGGAAAAAGACAATCATGGAAAAGTTTTAAGAAAAATCGTTTCGAAGCCTCTCCCTGCCGTAACTTCAAAGAAGGTTTTCCGCACTGTTTTTGTTACTTCTAAAGGCTCGGAAATTCGACGCTCCGAGCACACAGAAGACACGCTGAAAATGACCGAGCTGAAAGATTCCGAAACAAAACCAAAGATCGAACGGGTTGTGGCAGAGGCAGCACTGGAGGAGGTTAGGAAAGACGAACATACTATGGATTTACCTGTGGGTTCGATTAGTGACACCGAGCCTAGATTTGTTATTCGTGACGGAAAGAAGTTCTTTGCCAAAGAAATTAACGCTGTTGAAGCAGAAATACCAAGTGGTTTAGAAATCGTACCTAAACATCCGAAAAAAGTTGAAAGAATCTTTTCTACGATAATAGAACGTTCCACTTCTGGTCAGGATACGATAAAAGAACAATCTGAAGCCATTTTACCTATTGGCCAGTACGAGGAGGACGTGGAAAAAGTTGATACGATCAAAAACAACCGTGGTACCGTTGTAAATAAAGTTAAAACATCTCCTATAGCCATTTCAATTTCTAGTACATCTATTCATAAAAGTGCAGTTCTTTCAGATGGGAAAGAAATTCCCAAAGGCACAACAGTTGTACAGAAGGAAGAGCCACAGGAAACAGTTATGCCAGTTGTTCGAAATGTCGTTAAGGGAAAATTGAAAGGAAAGGCGGGAACAGCATTGTATTTCAAGGAGAAGAAGTTGGTCCCGAAACTAGAGACATTGCTGAAAAAGGAGCATGGAGAAAATGTTCGTGTCGTCAAAAGAAAGTCTGTTTGTAGAGATTTCAAGAAAGCAATCAAGCGGCAATGGAAAACTGCTGATGGGAAGCCCGAGGGTCCTGAAGAGCAGTTGATTATCGAGCCAGTCGAAGTGACAGACTACAAAGTGGTTGAAAAGAAAGTTAAAGAACCTGGTAAAAAAGAGAAAGAGACACTTGAAACTTCTTATTTGTTGCCCAGTGAAAGCTTTAAAGAGCCTGAGGAAATTAAAGACAAAAAGGGTGTTGTAATAAAAAGAATTACAAAGCTCCCTCTTCCTGTGATAACTGCACGAAAAGTTTATCGAATCACTATAATTTCACCTAATGGAGAAGAGCTAAGCACTGACGAAAAAGCTGTTGACCAGGAACTACCATGTGAACCCCAAGAAGATGTCGAGGAAGCCAAGTTATCGTTTTTCCCAGCGCCTGTAACGGCAGCAACTGAAAAGCCAAAAGACCAATCAAGACACCCAGCAAAGAAAAGTCCTGAGGCTGCAAGAAAGTCTCCTACACAGCGAAACAAAAGCTCTGTCGAAGATGAAACAAGAGAGACGTCGCCTGTATCAGGGAAGAAGTTGCCAGTTTCAGGGAAGAAGCCAAAGGTTGATGAGAAACAAACACCAAGTCCAGAGACTAAACCTTCAACAACAGGTCGCCCGGTTGTAGATGAAACAGGGAAGACGTCGCCTGTATCAGGGAAGAAGTTGCCAGTGTCAGGGAAGAAGCCAAAGGTTGATGAGAAACGAACACCAAGTACAGAAGCTAAACCTTCAACAACAGATCGCCCGGTTGTAGATGAAACAGGGAAGACATCGCCCGTATCAGGGAAGAAGTTGCCAGTGTCAGGGAAGAAGCCAAAGGTTGATGAGAAACGAACACCAAGTCCAGATGCTAAACCTTCAACAACTGATCGCCCGGTTGTAGATGAAACAGGGAAGACATCGCCCGTATCAGGGAAGAAGTTGCCAGTGTCAGGGAAGAAGCCAAAGGTTGATGAGAAACGAACACCAAGTCCAGATGCTAAACCTTCAACAACTGATCGCCCGGTTGTAGATGAAACAGGGAAGACATCGCCCGTATCAGGGAAGAAGTTGCCAGTGTCAGGGAAGAAGCCAAAGGTTGATGAGAAACGAACACCAAGTCCCGAGGCTAGACCTTCAACTGATCGCACCAAGAAAGAGCAATTGCCCCAAAAGGTTCGCAAAGAAAAAGTGCACACTACCATCCAGCCAAAAGCCGAGGCAGTTGAAGAACTCATCCCATTCACATTTACAGATGATGTGGAATCAACGCCAGACATATTAGAGCCTATGCTGGACAGTAATGTAGTCTTTGGTATGACTGATGCACCAAGAATGACGGTAGATGAAAAGGAGGCCATCGGGAGGGAATTGTTCCAGGATGAATTTAGTGACGAGGAAGATTTCAAACCCCAAGAGAAACCCGTTAAGGAAAGAGAAATCCCCAGGCGGTTCGAATCGGCTGTCAGGAAGGTTACTTATGTGAATTATTGGCAGAAAAGGAAGGAGAGTGTGGAAAAGCCTAGATTACAGCCTGTGGAGGAGCACATTTTAAGATTTGGAAGACAAGAATGCCAGTTGAAAAGACACTGGGAGGTTGTCATTAAAACGGCAGATGTCGAAGAGGATTTGCCAGACTATGAATCACATATGATGTGGCTGACATTTGTTGAAAGAGAGCTTTCGTCTTCAAGCCCTGTCAGTTATCGACTGGATGATCTGCAAGAACAGAAAACGTACCATGAGGTGAGTTTTGACCCCAACCAAGCAATATTTATGTTTTTATTTAATATTTCATTTCTTATCCATCTTTTTTAGCAATTATTTCATCATAAGAGTACAACATTTTGCTGCCGATATTCTTCAGGACAATTAAATTTCATGAATTTTATTACAATGCACACTCGTTATGGCGATGTTGTTTTTTGTTTTAGTCATACTGAATTATCTTGCAGTGGAAGGACTGCCTGTATCGTGTTAGAACTGCGCGTATCGTGGAAAAACTGCGCGTATCGTGGAAGAGGAGTTGACCAAATTCTAATCTCTAACGTTGCATTGTAAAGATGTGTTTCGTAACGTGGCCTCGAAGAGAGGATTAGCACGATTTCCGAAACATTTCGTTGAAACATCTATGTAAACCCATCTTTTGCTTGATTCTTTTTCAGAGCCTTCTTGAGGATTTAGAAAATCACAAAGCTACGAACGATGCTTTATTAAAAGCAATTGAGAAGTTGCCCAGTAGTCTGGAACCAGGCACGGAGAGGAAAGAAATAATTGAAGAACTTGTGGATACTTCTACGCGATTTAATCGCCTGTTGAAGATATCGGAGGAAAGAAAGAAGTTGATTGAGGAGGTAGAGCCAATGGTCAAGGAAGAAAATGACCAGATTGCACCAGTCGAAAGTCTGAACAAAGAAGCTGAGAAGATTTTGTCTGAGAAGCCTAAGGTTGTCAATATTGACACCATCGAAGAGAAGATCAAACAGTTAAGGGTATGTAAATGCAAATGTCAAATGGGATGATGACAATTTTTGTATTTCCAGTGTCGTATGTCAAGTGGTTACCCGTCTTACAAAACTTATTTCTCATGTTTTCAAATTCTGTTTGTTTGATGAAACATTGTAAGCTCTTGCAATCGTTATTCGTGTATATCAGTTGAGCGAGTCCAAATTTTCTTTAGGATCTGAAACAAGAGCTTGTTGAACACGAGAAAACACTTGGCGATATCAAGGCAACAAGTGCGAAACTCTCTAGATTTAGAACAAATGAACCTGTTAAAAGAGCAGCAACAGATCGCTGTGAGAAAGTCCTGGAAAAGCGTGAAGAAATCATAAGATTGACTGATGGGCAGCTTTTTGCACTGGAGAAACAGCGCGACAAAGCAAAGGCATTTTACGATGCGGTTAAGGAAATTGACGATTGGAGGCCAAAGATTGAGGATAGTCTTGGAGAGGAAGAACCAGTTTCAAAGGACATAGATCACCTCAAATCACAGCTTGTTAAATACGAGGTTATTTTTTTAACGTTATATTTATTTGATTAATTTTAGTTTAAAAAGCTTTTTAAGATGCTGCTTGGATGTGAATGGTGATAATAAAGTGCATGCTATTCTCTTTGTTGTAGCATAACTGCAATTCGTGTGAATTTTTTGGTTAGAGCATTGCTCTACTCTGCGTTGATTTGCCTTGAAATGGTTTTTTCGTTATCTTATTTGGACGCTTTGTAACCCATTTTTTCATAGCAGCTTTTGTCTAATTAAACGTTTCTTTTTGTTGAAACAGGGACTAAGAAAGGAACTTGACAGCAAAAGACCGAATGTTGTGTTGATTCAGGACAATAGTCGATGGCTGATTCAAAATCTTTATGAAACAGATGCAAGGTAACCATGTTGTTTTTTTAACCTTGTTTCGTTAGTGTTGACTGGTGATACCAGAAAGAATGTTTTTGGTCTTGCTACATACATTTATTTCTACCCTTCTTGGTGTATAGAACAGGACGGCTCTAAGTTACTACTCCGAGTTTCATGCCGTTTTTATTCGGGTCCCAAGTGATTTTTTCGGCCTCGCTGTTGTTTGTTTTTATGAGCTCAAAATCTCATTATTGTCCTAATCATTTCCTTTCGTTTCGATAGTCACATATAACTCTGAATCAATTTGTTTTTACCAGGGGAAGGAGACATTCAACCGCTGACGACATTTTTGAGAAACTGAACAAAACAAACAATGTTGTAGAGAATATAAACGACCGAGTGTCGGCTCGACTGCAGAAATTGAAAGTATTCATCGCGGAAGTAGAGGACTTCCAGGAACTGATTGATAACTTTGAAAAATGGTTGAAAGGAACTGAAAAGAACTTAGAAACTTTTAAGGTGTTGCCATTTACTGTAAAGGAAACCAAAAGCGTACAAGAAAAATTTCAGGTTTGTTTATTATCGTTGTACAAAAATGTAGAAGTCATATTGACAGAAATGGTCGGTCTGATGAGTTTTTGTAGCAATTTTATTTACCTGGGGCGTCTTTTTGATAGAGATTCTGTGGGGGTGTTACCTTGAAGACTGAAAGGGGTGTTAGTTTGAGGTCTATTGAGGGGTGGTATCGTGAGTGCTATTAAGGGATTGCGCCCTTTAAAAGCCCCTTATACCAAAGTGGCGTTATCTTGTTCCAAAGAAGCCCTGAATAATTAATAAATGCGTTGAAACAAGCTTTTCATTCTGGTTACATTTTGTAGTGAAAATGCTTTCCGACGATTAATTGCAACTCAATTTCGCTTTGTATGCAGATGGGTGTCATTGCCTGCCAACGAAAGTGTATTTTTCTGTGTTAGCTGGCATTTAGACCTTTTGTTTGTTATATGACCTATAAAAGAAACTGTAGTCTGTGGCCACTTATAAAAGCATCACTGTTAAACAGTTCCATCATTGAATTCTTCAGCCACTTTATGAAGATATCATGAATCATGATGCTCTTTTTGGCGAATTGTTGAGACGCGGGCAGCAACAAACTGACGCACTGCAACCTGGGAGGGAGAAGGAAAAGACGAGCAAAAGAATAAAGGACATATCAGACCGCTGGCAGAAGATAAATCGCACTGCGAAGGAGCGCAATGAAAAGATTTCACGTCTGTACCCTTGTGTCGTTGATTATTATGAAAGTAAATCGGTTCTTGAAGACGTCATCAAAAGTGGCGAAAACTGCTTGAAAGTTGTGTCATCTTCAGGATTCGACGTTGAAACTGGACGAAAACAATTAAATGAAATCAGGGTAAGTCTATAAAGTCTTAGGAAATAACCATTTTATTTACAATGGCTTTCTGAGAAATAGTCATGTCATTCTACAGAAACAGTTGCCAGCAACGTTCTTCGTGTTAGGGTTAAGGCAGAAACAGTTGCCCTTATTCATTAGCCGCCCTCCAGTATAAGCAGCCCAAAATGAACCTTAAAGAAGAATATTCCAAACCTTGAATGAAGGCTGCATTCCCATTCGGGGAAAATCAATATGAAGTTATTTGCTTCAAATAAACGTGACTATGGATTCCTCTTGCAGCTAAGAATACCAATTAGGTTTGAAATTGTTGCATATTACTATGATAATCTGTTAATGATTTTGTTTGAATGTAAGTTAAAATTATTTTCTTTATTGCAATGCAGAAAACCCTGAATGGGTTTGATCGCCAGGAGGAATTAGTGGTGTTCATGACTCGATCTGCAACTGCTATTGAAGGGTACGTGTCAGACAAGTCGGTGCTGTCCCTGAAGAAAGGCTGTAGAAATTGTGCTGATAAATTTAGTGAGGTAAGGCGAAAGCTTAAAGATAAGGAAATTGCCATTGAAAGAGATTTGCATGATGTAGAACAACTGGAGAACCTATTTTTGACCATTGAAGACCGCAAGATGGTCATCGAGCAGCTGCAGAATGAAGTGAATGAAAGCAGTACTGAATTGGATGATATACAAAGAAATTTGGAGATTACAAAGGTACGTGGTTGCTTAGTTAGGTAAAAAAGGGAGTGTAATAGTTACACCATGGCAAGGTTTGCGTAGAATGGTCGTTTTCATGTTTCAATTATTGCTTTTACGTCAATACTATCTGTGAGACTCAGTTGCTGAATTGACTGGAGTTTTAACATCTGTTTGTTTTATGCTTCTTATGGCCGTTTGTCAAAATATGTTCGTTTACCTCTCGAAGGAAATCATGGTAATCGTGATGGAGATCATAACTATCATTGAAATCATCGAGAAGCTAATCATCGTGGTAAAGAAGAAGTATCGGGACTCATCAACGATTTTGAAGACCATTGTAACCAAAGAAAGTGAGATCAAAGTCATAAGGACCTGGACCATTGAGACATCTGAAGTAATAGTCGAAAAGCAGAAAAGTATTGAAATCAAATTAGGCAAACAGGAGGATGTGACAAAGGAGCTTGCCCAAGTTTCAGAGGAGCTTTCCATGATCGAGGCACATTTGTTGACCCAGACACCGATTTCGGCAGATTATCATGTTTTGAGGAGCCAGCAATCAGAGCATTCGGTAATTATGCATGCTCACATTAGAAATTATAATTATGCATTGCAACTTCAGTTCCCATGTAAACTCCATTGTATTATGCAGTATCTTAGTATCAGGGCCGACCCTCGTGCAAATATTGGAGTAGGGGGCAAGCCAATTGTTTTGATCAGATGTCGTCACATTTTCCCATTGTTTTAGAGCAAAAAGACCATTGTCTTCCAAATTTTCTGGGGCCCCCCCTCGCCCCCAGATGTCCGCATTGCTTAGTATTGGGCTTAATTAGTGGTAATCATTCATTTGCGATGATTAGAAATTGTAAGGGGCTCCTTTTAGATGTGGAGTTATGATTTTTTTTAAGGTTGATTTTATGATTTTTTCGCTGCAGGCAATAACGCTTGAAACAAGCTCTTTGCAACACTCGGTAAAGCAAGTAGTTGAAGACGTCAAAGAAAAACTAAAAAATGTGGAAGCTGAGAAAGAGAAAATGTCTTTGAGTGCAGCTATTAATGACATCGAGCGTCGATGGGATGTTGTAAACAAGAAAGTTACAAGTCGCCAAAACTCTATTAAGAAGCTTCATCCTTCTGCAGAAGTATATAGATCAGAAAGTGAAAAGCTAATGCCATGGCTTCTAACTGTTGACAAAGATATTGCTTTAGTTAAGCCACTATCAAGTCGTCTTGAAGTCCTTGTTCAGCAGAAGAGGGCAATTGAGGTGGGAAATCATTTCAAGCATTTGCCGTTTGCGTTTTGTTTAAAATATTAATAAGAATTATCGCTAACACAGAGAAGGATCAAAATTTTTCCTGTGGAAACATATTTTTGTTATCCATCTTTCATTTGTCCCTGTCTCCCTGCCTCTTAATTTACCATCTCTCAGTATCTTTGTCTTTCTGTCTGAAATATCTGTTCAATTTCGTACCGATCATTTATTCTATCAAGTTTTTGATTTGAAGAGGTTTCTGTCTTAAATATATTTCTTTTAATTTACGTAGGATTTGGTTAAAGAAAGTGAGCAGAGGAAAGTTGTTCTTGAACGATGCAAGAGTTCAGCAAAAATGTTGCTGGATATTTCTGGGACTGAATCAAAAGACAAGCAGATAGTAGATCAAGAAACTGTCAAAGAAGAGGTCTCATTTTTCAGTAAGAAGTTCCAAGTGGTATCAGAAAAGTTGAATGATGTCAGAAAGCAAGCAGAAAACATCGAAAAGGAATTGACTGTGTTTTACGATAAGGAAAGAGTTCTAGAAGATTTGCTAGAAGAAGTGGATGACATTGTCGATGGCAAATGTGCTGTCTCAACTTTGCCAGAGAAGTGCACGCAACGCCTTGAAACTCTAAAGGTAAAATAAACTTTGTTATTTTGCTTCTCCTTACTTTTCGTTTCTTATTAAAAAGGAATTATAACACACTACAAATGGTGTTTCGGTCTCTCGACTGAAGCATTAGAACGAACTAATCATTGTGTCTGGAGTTACTTTGTCGTAAATTGCAGGCCTGGCCTTATTCCGATTATTGAATTTGATTTGGAATGTTTTCATTTTAGAGCTTCATTGCGCGAGTCGATAACCAAGAAAACGACTTGAAGGCCTTCACCAAAGCCGCCGACAATTTGCATAAGCTGATGGACCAATACGAAAGTGAAGATGAAGAAATTACTGATAAAAAGGTGCACTTAAATGAGCGCTTCCGAAATGCCCGTGCTAAGTTGACTGAAAGACTGTCCGACTCTGACCAAGTTTTAAACAAGGCCAAACTGTTCAGTGATGCTGTGAAAGAGTCATACAAATTGGTCACAAATCTCACAGAGAAGACTGAACCAAAGTTGAAAGGCATGCCAAGTGACGTAAAGAAGTTAGAAAGTCTCGTCAAAGATGTCGAGGTATCTAGTTTTTTTATGTGCTTTTACTGAGCATGTAATCACCAGGTGGCTACATCTACCATTCCAAAATTATCATAAAATGTTGGTACTCCCGTTTAGCCTTTGTGCAAGGCAGCGTGTCCATCTTGATTGCACTCGCGTGCATGATTGTTAAACAGCTGTACTATGATTTGATAGGTTTAGGCCAAGCCACTCCAACCGTGACTGGTTTGGACCAGGCCACTCTAACCTTGATTGGTTCGGGCCAAGCCGCACCCCCTGACAGCTACCCCTGCCTCTAAGCGATGATTGTTAAATAATATTTAAAACAACCAGATAAAATAGGTCATATTTGTTGCTGGTTTTGCCGCTGATTTGCAGATTTAGCAACTGCTTCTCTATGATATTCTTAAATGCAGGATTCGATGATGGAATTGGTGAATATTAGAGTAAAGCTAGAAAATGGGAAGAACTATGGAGATTGGTTAATAGAAAAGAGTCGCCAAAACCCACTAGTTGTTAACGAAGTGACAGGTCGCATAGGCGAAGTTACAAAGTCAGCTGACAAGATCTCTCGTCATCTCAGTGTTTTTAAGAAGGAGTTAGAGAACAAGTTGATACAGCAGAAAGGCTTCGTGGAACTAGTAGAAGATTTCGGAGCCAAACTTGAGAAAGCTGAACAAAAGGTAAATAGGTTGCGACCTGTTTCTGCGAGGTATTTGACTGCACGGAAGCAGCATGAAGACTTCAAGCCAATTTTCAGGGAAATCCAGAGCTTAAAACAAGTGAGCGATGCCGTTATGGTTGAAAAGGAAAAAACAGAGCATGGTACAGACAGTGCTTTGCTGAGCAGCGAAACAGATGAGAGCAAAAAAGATGCTGCAAAGAAAGTATCGGAGTTTGAAAGCAGATGGGAAGCGTTATGGAAAAGAGCAACAGCCTACCATATCCAAATAACATCAGTATTGCCCTTTGAGGAAATGTACCACTATACTGTGTTGAAGTTTGCACCCTGGATTGAAGATGCGGAAAAGGCTTTAAGCGACGTCGAAAAAGCAAAAGATGATACACTGACCAAGAAAAAGATAAAGGTATGAAAATTTTGTCGATTCTATGAGCAAAGAAATCTTAAATCTTTTCTGCTATCCATTAAAGGCATTGAGTCATGGTAAATAGGCCTTCTTTATAGGGGTTTGTTTGGTTTCGGCGTGATCGCTGCTGTTTCATGTGATATTTGCATCCGTTGTTGACATCTCAGCGGATTTTGGCACTTAGGGTATACCCAATCCATTTTATTATGACTCAATGCCTTTAAGCATTCTACTTTATTTACAATCGTTTCTAAATATCATGTTGATTGTTTCAGGTGCTTCAAGATGACATTATCGAGCATGTTCATCTGCAGCAAAATGTCGAGTCTTGTGCCGATGCCTTATTTCAGTCGTATGAAACAAACAAAATCACGGCGGATGTTTCGCAAGTGCGAGAGGAAAAACAGGATTTGATTGACAGGTGGGAGAGACTAAGATCGAATGTGAAAGAAGTAGCAAAGAAAACGTCACAGGTCGAAAAAGCCCTTGCAGAGTACGAATCTGTTGTTACTCCTGTGGAGGAGCTCATTGTTCAAGTCGAGCGGAAGTTGGAAGAAGAATTGCCTATGAGCTGGGATGTTCTTGAGATGGAAGACTACCTTCAGAAACTGAATGTGAGGACTTTGTCTTAGCTGCTGCTTATTACCATCATTACTATCTACCTACCCGCAATCAAAATGCATTGATTTTGCCAAAGGCCGTAATGATTACTGAAAAAATCCAAATTTTGGTATATATATATATTTAGAAATGTTTCAACATTATGATTCAAGTGTGACCAGGGGCGGACACTTGATCAAATACTGGGGGGCAAGCCTATTGTTTTAATAAGATGACGTCACATTTTCCATTGTTTTAGATTAAAAAACCATTGTCCTCTAAAGCGGTCGCCCCCCCCCCCAAGTGTCCGCCACTGAGTGTGACCTAGAACGATCGTAAGTAAATGGAATGAAATAAAGTTGACTTTGTTTTTGGGTACGTCTATCAATTGTAAACTTCTTTTCAGTTCTCAGTGGAAGAGATGGACAGTCACGAGGGCCAAGTTGCAGAAGTTGCAAATGCGGAAAAGCGCGTCGAGGAAGTAACAAGACACAAGGCTGGTGACGAACCAAGGACCAAGACCGTTGAAACTACAACAAACAAGTGGAAGGTGGTAAAAGACAGGTTGGTTGAGAAACAAAAGAAGGATGAGAGCAAGCTGAAGCAGGTCGTACAGTATGTTTCGTTGACCGGGGAATTGGAGAGCTGGTTAAAGGATACTTCATTGGCAGTTATGAAAATCAAATCAGACAGTGACAATGTGGACGACCTTAGCCATCAGTTGGACCATGCAACCGTAAGTTCTTGAATAGAGTTTTCAATATGGTCTGCAGATTGAAGATTTTAAGAACAGAAATCAGCTAGGTGTTAAGTTGAGCGTCATCTTTCAAAACCTAGACGAGCTCGTTGTATCAAGTTGCAGCTCGGGCAGCATACACTCAAGCTTTTTTGTTATTGTTCTTTGAAATGATCTGATTTCTGTCAGCCTATTCAAGATGTCTTGGTCCTATGAATACACATTTACATGCATGTAAATATTAAAGTATTTATAAATACAACTGTCTTGCACAGATAATGCATGAAGAAGTGGCAAAGCAGCAGATGAAGTTGGAATCTGCAGAACACGCCGCTGAACGATTGATTGCAAATAACGAAGACAAACCACAGTTTGTTGCCAATGTAAAAGCGAAAATAGCCAGCATCAAGAAGCCTCTATCAGAAGTTTCAGCATTCCTCGTTGAAAGGAGAGCCAAATTTCAGACCGCGGTGCTTGAAATGCAGGACCTGGATCAAACCAGAGAGAATTACGAACAGTCTGCCGTTAAGATTAACCAGAAATTGGATGCACAAAGTTTCACAACCCTTGATTATGAAACCTTGGCTAAGCAAGAAGATATGCTGAAGGTAAGACCTGTGTATATTTTGAATACCATATTATGAGGTGTTATGTTGATCCTAAGATAGATGTATTTTGACAATAATGTGGACCCCTCTCCCCCCCAATCAACAGGCAAAATGTGGAAGTGAAAAGAAATTGTAAGGAAGGCTGATGTTTTCATTTTTGATTCTAGGCCATCGATTCGGAAGCTCTGTCGCTTAAAGCGATCCAGGAAAAGTTCTCAGAATTAAGCAAAAGCAAAATCGAGGAAACGAGGTCGATGAGACAAAAGGAACTTTTGAACAGTCGTATACAAGAATCTTTCGTAACCTACGAAAAGGTATGCAGTGATCTTAAGAGCAACAAGGCGAAAATAAATCAGTTATTGGGACCATCAAAGATATTCGCTGACAAAGAGAAAACTTTTGCTGTTGTTTTGAAGAGGGTGGAATTGAAATCAATGGAATTGGAGGAGATTCCAATTGAAGCTGCAACAATCCCTTCCATTGTGGAGGAAAGTAATGTATGTATTTCATAATAGATTTGGCGTTTTTCATTTTATATGATGGCAGTAGCTCTGTATGGAAAAATTTCTTGAATAATGTCGTTATTCTGAAGTGTTGGTTTTTCTTCTTTTAAAGGTGCTCATGAAGGACGTAGAGGACCACGAAGTGTTGTACCAAGACATGGTTAAAATTTTCAAGGAGCTTTTGGTCGCTGCAAAGAAAGAGGTTCCGGATTGTCAATTTGAAGATGACGAGAAAAAGGTAAATGGTTACGTTGACAGATGGGAGAAAACGAAGAGAAAAGTTTCAAAGAAGCAAAGTGAAAGTAAAGAATTATTGGCGTTATTCACTCGATACAGAAATCTCCATGGTAAAGTACATGATGGTTTGCCAAAACAAATCGATAGTGCTCTAAAAGAGAGCATGATCAATGGAACAAACACAAAGAAAACAGCGGAAGAGCTGAAGAGGTTGAGGTATGTTTTCTTTGCCAACAATTTGATAGATATCCCGCTCTCCCTGTTTTGCCCCATTTCAAATTGGTTCTTCTGATTTGTCAATGATTTTTCGTTTTGTGAGTTTTTGTAAAATTTGCATTTCGTCTTCCAGTTTTCATTCGGTTGTCGCGACGTTTTTGTTAATGTTTTCATGTGTTTTTGTTATGGTAACTGTGTATGTCATTAAGGTTTCTTTGGTGAAAACGAGCTGTTGTTCTTTGACAGGACCTTGCAAAGAAATTTGGTACTTGCGACGAGGTGCTCAAGGAATTCGGTTTAGTTAGTGACGACTTGCAAAGACAACTTGAATTGAAGGATGGCGATTATGAGGAAATAGTGAAAGAAACTGCAGCTGTAAAACGGGAGTACGAAGAGCGCAAGCGACGGCTGTATTTACACAGTCAAATGCTGAAGGACTATCATCACACACTCGTGCGGTTTAAGACAGTGGTAGGGGACGTTGAAAGTTGGGTTAAGGAATCGACTCAAGACACCTCGAAGACATTGCCTGTAGAAAGAAACAGAGCGAGAGAAGAACTTCTAAAAATCGACGTAAGCTCTTGTTTGATTATTTTATTTGGAAATATTCGATTGCACCTGCAGCCCCAGTGGCTTTCCGTTGTTTTAAACAATAGGCTATTTTCGTACTCTTATATAATAAGATATTTGAAACCGCAGCTAACTTCCCTTTGAAAAAGCTGACAGTTCGTTTCTATCTTAAGGGTCCCTTTGATAGCGCGCATTGTTCTCCATTGCAAGGAGTACATCAGTACTAGATAGACTGGAAAGTTCATTTTTTAAATTATCTGCAATTATTGCTTCGTTTAGGACTCTCTTGACGAGCTCGGACAGAAACGCTTGCAGTTGTTGGGTGCAGATGAAAGCAGAATTTGGCTTGCCAGAACTTCCGATGACGAAGCTGTCAAAAATGTCCTAAGAGAGGATATTGAAAGGCTCACAGGACTTTTTGATGAGAAAGAGGGTAACTTGAGGGAACAGAAAACGAAATTGGAAAGATCAGTCTTGTCGCCAGAAAACACCACTGATGTGTACGATAATTTCGTTGATATCATGTCTCCACTAGAGTTGAAATTGCAGAGAGAAAAAACTGTGGTAGTGAACCGACAACGCCTTAATGAAGACACGGAATTCTGCAAGGTATTCAACTGATCTAGAATATTTTGATGATATTTCAAACTTGATTAATTTCGTGTCGATGTCTTCCTAAAATTAAGTTTCATTTGAAATCTCATTGCTAATATGGTTATCAAAGAGAGCAAAAAGTATGAATCTAGAGGCGAAATTTTTGAGTTTAATTTCAAGAGTGAAGGGATTGCTTGCAAAATTAAAATAGATGAATATTCCTCTTTTTACGTAGAAAAACGGAGCGTTTTATGGTTTTAATTTTGACTTTTGAGCAAATGTATTTAGTTATTTTTAATTAATGTGCAACTCAGAGAACAGGCCTTGGCTAATTTGTTCAAATACTTTTGTATTTAAGATGAACGCTCGAGATCTGCAGTCGATGAAACCAGTTTATGAGCAAACAAAAGCGATCCTTGATGGCAAGCTGCAGGAAAGCATGTGCGACGATGAGAAGGAGCAGATCGAGCGTCAAATAGACGACCTTCGCGATCGATGGGACGCAATGGAGGAGAGCATTAAGAAGTATGATGATTTTAGTGCGCAGTTAGTCCCAAAGGTCGAGGAATACGAAGGGAAAGAACGAAGGCTTGAAAACTGGTTAAAAGAAACGGAAAACAAGCTGGATGATATTCCACAAAGCGCACAACTCACTTTGAAGGAGCGTGAAACCCAAATCAAGGTAAAAATACCCTCGTAGCACCTCTTACTAGTTGAAATTTGAGTTAGATTTAATGATTAAATTTGAGTTAGTGGCTAACAGGATGACCTTGATTATTTTGTATAATTTAAAATTTATTATGAATTATCAAAATCCGGTTTCACTGTTGTTGATTTTGCTAATCAATTTTTTTCTAGAATGTTCTTCGTGATCTCGTGGCAAAGCAAGACGAATTGGACAGTGTGAATAAATGTTTTGAAGATATCAAATCAATTTGCGAAGATTTCCCTGATGAAGTAGATGGAAATATACAGCTGAGCCACGGTAATGATGAAGTGAACCAAAAGTACGCTGATTTGAAGAAGCAAGTAGAAAATATGAGCGAGAATTTGCAAGATGATAAAAAGATACATCAAGATTATACGAACCATCAGGAGAAAGTAGAGGAAGTGTTGTTGCAGGTTGAAAGCGTTTATGAGCAGAATAGTCCCATTGAATTTGATGTTGATGAAACAGAAAATGAGTTGAATCGCATTAAGGTAATTATTTCGGTACCAGATTTTGTTTTTCAGTTAGATTTCTTCTGTCAAAACGACCATTAGAAATTTTGTTTCCCCAGTATCAATCTGCTATCTGGCGAAGAATACTTGGGTTTGTTTTTATAGAGGAATTAAGGGAGCATTTTTCTAGGGAAGGTAATAAATGAAGATTTAGATGTTAATGTCGTTTTGTTAATGAAATTCATTACCCACGTGTACAAATATCTTGATTAAGGATGATTTGTGTTATTGTAGGATATCGAAGATCGTCTTGAAGAAGTCACTCGAGCATCGAATGAATTTGAAGTGGAGCTCGAAAGCTTTGAGAACGAGGTTATTGAAAGAAAATCAAAAGAACTGGCGACGAAACTGGACGAATCCGCTCGTGTTATTTGTATCGCAAAGTCGGAGCAAGAGAAAAAATCGAAAGTTCAGAAAAGTTTTCTATCCACTATTGAAAACATCGAGAAATCAACTTCGACAATCACCAATAAATTCGCATCAATAGGGCCTGCCAAAACGACATCACATGAAATCAAGGATCAAATTGGCATCCTTGAAGTACGTCACGTTGTTTTCTATTCATCAATAATGCGTTATTCGTTACAACATATCCTGTTTCAATGAGATTAATGCTACCCTTTACACCTGCTTAACCTGAATTAATTTCCTCAATATCTTATTTTTATAACTTTGTGATAATCTTTCTATTAAAAGGAAATTGAAGAAGAATTGACCAGCATTAAACCTAAGATTCAATACACTGAAGGCCTTGAGGATTGGATGATTTCCAAAAACGGAAACGTGACCGAAGACCATGAAATTGCAAATGAAAAGATTCGCAGCAGAGTGTCTGCAGTTTTGCATCCATTTAAAGTCGTAGCCGAGAAAATTGAAGGGAAAAAAGCTGAACTGAATGATGCTCTTGTTCGTCAACTTGATTTGAGCCAAACCTGTACGTTGCTTTTCGAGAAGCTGAATGAGCTGGAGACACGTGCTAGTTTGATTGGACCTTTGTCGATGAAATACTCTGTACTGCGTCAGCAAGTTGATGCATTTGACTCGCTGAAAAAAGAGGTCTCTCAGACAGGGCGTCTTTGTTCGATGGCTGCAGATGATTTCCAAAGGTCGTATGGCGCGATGTCACCGGAGCAGAGAAGAGAGGTGGAAGAGAACATAAACGAAGTGACTAAAAGAAAGAAGAGCTTGGAGGCTTTTATAAATGAGAAGAAGAATGATATCGATTCGCTGCAGCCAGTGGCCAAGTCCTTAGATGCCGCAATACTTGTTGTCGAGCCGAACCTTGAGAAACTCGGTGCTGCCAGTGCACAGTTGGATACTCCAACTGATCTTATGAGTTGTGCAAAGCAAAAGATTGCGATAGAAGTATGAGCTTAGCAGTGAAATTCTTATTTATTTCTAATCCCATCTTTATGCATTGTTTGTTGATAGAAATAGTTCCATCTTTGAAAATGCGTGCTATTTATTATCTCAGTTAAAGAACGTAACCTTTACAACAGCAATACCACTTTGTGCCACTTTGCCATTCGAAATATGCAAACTCGTTCATGCATCTGTTTAGACGGGATTATTCTTCAACTAATCCCTCATTTCTGCATATTTTTGAATACATGTGCGATTATTTTTATCAGAGTATTTTTTCTATTGCTATCTTTCTGTGTTGTTTTTGCGGGTTATATCCTGCATTGAGATGCTCTTCATTGTGTTTTCTGAAGGAACTCAAGGAAGAAATCACTGAATTAAAATCGCCGGTGAAACATTTGAAAGAGTTAAGCATCAAGGCCGAAGATGTGACGTCAAAGATTAAGGAGATAAAGGACAAGGAAGTTATTCAGGAGAAATGTAAAAACCTCGAAAACAAATTTGAAATAGTGGATGAAGTCGTTGAGAATCGGCATGATCAAGTGAGTTTCAGTATTTGTAAGTGTAAAATACGCACATGAAGTGTAAGAGTAAGTGTAAGATAGGAATGATGCGCTGTGCTTCAGACCGTAATCAGAAAACTCTTTCATTTTATTCATTATCAATAACATTAAATCTAATTCTTTAGATGAACTAGAACCAAAATTGATTCATTTTATATCTTACACTTTTTCTTACACTTTATGTAGATCATCTTACACAATACACTTAGGATACAATTTATATCTCACAGTTATTGCTGCAACGCCATTAAATAAGTCTTTTCTTGAATTTTAAAAATGAGTTTGTTATAAAACGGAAGAACCTGGTTTAATTTTACTGAAGCTTGATCTGGTTTTGTTTCATTTTTAGGTCTCTAAGTTGCATGCAGCGTTTGAAAAGTTTGATAATAAAATGAGACATGCAGATCAAGACATTTCTGCGTATGAAGCGTCATGGGATAGCTGTGAGCCGTTCGGTTTGGTATTAGATGAAGGGAATCGAAGTAGGAAGAAAATTGAAGATGTTTTGGATCAAATCAAAGTCACAGAGGAAAAATTAAACTCGTGTGAAGAAGTTTCAAATGAAATTGCAGCAGAAATTGGAAAAGATGACGCCAAGTCTGTAACATCGACAGTTTTACACAGGAAGAAGCGGTTAGAAGAGGTTAAGAAAACAATTGAAAGCAAAAAGGAAGATGTGAGCTCAGAAATATTAGATCTCGGGGAATTCTTGAAGGATTCAAGTGAGCTGGAACAATGGTGTAATCATTTTAAAGTGAAAGGCAAAGAAGTGGACGCTGTCGCCCAAGAGGCAGAGAGCGTGCCAATACAGCTACAGCAAGTCGAGGTGATTTTATCTTGTTTTATTACCTTTTTAATATTTTGTCTTAGGTCCTTTTATTATTACAATTATCTATTTAGGTTAGATATAAATTTTTATTGTTTCCATTACAGCAAACCTTGTAGAGTCTTATCTTTGGAAGCAAATTGTGGTTTTAAATCTGATTGATCCTTTTATCTTGTTTCGAATTTTTTATGCATTCTTACAACAACAGTCTGTGGGCACTGAATTTTTCGATTTGCCAATTTTGTTTTTCACAGTGTAAATTGACATATTTGGAATGTTCTAGGCCCTGCTTGACGAAATCGAACACCGAGAGTCTGATGTGGATAGACTGGCTAGTAGCGCGGAAAAGGTCGTTTCAAACAATCCCGAGTCGGTGCTTGTACGATCTGAAGTTAGCGAACAAGTTGGCCAGATCTCAAAGGACGTTGATGCGATGAAGTTGCGCCTCAGGAAGAGAAGAGATCAGCTGAGAAGGCGATCGATGGAACAAGAATGCCTTGATGACGTCATTGAAGAATTTTCAAGTCAACTAGAGAAGATTGAGGCCAGGCAAAAACAGGAAAAGCCGGTTTCTGCTTTGTTTGATGTTTTGGAAAAACAGCGCAAAACGTGCGAATACATCGTTGATGATGTGCAGGAATTGAAAGATGATTACAGAAACATCGAAAGGAAGATAAAAGAATCAATGGACGAAGAAGATCAGAAGCAAAAAGTTGATGAAATTTTTGGAAAGTTCGAAAAGATTGGTGTCCGGTTTGATGATATCAAGAAGGCAGAAAAAGAAAGGCGTGAAAAAATAAAGCAAGTAGAAAAACCGTCTGCAGTTTATTTTAAACATGCAAATGAATTCAGGAAATGGTTGACTGATGTTGAAAATAGGATTCAACATGAAAGTGACAGCAGGCAGAAAGGCGTCGAGACATTGGCAGAGCCGAGGAAGACAGTAGGCAGCTTTCAGGTAACAGTCGAATGCGCTGATTGTATTTTGCAAAATTTCAATGAACAGAGAACACTTTTTAGTTAAAATTATATGGTCACTGTATAATACTCTTTCATACTTCAAGTAAAATGATTCCCTTCCAAGTTTCTTTGTGGCGAAAGAGGTTTTTAATAAGCTCTAAATTCTTCTACTTAATAATAATTCATTCCTTTGCAATTTTTAGTCAATTCAGAAAGAAATAGACGAGCAAGAAGCAAACTTGGATGCGATCGTTTCAATGCACAATGAACTGCTTGATGTAGGAGAGCGTGATGGAAGTGACGTGGCCGATGAAGTGACGGCTGTGAAGGAGAGATATGATAAGCTGAAAAAGACTGTGACCAACAAATTGAACAACAGTTTGAAGGTCAATGAAGCCTTTGATGAGGTGAAAAAGATCCAGGCCAAGCAGGCAAAGATTTGTGGAGATGTAGGGAGAGTGCTTGATTTTATGGAGCCAGTTGGAAATGATAGAGAGAAAACAGAGGCACAGGAGGAGACAATTAATGTGAGAGTTGCTTCCTTTTCTTCGCGTTTATCTTTGCATGAAGTTTTGATACCGACGTAAACATTAATGCAGAGGTTTCTTTTCAAAGTCTGTAACGACTCTGTTCGTGTCGAAAAAATTTTCATATCACAAACCATGGAACCAAAATGAACTTAAGACGAGTACAGTTCTTGAACAAACGCATTTCTTCTTTATTTCTTTGGCAATGTTTATGTTGCTTTTTATTTTTTGGAATAAGCCTAGGCCATGATGGTAGAATATTTTACTGAAATTTTGATATATCATTCTAAATTCATGACCCAAAAGTAACGTGGATTACAATTTGTTTTAGCGTTGCAATTTCAAAGTAGTGCTTTACCTTAAAACACAACATCGTTTACTCTTGTTGTAAAGTTGTCATAAGAATATCTGAGCAAAGGTATTGAGACTACTGTCAAGTTCTGTCAAAATGAAAAAGGTTGTGTACTTTAACAATTAAATTTAGAATATTTTGGTTGAATTAATTAATTTAAAATTATCATATTTGTAGCATTTGAATAGCTCTGCGTCAAGAAAAATATCCACCGCATCTCAAATAATTGTACACCTTTTAAATAGAGTTTTGATATTTTAATGTTTGTTGTTCTGGCATCACAGGCTTTGATCAAAGAGGTTGAAAACGACGGCTGGAACTTAGATTACTTGGATGACGTAATTGGAAACAGTGAAATTCCTGATGATGTCAAGAAAGATGCATTAAGGGTGAAAGAGAGGCAGGTCAAAGTCAAAGAAGGGTTGTATCGCAAGAAGGAGGAGCTAGAGAAAGCGAAAAACAGAATTGTGGAATTTGATGAAATCAGGGACGGTCTAATAAAATGGACTGAATCAACAAGAACTGATCCTTTGTTTACAGAGCCGATAGCCAACAATTTGGAAAAACTGAAGCAGCAGTTAAGACACGTTGAGGTATCAATTTGCCTGATATTAACTTTTGAAGAATGGATCTATCAATGGCACTCGCTTTCTACTCAAATTTTTCCCTTTTGCGATGGCAAAATGTGTCACCGAGAACACGATTGCTTTCGGGCAGCTGGAATACGGCTCCTCATCGTCATTTTTAAATCAGTGCTTAATTAAAATTCAAGCTGATTTTGTTTTTAAAATGATAAAATACATATAATTTTCAGTTGCCAATTAGTTTAGATTCTCGTTCATTATCGTCTCGTCAAAATTGGTTTTGCAGACGCTTGAGGATGCCCATCAGTGCCATACGAATGATCTTGAAAAGGCAAATGAGCTGGCTGATTTGATGGTTGTCAATAGCAACAGCGATGTCATTACTGCTAATGACACTGAACTGCGGTTGCAGCAGATTAAAGTGCCAATGGAAGATGTGCTCCAGAAACTTCATGTGCGAAAGAACCAAATTCAGGATGCTTTGTTGCGACTGCAAACTGTGCCTGACACAGTGGATGATTTTTATGATCGCCTCTCTGAGTTCCAGGAGAGCTTGAATAAGGAAGGACCTATTTCAGCCAATACCTCCATTTTAATAGAGCAGAATAAAGATCATAAGGTTTGTACTACTTTCATAGTATTTTAAACTCTTGTCATGAAATTTTAATTGTTGCTTGTCAATGGAAATGACCAGAAGCATCAACTTGCCAACCAGTTGAAACAGCCTTACCTTTGGTAACAGTCCATTTTTAAAATCATATCCAAATGTGTTAGTTTCTTTGTTGTTTGATTGTATTTCGCATTTTTTCCACCCAGAAACTTTACGAAGATATCACAGGAGAGGAACCGCTGCTTGCAAGGCTTGTGGAAAGGGTTAGTGCTTCCATTGCCAGCTCTGTACCTGAAGAAGAATCTGATAAGCTCAAAGATAAAGTAAGTGAATTGAAAACAAAATTCACTGAAGTCAGTGAAAAAGCTCGAGAAAGAAACGAGAGGCTTAATAAGGCAACAGTCTTATCAAAAGCCTACCTTGAAAGGTCTGATGAATTTAAGACCTGGTTGCAAGAGCGTGAAAGTAAATTGTTTAATTCGGACATGGACAATTTGCCACTTAACAAAGATGAGATGACGCAAACCATCAAGGACATCAAGGTAAGGTTTTTTTCTTGGACGCCTTGTGTTGCGAAAATATTTCCAATACATTGGTTGCTAATTGGTAATTTGTAATAAGTTTTTTATTTGTAGCAAAAAATCAAAATCTTGTTGTTAAGATCTGTATGCATGTGCTATGTATTATTCTGTTTGGTGAAGAGTGTGTCATTTCTGTTCACAGCATGCAGTCAAAGATATAGAGGAGATGCGACCAAAACTTGAAAAACTGGAGGATCTATCAGCTTCTTTATCCAAACATTGCGACGTTGGCCAGGAAACAATGGAAAGTGAGTTAGCTGACATCACAGATAGATTCGAGGCGTTAGAAGCTAAAGCCAAAGAGAGACTAGATAAATTGGAACGAGTAAGAGAACTTGAGGACTTGTTGAGAGAGAAAACGGAATTGATGGAAGAGTTCCTTGAGAAATGTGATGCAACGCTAAACGTAGAGGTGTATTACGGTACAAATGAGGAAAAGATTGGAACAGAAGTGAAGAAAATTGAGGTAATTAACGCCATTAGCAAATCTAGACCTTTCGAACTTTTCACAGCCAAACATTTCATAGCCATCGAATCTTTGCCGTACTTGCTGGCATATTGTCTACAATCTACAAATGGAAAGCATTGAAATATATTTTTTTTTTAAATTTTTTAATCAGCATTCATCATAATGACTGAAAAAACCTATTAAGACAAGCAGAGGCACATATATGAAAGAGACAGCAACACCTTCCTAAGCTGACCAGGGGCGACGCCAATAAATTCAATTGGGGGGGGGGGGGGGCTCAAGTTTATAGCGATTCATTGCGAGGGCCGCGGAAGAGGCTGTCAGAAGCCCTAGGTAAATCCGAAAGAAAAGGCCCCCTGTGAGAGAACCGAGCTGACAATTTTTGCCACCACCCCCTTTAGATTAGCCTAAAATATATTTCTGAATATTTCTTGCAGTCATTTTCTTGCAATGGTTAAAAACATTTAACTGCATTTTAGGCGTGCATTCATAATTGATTGTAGAGTGCTTGCGATTATTAGCAAAAGTCGCAGTATCTTTAATTAAAATTATCTTTAATTTTAATCACAGTATCTTTAATTAAAATTTTATCTTCACGTTGCATTTTGTTAACTTTCAAAATAGACATTGCTGGAGGAGTATGAAGAAATGCAAGAAGACTTAGAAAAAGCTGATGCACTTGACTCAGAAATCATTAAATCTGTAGACCAGAAGACTTTGCGTTCTGCTAAAAGCAAAATTTCTGAGATGAAAGAAAAAAGTGATTCAAGAAGGAAAGATTTAGTAAATGCAAAGGCGAAAATGACAAAGTTTTCCGAATTGGTGCAGAAATACGATGTAGAGTCTAAAGAGATATCCAACTGGATTGAAGGTGTTGAAAAAGATCTGGACGCTAAGGAGCCGGTTCGAAAAGACACTAGTTCTATTAAGGAGGAGCTCGCCAAGTTGCAGGTTAGTCTCTTCATGCGAACGGGCCTCAAAATTATGTAATTTTCTTATTCAGTAGAATATCTCCTTATGATTGCTGTTGTGTGGGAGCAGCCATTGACAGGGTTATTACGGTTAATCTCGAAGATTGGCAAATCCAAGAAAATTTTAGTATTTCTTTTCCTAGAAGAATAGAAGACTGAACCTCCTGAATAGGCATTACTTTTAAGAAACATTTTTGCTTCGTTGTTACTTTAGCTGATTGTATTGAATATTATTAAGCGTTTTATTTTAAGTCAGTTTCGTTTGTCAATATTTCCACCAGTTCACTTGATATCTTTGGTAGCTCATTCATCGACATGGGTGACTCTTTGTCCATTGATCATTAACAGAAATGCTATCTCATCTCCAAACTTTCAAGCATCTCTACCAAATTGTGACGTCACCAAAAATCTATTTTTAGAATTTCTTGAATTTGTCCGCATAATCCGAAAGAACAGCATAAAATACCTCTCAATATGCAAAATTAGTTAGATATGTTCCAAAGTGGGCGAGATATGGCCAATGAAAGATTTCAAGTTTGCTAACGGATTACTGTTATTCTGGCCTGGTTCATAAAGTTATGAACCAAGATCAAATTACAGAGGTTTGATGGGGCAAGAGCCTGTGCTACAGTGGCCATATCTCAGCAAATTCGTAATGCCTTTAACTGATTTTGCATATTTAGAGGTATTTTATGATGCTCTTTCAGGGTTTGGGATCACAATTCAGAAGCTCTAAAAATATATTTTTATGACGTCATCACTTCGGTACTCTAATGCCTCTGTAGAAACAAAACACGGACTAACCAAGAGCTACTCCCCTTTGTGAAAACAGACTAGCCAATTATAAATTACCTATTTAATGGTGTGATTTGTATTTATAGTTTTAACTAGAATACAAAATGAAAAGTTTCCGTAATTATTACGTAAGGGATTGTTAATCTCACTTTGGTGGACTTGTGTGAATATGTCATCTTTCTTTCATTAGAAACTTCAAGATGAAGCTACTACAAAGAAAGTTTTAATAGAGGACCTTGCCAAAACAGGGGAACGTATTCAGGACTGCCTGGGCAACGAACCGAGTCTGAAATCAGAATTACTCGTGAAAACGGAGGACATTGAGAAGAGTCACAGCAACCTTCTTACGGCAATCAATCTTCGCAGGAGTCGACTTCAGAAGTTCTTGTTAAATGCACAGGACTTCGACAAGACCTTTCAAGATTTTCTCGGCGCAGTTGATGATTTGGAAAAGAGGCTAGCCAATGAGAAACCGTTAGATGCTAGGTTTGAAGAGCTCAGACTCGTCAAGCAAGAACATCAAGTAAGTGCTGCTTTGTTTTCTGCGAACTTTTGCAAAAGTAACATTTTGCGAGGCGAACTTTGCTTTCTAGCTTTTTAATCTGCACATGCCGTCTAGACGACAACATCTTTATTACGTGAATTCTCTTATATACGTTTACTTTTGCTCAATTTACTTTACAATAACTAACATTATGAAAATTTCACTCGGACTAAGTGTATGGCTAATTCTGAACACAAAACCTTAACCTTAGCCTGAACACAAAAAACGTAAAATAAAGTTTGTAGTCAAAACGAAGCTGAAATGTCTGTTTCTACGCCGGGTAAAATTTTGTCAATTTGATTCGAGTATTTCCATTTTTTAGTGGATATTTCCTTAATTTTTCATGGATATTTCCATCATTCCACCTTGCTGCTTAACGATAGAGGCATCCAGAACGCTGAATCTCCCTGTGGCCTAAATGGCCCAATTTCCTTAACCATTTCATAGCAATCATTTGACAGGAAGCCTAGGGGCCGTACGGTTATTTTCACTGACATCGCCTCTACCATGAAGCCCTTTTTGCATAGACCGTAGTACAAAAAATTGATCAGCTGATAGAGAATCATATTTGTGAAAGATGTGGCCAATTTTTTGCTACTGTTAGTTCATTTGGCAATCCTTTTTAAACGGTTATCAAGGATGTTGTCCTAAAAATGAAAGAAACCTAAATCGAACAGAGCCTGATTCGTGAACAGCATTTTATCATAAGGACACATTTTTATCATACAACATTTTATTATATATCATACAACGTCTTTAGATCAAAATTCAGTATCGAAGGGGCTCCCCCCCCCTCCCTTTAGACGCTCTCTCTGGTCGCTTTATTCCAGAATTCGCCAACATAGCTGTGTTATTTTTATGAGTTCGAAATTGTGGACGAGACTTCAAACTGAGCACCCCCGTTTAACTAGTAGGTCAAAAAGTACCGCCCCCCGTTTTCCTAGTGGTTCATCTGTCAATTAAACTGTCATCGTGGTCCACTTTGAGCAGAGGGAATAAAACTCGTGTGGCTTGCGGTGGATACACGAATGGAAGGGAAAATGTTGATTTTCGAGAAAGCGACAAACATTTTCAAATGACGGCGATTGTTTACATGATATGGGGCAATGTTGTGGTAGCAGAAAGGTGCGTTCACGATATGCTGTTTTTATTCTCAATGTACTTCGGTCACTCTCGTTTTCTCGTTACTTTGATCAGTGGCTGACAATGCTATGGCGCCTGCAATCATGGCTTTGGGACTGCATCCTGTCTGATCAGCGTTGCTCTTTAAACAAGCTCAAATGTATGCTCATAACCTTAACGTCCGCAATTCAAGCGGCGTATTTTCGTGATACCAAACCGAATGTCAAGATATAAAAAACGACACTTTCTAAAGTCGAATTTTTGTTTACCATTGGAATAAAGGATACACAACCGAGGCTCGACAACCTCGTTATGATCTAGGCAATTGTGTCCAGGTGTTGTCAGTAAGTTAGTTGGCATGGCCACTTTAAGTTGCGAATTAAATAGTCCCCCTACTCCAAGGCAAATAACGGGCCAAGTCACACTTACACGCCAGAACACTGGTCCATGGTTTACATGGAACATTTTTTATTTGAGTTTTTGGGGTCCTTTGCCTTTTCTAGAAAAAGATTAACTAGCTATTTTATGACCACGTCGCGCATTTCTTACGCCTAAATGTCAGTCTATATAATTTTTTATTGGTGGGAAATTGGCTTAATTGGTTTTAGTATCTAAAATGGTCCTTATCAAAATCCGCTAGACTAGATTAATTTGCAAATGCAGGGTTTCAACCATATATTAACAAAGCCAGAGCACCATGACATTTTCCTCACGCTAGGGTAAGTTACAAGCATAAACTCACTACCAGTTTCGGTATGGAAAGTTAGAGTCATGGTGCCAAAAGTTAAAATAATGCCATATTGCGATATATTTTTTTAATTATGACGTCATATGCCAGGGGCTCAATACGAGGAAGTGGATAAAATGTCATTTTCAAATTTTTTCGCCGCTCAAAATGTTTTGAATCAAAAAAACAATTTTCTAAATCCTTAGCATTTGTTTTGCAACTCATTGATTTTGGAAACAATCTAAACGCTGTGTGACATTATGCGACCAATTCAATGTACTTTTCCTTTACTTGGGCTTCCACAGCGCGACGGATGCTTTCTCAATTTGTTGTTGTTGTTTCTTAATTCTGGCAAGAATGAACCGAACGCTCTTCGCTTCGGTCTAGCCTGTTTTCACCAGCTGAGTCTATCACCCTTGACGTGCTTGCTCGGGTTGAATTCTCCGGCTGCAGCAAGAGAGAGGGCTAGGTGGCGCTGCGGGAATCATGCTAAAATGGGCGTTCCGTACCATTTCAAGAGAGCATCGTATTCTTCAAACTGTGTGCTGTTTGTTCAGCGTCGTAATCCTTGGACTACATTCAGATCTGAGATAGTAAGTGCGTTTCGTCAAGAAGAACGTAAGCAGATTAAGCATGTTTTTATCGTTTATTTACCGGTCGATTTGTTTATTCAATCATTTTTATGGCTCTGTTTTCGTGATGGCACAAGTACAGTCAGTAAGGGCAATCGATAAGGGCAGTCGGTAAGTGCAGCTTGAACGGGCAGCCTTTAAGTGAAGCCATTTGCTTGCCTATTAAGACGCAAAGTAAGCTACTCCGAATCAAAGTTGTTCAACTTGCTTGAAGCAATTGATTAACGGGGCATTAAAACAACTCAAAAGTACCAAAGTTGTCAATGTGTTTATTTGTAGGAAACGTGTGTTGATTTGACCATGTGCTTTAGAAGTGTTTTCGACAATTTACCTGTTTGATCCGCTCGTCTGTTTTACTGTAAACGTGTAGCCTTTGTTAATAATTCATTGAATTTGAGTAGGTGCAGGTAGTTGAAAGTAATCTTTTCATCGATATGTAGGTTTAAAGGTTGTTTCCTTGATCCCCTTCAAGAACTGACCGTTTACTTGCTATTCGTTTGCATCGGATTAAGGTAGACCTTTTGAGCTTGGCCTTTTTCACGGGGTACGGCTTGTTAAATCAGTCTATTTACAATCAAAAATTGTTTCTATCCAGAAGCCTAGAGCAGAAAATAAACAAGAAAGAACCCTGTATGGAGAGGAAGCCTGTAGGAAAAGCATTTTGAAAAGATGTACGGTGTTGTAAAATAGATTGATTGAAAATAGCAAAACAGCGTAGCAAAACAGCGTAGAGTGCAGAACTGCTCATCAGTAGAATTCCTGTTGTTTTGTCATTGTTATGAAAGTTTCTGTCCAGCTTCTTATTGTTCAAAAAAACGAAAACCGTTCTCTTATTCTTTGTTTCTTATTTGTTAAAGGTTTTGAATTGATGTTTATAATGGACAGAAAACTGTATTTTTCTTTGCCCTCTAGATTTGCGCGGATTATTTTTGATAATTTGAAAGGCTCCATATGAAGTTAGGATCAGCTTTGATCGTTACTTATTTCAATAAGGTCTGAGTCTCGTGAAATTCGTAACGTTTTTCTGTTTTCAATCAAAATGCGAGGCCCTAAATGTGGCAGCCTAATTTTACAGAACACTTAATCAATTTTCAATCGCTCAATCATCGTCGGTTCGATCACTGCCACGAAGTATGATCAAAATGATTCAAATGTCATCATTGAAATTGAATTTCAGTCATAATTTTTTGTCGTTAGTTTTCTTAGAGAGTGCAATGCCCTGTACTCCTTTAAGGGAGTGGGGGGGTGGGTGGTAAAGTTGTGAAATGTCCTTTGGATCAAAGCAGGCAACCTCTCCCAATTTTTCAAGAAATTTGTATAGGTTAAGTTTATTTTATAGAGAGTTAACTTAATATAAATTTATAAGTTTTAGGAATATGTAATTTATTTACGTTTATACTTAGCGAATTTCCAACTATATTAAGTTTTCATCTGTTGTGCATACTTTAAGAGGACATATTGAAAACCAGCTCTTTAGCTGAAATGCACCACTCTTCTTAGGTAAAAAATGAAACGAAAGATGAAATTGAAAGTGAGCTGAAATGAAATGAAATGCTTTTAGTCAATAAAATTTGTGTAAACTACCTGTTTCAATCGCGGACGTTGACATTTTGTTAGAAATCCACGAAGTGGTGACATTGATATGGAAACCAAGATATATTTATTGCCGAAGGGGAAGGGGGTGCTAGCTTTCCCCTTCCCCCGTCTCTCTATTCCTGGGGGCTCACAATTCATATTCGTGGAATTTTGCCGTCACTGTCTGTACTCTGTATGCTGTCTATATTTTCAATGCAATGATTTTTAGCAATTGTAAACAATGATGTTTTACGTCAGGGACACACGTAGAAAAAGGTGGTTATACCGTACTGCTTTGTTTTAGATAATCGACCGAGATGTTAGGCAACAGCACCCCGTTTTCGAACGTGTTATGCGCAATGGGCGCGAAAGGGCAGAACAATTTGGGCCTGGCGAACAACGAAATTCACTCAATGCAGAACTAAACGAGGCGGAAAAAAGATGGTCTGATGTGAGAAGAGCGAATGATGTGAAATGCAAGGACATTGATGCACTGCACAGCCACAGTAAAAAGTATAGTGACGAAGCAGTAACATTTAGCATTTGGTTGGAGAAAGTAGAGAAGAAGAAAGATGAGTTGGAAGATCAGCCAATAGATTGCAACGAAAGCGATTTGAAGGCGCAAAGGGATGAGACAGAGGTTCATAGTTTTTCTTTGTTTTATTTGGCCTTGAAAATCTGCCGTTGCTAGTAGTTCTATATTTTCTTTACTTTACACTATATTTTGTTTTCTGTATATGGTTTTTAGAATTTAAGATTGTAGATCGAAATTCTTTGCCCCAGTCAGTTCTGAGAAGTGTTTGTAAGTGTTTTGCATTTTGTAACTTTTTTTCTCACTTTTTCGAATTCAGGAGCTGAAAAAAGAAATCGAATCGCACAAACTCAATTTCGAAAACATCACACGGTTAAGCGAGCCTCTTTTTGAAGAATGCAAGAATCTAAATGTTGAAAATGGTGTCGACGAAGTTTCAGAACAGAAGACGACTTTTTAACAAGATTGAATGGCCTACGTGTGTTTGTGGAACAGAAAGACGCTGCGATAGAGCAAGTGCAAAACACGGTCGAAAATGTGGTAAAAGAATTAAAGCCAGTTCAAGGATTGATCAATGATGTTGAGAAATTTGTTTCGAGCCCAATTCGCTTTGGTGATAATGTCAAAAAGGGTGAAGAGTTCTTAGCAAAAAGTGAGGTAGGGATTTTTTTTTTGTTGCAGAGCAAGGCTCTCGGAAAATTTTAAATCTTGTAGCTTATTTTAAGCTTTTATAAGCTCTGGTCGATTTTGTAATCAAATGAATATCTTTTTAGGAATTTGGAAAGCTTTTGGAGGATAATAAACAAATTGTGTTAAAGTTGCTAGAAAGTATTCCGGAGTCTTCTAAAACAAATGATCTAAAGGAGAAAACTGAAGAAATTCTTGAAGAGATACGGGATGTTGAACGAAAGATTGAGGATCGAAAGAGCGAAACAGGGGTTTACTTGGATACAGCTGAAAGTTTCAATCAGTCTTTGAGCGAGCTCGAGTCTTGGAATGCAGAGGCACGTGACATCAAAGAGCCCTCTATGCTGACAAAAGACTCTGTCAAGGAACAACTGGACAAGCTCAAGGTACAATACTGTTTGTATTTGGAAACATTACGCATTTGTTTTTTGATTTTGCATTGAAGCTGCCTTTTTGAAATGATAGTTAATTTAGACTCGGTTAATTCCGACTGATTGGCAAAAAGGTTCTTTTTATTGGCCTCCTACTGCTTTGTATGCCGTTGATTATATTTGTTTGTTTTGATTGAATGAAAGCACCAGCCAATGCAAGCATCGCGCATTCCATCGTATTTGGCAAGCAGGTATCGTTAAGGCATCGGTTATCGACGAAGATCGTTTGTCTGCAATAGCGCGGTGATGTTTGAAAATGTATTTGAAAATTGCGTAATATTCTAACGGAAAAAAGATGCTGTCAGTTTTTAACCGCAAGCATGAAAATAAATTGAGTGTTTAGAACAATCTTAATGGCTTATTGCAATAGTTTATTACAAGGCTTTGGCGAGTCACAAATGGTAAACAAATGAAATGAACCGTTGTATGGTAAGTTGGCTAAAAATATCGCAATAAATATAACAATATTAATAACTATATTTAATGGAAAATTTTGTTGCAAACCAGATTATGGAGAGTGAAGTATCAGAGCTGAAACCTGCGATGGAGGCTGCTCAAAGGACTGCGAAGCAGCTTTTGGAGCAAAACAGGGGGAATCCTGTCGCATGCACAAAGATAGAAACTCGCCTTGATGCTGCACGTGTACCTCTGTCGAATGCAATGTCGTCGATTGAGGAGAGGCAGAAAAAACTTGAAAGAATTAACAAAGCGATTGACAAGTATGAAGAGGAGAAATTGGTGATTGAAGAGCTGCTAGTGGAGACTAAATCTGCGATTGACGAAGTTGAGCCATTTGGTACTGATTTAGAGAAGGGAGAGGAACAAGTTAAAATTATGGAGGTAAAGAGTTATTCTTGGTTTTAATTATTCGTTTGTGGTCGCCCAGTAACTTACTTAGAATTAGAATTTACAGTAACTTAGAATTTTCTTTACTATGTAGCATAAAAACACTTCGCTTATCGTATTTTAAAACGCTGACACGAAGGTTGCTGATGCTTACGAAGTGACTCCTAAGAAATCAATAAATGCAGCTAATCTGCCAATGAAAAGTTTGTCCTGATTTTTTTCGAAGTTTGAGTTAGAACAACTGTAAACAAAAAATTCGCGGATTGCCTGATTTTGCACTTTGTCTTTGCGTCTTTTCAACAAAGTTTCTTGTCTATAGAATTTTAACACGTAATTGTCTCTAGAATAATAAGCGAATCAATGAAACAATTACATAGTGAAACAGGCAAGTGAACAGTTACTATATTTTAAAGTTACTATTATTAATCTACGACAAAGCTCTTTCTCCTATATATATAGGTCATATATAATTGAAAATATTACATATCGTAAATTTCATAGGTTCTGACTTTTTGTTGATTTTTTAAAAGGAAATTGTGGATAAACTGCAAAAGAAAAAGCCTGAGGTCCGATCTCTAAACCGAGCCGGACAGAGTTTGATACGACAGCTGTCTGACGCTGAGGATATCGAAGCCGAGTTGGACAAAGTTGGAGACGATTATTACGATACAGTAGATGCTGCAAAAGAGAAGTTTAAGGAAACGAAGGAACAGCTGAAAAAAGCGAAGGAGTTCGTTGAAATAATCGAGATAATTGAAGTGTGGGTAATCGAAATTTTTGAAATTTTGGAGAATGTTGAGCATGGTAGCTCAGAGCCTGATGATGTTAAGCAGAGACTGAAGCAGATTGAAGATGCTCAAAAAGACATTGTGAAACACAGCTTGAAATTCAAGGTTGGTGTCATTTCCAACGAAACCTTGGATTTATCATTAACATTCATGAAATTTTTTTCTTATCACAATAAAAACAAATACAAAAATAACTCAAGTTGATTATTGTTGAGGTGGAGGCAAAAAACATAACGTTATCGAGTTGCCCCCACGCCCAACATTACAAATATTCAAGAACTTTGCATAATACACTATAAAGGCACAATACATAACAAAACAACACAGTACAGCACAATAGAATACAACACAGTACAGCACAATAGAATACAACACAGTACAGCACAATAGAATACAATACAGTACAAATACAGTACAAAATGAAACATTTCGCACCCATTTAAATGTAAACCGGGTTTCGCCTAAGGAAATGCCTGTCTAGTTAACTGGCATCAATATTTTTAACAGCTAAAAATGAGCAAGAACCAGAGCTTTTTCTCTGTTATCTTGGAACTCGAAAAGTTGGGGAACTCGACTGTTGTATTCCCGCTCACCTATTTTTCATTTTCCAACTATAAACAAACTGGCTATTTTTCTTATTTCTATTTTTCATGCTAATAGAATACTGTAATTATTTTTCTAGATACTTGAAGAAATCCTGGAATATTTCTTTGAAGTTTACAGTGAAGAGACGACAGTGATCACACAGCCAAAAGAAAGGTTCGGAAAAGTTAAGGACTCGATTGAAAAACTGACTGAGTCTCTCGAGAAACGTAAAGTAGATTTGCAGACCTCGCTTACGTCAGCAAAGGAAATGCAGGATGAGTCCGATGAGCTGATTCGATGGCTGTCCAAAATGGAGACGGTCCTTACTGAACAAAGTCCGGTTTCTGCCGATAAAGAGCAGTGTAAACGGCAAAGAACGGAGCATGCGTTTGTTCATGATGAGATTACACGAAATGTTCCACGATTTGATAAGCTGAATGCTATTGGCGAAAGTACACTTGCTAATATGGAGCCTGGTGACGCTAAGGAGAAGCTCGCAGATAAGTTTGAACAGATAAAATCGCGATGGAGAGAACTAAAGGAGAAGTCAACAGATAGAAAGGGTGTTCTTGAAGAGATTGTACCGCATTCTGACGCATACGTTATCGCGAAGCAGAAGCTGTTGCCATGGTTATCAGAAACAGAAAAGAAAGTGCAGCAACTTGATGTGATTTTTGTGGACAAACCAAAAGTTGAAGTACAGCAAAAGCTCGTTTCAGATCTCGCTGAAGAATTTGAGGAATACAAGAATTGCTTTGCAGATATAAATGACAGCTCCAATGTACTTTTAATGAATTGCGACCGCGACATTGCACCGCTTAAGTCAGAAGTCGATAATGTGAAGAGGCAATGGACACTTCTTAATGAAACTGTTTCAACAGCATCCAAAAAGATCCCGAAGGTCATGGAAGGGATAAATAAATTTGAAAGCACGGTAGCCCCACTCGAGGAATTATTCAAGAAGGTTCAGTTGGGTCTGGATAACCTAGAACCTTTTGCAGACAATGTACAAAAAGGCGAAGGTCAGGTTCAAGAGCTGAAGATCTTGCTTGAAGATTTACTGGCAGAAGAGAAGAATCTTGGGAAAATGGACGAAGCGGGAGAAGAATTGACAAGGATTGAAGACAAACCTGATAACCTAACCATAGTTCGTCAAAGAAAGGACAATATTACAAGAACATACGATTCATTGATTCGCATTTTAGAGGAAAAGTTGAAAAAACCGAAAAGGTCGTTCAAAACGGCAAAAAGTTTTTCCAATTGGAAAATGATGTAGCGGAAAAGACAAAAGCCTTAAAGAAGAGAACGGTTAAACAGGAAACGGTTGCTGTGGACCCAAAGAAGGTCAAAGAGCAGTTGTTAGAGGTTGAAGTGTGGCTTGTAGAAGCACAAACTGTCAATACGATGTGCAGCGAGGCCGAGCTGTATGCAAACGATATAATCCTGTTCAATAAGCAAGATGAAGATGTGGAAGAAAAAATCAAGGAGCAGATCAAGGCTATTAAGCTTCCTGTTTTGGAAGTCATTGGAGATTTAGAGGACAGGGAAAAGAAACTGAAAGATCGTCTGCAAGAATGTGGAGCCTTCCAAGACCAGTTTGATGATTTCGAAAGACGATTGAAGAACATTGACGAACGAATTGAACAACAGAAGCAGAAGCCGCTGTCTTCAAACCCAGCCAGAATAACAATGACGATCGGAGAAATTGATAGTATAGGCAAAGATTTCATGGAGGAGCTTCAGTTGTACCGTATCGTTCAAAAATCTGGAAAACAGGTTTTAGACACTTTAGATACGGAAAGTGAGTGGAAACAGTTGAAGGGACATCTTGATGAAACTACTAAACTTTGGGACGCTATTGACAAGAAAATTGATACAGAAAAGGACCATGTAACCAAAGTGAAAGAGCTGTCTGTTGAGTTTTTTAACAAGAAGAATGATGTTTTGAAATGGCTCGATGAAAATGAAAAGCGATTCATGACTCTAGAACCAGAATCTTGTGAATGGGAGAAACTCTCTAAGCAACAAAAAGAGATAAATTCAGTGCAGTCAGATATTGATCACCATAAAACATATATGGAACGCCTGGAAACATTGATTGACGAGCTGGAGGATGCTTGTGGTGAAGATGTGGAAGAGCTGCACGAGATATCAGGTGACATTAAAGAGAAGTGGAAGAGGGCTGAGTCGTTATTGCTCAATAGAAAAGAGACCATTGCGGCAATGCAGGATAAAATGCGAAGATTTGGCGACTTGAAGAGGCCTGTAGAAGACACATTAAAGAAAATAAAAGCTAAGCTAGGTGATTTGAGTTTCACTGGGGCTGATGAAGGCAGAATAAGACAGGTTTCAGAAGATGTGAGTAAGATTCAGAAGCAGGCTGATGACCTTGAACCGAGACTAGATCTATTGGATAACATGGCGTCTGAAATACAAGAAGAACACATATCATCAGACTGCAAACCACTGAGAGATGAGGTTGCTGAATTGAAGGAAGGTTTTGATGAGCTTTTCAATGCTGTGTCTTCAAAGGCAGAGAGCATCAGTGGGGTTATCGCCGACCTTGATAGTCTCACAGATACTGCAACAAGCACTGAGACGAAAATACATTCTATGGTAGAGATGTTTGAGAAAAACAAGCCACTAAAATTAGACTTGCAAGAACTTGAAGCCAGCGCAGTTTCTCTGCGGGATGTCGAGTCTGAGCTAAAAACAGTGAAGCCCATTGTCGACGAACTGACTTACAAAGGAAGGCAGCTGACGGAGAAAGGCTTCGGATTTGAAGAATTCAACGCAAAACTTACATCTTTGGAAAGTCAGTACCAGGAGTTGAGCAAAAGGACTCCGAAGAAGTTGAGCGATGTTGCTGAACTTATAAATAGACTTAATGAGTTCTACAATGAACACGAGGAAGCAGAAAAGGGAATAGCAGCTGTTGAGAGGACCCTTGAGGAACAGAGTGCAGTTGGCAGCGTGGTAGACGAAATTGATGCTCAAATGGAAGAACTTAAAGATGTTCAGACAGGAATGGAAAAACTGCAGGAGAAAGTTGGTAACCTAACTGATCTGCAATCATTCATTAAGTCTACAAGCCCAAATATAGAAGCCTCTCCGGTGGAAGAAGTTCTAAGTGAACTGAATAACAGACTGCTAAATGCAAATCAACAAATTTCTGATAGAAAGGGGAAACTCGAGGAGGCATTTGTCAAATGCGGAAAATTCAAGGATGCATTACAATCACTTCTAGAATGGCTTGAGGAAACGCAAGAGCTCGTTGATGGACAAAGACAGATAAATGCACTTGATCCAAATGTGTTGAAGGCACAGATCATGGAACAAAAGCTGCTAATTCGTATATTCAAGGATCGTGCAGCAAGTGTCACATCGCTGCAAAATACTGGCAAAGACTTGCTTGAAGCAAAGGACTCTGAAGATGAAAAGAACCGAGAAATTGAGAGTGATCTCGACAAGGCAACAAAGCTTTGGGATTCCCTAAACAGCTACGTGAATTTTAGAATGGAGCGGATGGGCTCAGTCTTAGAAACCTCCACAGAATTCACAAAAGAGTATGAAAATTCTATCGAGCAAATGGATGAGTTGCAGAATCTTGTAGAAAGTGACGAGTGGAAGCCAAGTGGAAAACCAAACGAAATTGCAGAGCAGATAACAAGATTTGAGGATGTTAGGAAAAAGTTAAAAGATTTAGAGCCACTGATTGACGATACTGCGAAGCGAGCTAGTGAACTGAACGAACTGTGTGCTGTGGAGGAGAGGGAAACTGTCCGACAAAAGATGCAAACTTTATTTGACCGCTTTGGCTCAATGTCAGAGAAACGAGCCACCGTAAGCAAAACAATGAAGGAAACTCTAGATTTGAGCAGTGGATACCACAGATTGCACGAAGAGATTAATGAATGGTTTGGCTCATTTGAAACGAAATTGAAAGAGCTGAGCGATGCAGATGAGAACTCAGTAAGAGAGCTGCAGAAAGAAATGGCCGCAAAGAAGAAAGACGTCGATGATGTTGCTGCGGTGGCAGCCAAATTGCAAAAAGTTGTTAATGAGGAAAATGCGAAGGAGATTAAGGGTATGGTAGATAAAGATAAAGAGACATATGACAACCTAAAAGCTATTGTTGAGCAGAAAGCAAGAGACATGTTCTTGGCAAAGGAAAAAGTAGATAAGTTTGACAAAGATGTTGAAAGTCTGGCATCATGGCTGGTAGAGTTATCTGAAAGATATCAAAAGATTGAGCCGATTGCTGTCGACTCTGAAAAGGTGAAAGAACAAATTAATGACCATCAAATGTTTTTAAAAGAAGTAGCCTCAAATGAGCCAAGACTCAAAGAGGTTTTTGATACTGGTGAAATGCTTCTAATGGCGTGTAACGAGGATGAGGAGCCAGCTATCAAAGAGAAGATAGATAACTTGAAATACAGACACGAAGAAGTGATAGGAAAGACAGGAGAACGACAAGCTCAGCTTGTAGAGGCATTGTTGCTTTCACAGCAGTTTGCGGATATGTATAAAGAAACGCAATCTCGTCTAAAAAGAACAGAGGAGTACCTGAAAGATATTGGAGAAAGTCGATCAAAGGGAATTGAAGTACAGAAGGAAAAGCACAAAGGCCTTGAAGACGGAATCAGTCATCTTCGGCCCTTGATTGTTAGTTTAAAGGCCACTGGAGAAGATTTGATGAAGCTTAGTGGTCCTGGACATGGGTCGGTTAGTATTAGGGAGAAGCTTGATGATAGTGAGAAGAGATGGAATGCTTTGCACAAAGATGTTGAAGATAAAGGCATTGAAATTGGTGAAACTGCCCAAAAAACTGAAGAAGTGCAGGTAACGCTAGACGAGCTGTTGTCACAATTTCAGGCTTATAAAGAAAAGTGCAAAACACTTCCATCGATTGCTGTTAAAGAAGAACAGATTAAGGAACAGATCAATGATCATGAACAATGTCAGTTTGAAATATCTGAGTACTTTGAACCTGTGGAGCGCATAGAAACTGCAGTTGAAGAAATAAGGAAACAGGACCCCGAATCGCAAATTGCCAAGTCAATGGCTGGCAAAAAGAAGAAGCTGCAAAATACAGTTGCTTTTGTGAAAGAAGCAACTGATGCCAGGAGAAAGGCATTAGATGATGGACTTACTGCTTGTCGAAAATTTTGGCCTGGCTTAGAACAGCTCAAGAAGACGTTAATGGACGTCCAACACAAGATAGAATCACAAGATGAGCCTCATTTCCAGCCACAAGCCATTGAGAGGCTCCAAAAGGAACACGATGCATTGCGAGATGAGCTTGACAGCAACGAAGAAGTGATAAATACTTTGTGTCAGGTGAGTCCTATCCTGGTGGCGAAAGCAAGTCAGGCTGACAAACTGGATGTGCACAAGCAGCTATCAGAGGTAACTGACCTCTGGGATTCCCTTGAGAGTACTTGGTCAAAGCGAAAGACCGAGCTTGAGAACATTCGTCACTTAGCCGAGCAGTATGAAGAAAGTGTGCAAGAGCTAGACTCGTGGTTAACCAAATCCGAAAGAGAATTAGATGCCAAGTCACCCGTAGGGACAGAAGTAGGAGTTGTGAAGCAACAGTTGACTGAAAACAGAGGCTGTTATAAAGATCTAGTTGGACGACAAATTGATATCACGCAGCTGAATCAAAAGGCCAGTGCATTGATGGATAAAATCGACCATGAAGACAGCGATTCTATTCAAGAGCAAATTGATGAAATCAAATCCAGGTGGGAGAAGCTCCAATCAGCTATCAACGAGCGACAGTCACTGCTTGAAGAAACTCTCTATCGCCTTGGGCAGTTTTCTGTTGTCATGGAAGAAATAATTACATGGATGAAGCAAACAATCACAGTTTTGAGTAAGAAGAAGCCACCATTGCTTAAAGATAAGAAGATCATCGAAGTTGAGCTTGAGAAACTGAAGGTGAGAAAGCAGATCATTGTCACAGTTCTTGAAATTAAGCTCTTTTTCTAATAATAATTAGAGGTGATTGCGAAGTCCTGGTCGGCAGACTGTGAGGTGAAAAAACTCGGATAAATTCGACAGTGTCTAGGATAAATTTGTTTGGCATATTGTTTTGAATTTTACGTGTTAAGTAAGTTGCTTTATCTGTTGTTTTCATGTGGTTAGAATACAGCGTTAAAAACATCAATGTTTTTCCAAGGTGATTGGAAACGATATTAATGCACACGAGTCCGCGGTCATCAAATGCAAGGACTCTGCCGCAGCCCTTCTGCAATCAACAGCCAGTTCTAACGAGAAGCAAGCACTAGAAGACAAAATTGAGAACCTTACTTCTGGTTGGGAAGAAATAAAGACGCTCTACTCTGCATACCAAGTTGAATTAGAGAATGCGTTTGATGAGTCCCGTCTGTTTCAAGAGCAAACCAAGGACCTCTTGCAATGGCTGTCGAAAGAGAGCGTCGATTTGAAGAAGAAAAAACCCACTGGCGGGAAACCGGATACAGCAAAGGAACAGCTTGAAAACCACCAAGTAATTTTACCCCTACTTTTGTTATTTTGTTTTTTTGTCTATATGGATTAACCTGCCATTTGCTGTTTCTAGAGTACGCTGCTTTGTTAAATCAGGATGTACTGTTAAATTATGCTTCGAGTGGCTATAGGTATCTTAATGGTTTGCTATGAATTTTCCTTTGTAATTAATCCTTTTTACATTTTTTAATCCTCGTAACATTCTTTCAGGATTTCTTAAAAGTTCTCGAGGAGCAGACAACAATTTACACTTATATTGAGGAGACATTGACAATCGTGATCAAATCGAGCGATGTTTCCAGTTCGCGCCCATTGGAAATTACCTTGGGTGAACTGTCTTCATTGTGGAAAGAGGTTAACGCATTGTCAGAAAAGCGGTCTGTACGACTCGACAACGCTTTCAAGATGGCCCAAAGGTTTGATAATCTGGTGACTGAAATGGAATTTTGGCTTACCAGGATTGAAGGCTCTGTTTCATTATTTGAAGATGTTAGTACCCTTTTGGAGAACATCGAGAAGCAGAAGCTGCAGTTTAGGGTAAGCTATCATTGTCCACATTGCTAAATCGAAGGGAGGAAAATGCTGGATAGAAGGGTGGAAAATGCTTAATCAATGGGTGGAAAATGTTTAATCAATGTGTGGAAAATGCTTAATCAATGTGTGGAAAATGCTTAATCAATGTGTGGAAAATGTTTAATCAATGTGTGGAATATACTTAATCGGTGTGTGGAAAATGCTTAAAATCAATGTGTGGAAAATGTTTAATCAATGTGTGGAAAATGTTTAATCAATGTGTGGAAAATGCTTAATCAATGTGTGGAAAATGTTTAATCAATGTGTGGAAAATGCTTGATCAATGGGTGGAGAATGCTAGATCGAAGGGTAGATATATATCAGAAGTTTCCAACAGCTGTGACCCTTAAAGCTGTAGATCGATATTACGAACTTTCAACCTAAATGTTGCTAGAATAAACTTATGAATATAATCATATCTTGACCGTCACAAAACCTCTTGTACACAAATAAGTGCTTATTAGAAAATCTAAAAGCTTTGATATAATCATAGTTAAAAGATTTTACCTTTTTGAAACCTCCCCTTCGAAATTGCAATTAGTTGCTATAAATGGTGTTTACATCATAGGAATTTCAAGAGGAAGTAGAAGAACACCGCACTAAGTTCAAGGAGATGCGAGAGGTTGGTCACAAAATAACAGAAAGCTGTAGTGCAGAGGAAGTACAAGAGGTGAATGAAGATATTCAGAAAATCGAGGAAAGATGGAAAGAACTTAATTTGGTTGCGAAGAAAAGAAAGGAAACGATTGAAGAGAACTATGAATTGTCATCGCAGTTTTTTGATAGCGCTGCAAAATTAGTGACAAGTTTTGATGATATTACTGTCCGTATTAAGTCTGACCAGTCGATTGGAAAGGATAAATCAATGGTGCGTGCACAAATAAGGAAGCACAAGGTTGGTAATCGTTTATCGAATTGCTTTATTACTGCCTGAAAAGTGAGCGACACGACTCGAATTCGCAGACATCGACAGGGTACGTCGTTGCCTGGCCGCAAAATATACAAAATTGTAGGTCTCATACTTGACTGTAAGAGAATGCCCTTTCGTCAAAAGGAACGCCCTTTTTCCAATAAGAAACGCCCAAGACAAACGTTTGGTTGCATAAAGAAAAATTCAAAGGGAAAGAATCAGACACAGAGAATACTTTGTCAAAATACTGTTACACCTCCACTTTTTTTCGTCGACTTTATACGAAATACCAGGCCGAGAACTGGGGGGGGGCGGCTGTCTCCTTTATTTCCCCTTTGCGCCGCCATTACATACAATGCAAATCACTACTTAAGGTTGCTATGTTTCATGTGGAGCTTTTATCAATTCAGCAAAAGGTGCCTTTTAACTATTTCAAAGAGATAAGTTCAATATTCTGCATCTCAACAGGAATTTCGTTTGATTTCGTCAAAGCGTAGTTCTGTTAAATTTTATTTTTCCTTTCCGAATACAGGATTCGCAGCATATGATTGGAGCACTCCAAGGAAAATTAAATGCTGTTGTGAAAACGGGTATGAATCTAGTAGAGAAGAGTGACCCTGGCGATGGAGCAGTTATCGAGGAGAAGATTTCTGAACTAAGGACGCAATGGGATGAAATTTGTGCCCTATCTGTTGAAAGGTACGTTTTGGTGTCTGATTAACGAGTGTTTTTTACTCACATTATCCAGTATCATCAATGGCAATTGTTTCGCTTCTCCAATTATTTACATCCAAAAGCTGAAATTTGATGATCGCTTTTGATGTTGTAATTTATTTTCCCTCGATGTTTTACCCTGCGTTTTATGATACGAACATTGTCATGTAATTGATTCTTACCTTAATTCTCTATTAAATAGGCAAAGACAACTGGAGGATGCGCTGCTGTTCCATGGACTCTTTCACGACGCTGTTCAGGCGCTTGTTGACTGGTTGAATTCTGTCGAGCCTGGTCTCTCTACTGAGACGGCGGTCATGGGTGACGTAGAAACTGTCAAACTTCTTATTCATCACCATAAGGTAAGCGTTTGAACTGCACTTCTATTATGTGTTTTTTTTATGACAGCACGCTGACTGCCTGAATTTGCTTCATTGCTTGTTTAGATCAGAATAGATGTGATGGATTTTATGATATCTTTTTTAATATTAAGTTTACTAAATAACACAAGTTTTTTGTTAAATGTACGTCAAATTTGTTGTAGCTATTCCAGAGAGAACTTGGTAGTCGCCAACGTAATTTTGATAAAATTATGAAAACTGGGGAGACGATGGTTGCTGAACGGCATGTTGAAGATCCCGAATCTCTTCAGCGAGATCTTGACGACCTGAAGTTGAGGTGGGAGGCTTTGTGTACAATGTCTGTGACGAAGCAGGAACGGCTTATGAACTCACTTGTTCTTGCAAAGGAAATGCAATCTGGCAGCCAGGCACTCATAAGAAGAATCATCGAACTTGAAGACGTTTTGAAAAAGCAAGGGCCTATTTCGGACGAAATAGCTGTATTGCGAAACCAAATGGAGGAATTTCAGGTAACTTTGTTAGCATGCTATTTCTCGTATGTTTGTTTCTGTTATAAACTTCCCGTTTTTTGCCAGGCTTTCGTCCCAACTTCATTTTCGAGAGAGGCAGACATCTGGAGTATGATGCTTATTTTCTCAAATTTTTAATATTTTGTAGGCTTTCCAGAAAGAGCTTGACATTGAGGAGAGCAACCTGAGAGCGATATTGAAGAAAAGTGAAGTGATTTTGCGATTTTGTCATCCCAGTTCGTTGCAAACGATCCGAAATCAGATTGCATTTTTGAAGCGAAGATGGAATGACGTCGCTGGGTGGGCCAGGCAAAGGGAGACAAGGCTAAAGGAGGGCTTGGAAAAGCTGCTAATGGAGCAGAAGTTGGTTGAATCACTTAGCAGTTGGATCATTGTCAAAGAATCCGTGATAGTTGATCGAGAAAAAATTCCATTACCAGACGATTATGACGTTGTCCATTCATTATTTGAGGAGCACAAGCTGTTACAGGAAGAAGCAACGGGAAAACAGAGCGATTATGACAAAGTAACGAAGCATGCGAAAAAAAGAATCGGCCAGGAAAGAAAGCGAGCTACCAGAGCTCCTAGCAGAGGACGTGAAGCCTCCTTTGTTAAGGAATACTTAAATCCAGCCGTCACCCAACTTGCTAAAAGATGGCAGAATCTTTGGTTGCTGTTAATGGACAGATTGATAAGACTGCAAGCAAAACTGGACGAGATTAGGATCCAAAAGGCGTCTGCTGAATTCAACTGGGAGGAATGGAGAGAAAGATTCAAGACGTGGTTGCGAGAATCGAAATCGAGAGTTTCAGATTTGTGGAGAAAGAAAGATCTTGACAGGGACAACAAACTGAATCGTGAAGAGTTTGTGGAAGCCATTATTGAAACGACGTTTGTGACTGAAAGATGGGAGATCGAATTGGTTTTCAATATGCTAGAAGTTCATTCGTTGATAAGTTACAAAGACTTCGTAGACAGCTTGAAAAACAAAGCACCAAAGAAGAAAGATAAGCCGAAAACAGACGCTGAACGTGTTAGCTACGAGATTGAAGCGGAAATAGAAAAATGTATGTGCCAACGGAGATACCAGATTACAAAGATATCTGATGGGAAGTACTATTTCGGAGAAACACAAAAGTTGAGGTTGGTCAGGTTTATGAGAACAAGTGTAATGGTACGTGTTGGTGGTGGATGGGACACGTTACAAGGTTATTTGATGAAAAATGATCCTTGCAGGGCAGAGGGAAAAACGAATTATGAACTGAGAGAAGCAATGCTCGTCCCGGGGACTGGAAGCATGCAGGCTTTTAAATTCAAACGGCCAGGTATTTCTCGTGAAAGTTCAGGGTTAAAGCCAAGAACGCCTTCAAGAGAACCGTCCGGAGAAATACGAAGGTCGGGAATTCCGAGAAGACAGAAGTCGGATTTAGAACGTGAACAAAAGAAAATACATTCGTATTCCGGAATGGATTATTCCAACGTAAAGAGCAGTGGATATGGATTGTCGCCGGCAGCAAAGCGAAGACCACCGTCTCAGGGAGATGATGGCAAACCACGGTTACGAAGATCTGGTAGTGGGCTATCAAGTGGCAGTAGAGACTCTCAGGATGATGTTGATGCACCAAGGTTGACGCGAGAGCGCTCTGGGGATGTGTTCTCTCGTTTGTACGGAACTGGGCGAAGGTCTTTTAAAGAAGTGAAGCCCCGAGCCCCCTCGACACCCACAGGTACTGCGAGTGTGAAGCCAAGAACTCGGCTATCTGCTGAGAAAAAAGAGGGAGAAACAGTACCAAAACCCCCACCAAGCCCAACCACAAGACCAGCGGTTGGTGGTGTCTTTGCAAGGTTAACATCAACAGGAACTGCAACGAAAAAAGCGATTGCAGAGAGTGTTGCAGACAAGTCCAAGAAAACGCCGACGAGAAGGTCATTAAGCAAGGATCAGAAGCGAGAAGAGGGCTGGAGGTCTGTGAGGTCAAAGAAGTAACTTTCTGTTCTTTTGTTGCAATCATGACTTGCTTTACTTAACTTAAATATCATTGGGTTTCTAATACGTTTTTTATAGTTTTTTTTGCAATGCATACTGTCTGTCCGATAGCATTTCATTTATGTGTTACCATATAGTGTTACCCATTTTTTACTCGCCCTTTTGGGAATGGCTTTTTGAACGCTTTCATAACACTAAAGCCATTTCCATCAAATGATTGTGATGCCATTTGTGAAAAAACAATTCCGACGTTTATGAAGTTTGTATCATTGCCCGTTAGGGTTGAACAGCCATTCACTCAATTCACTAGCTTCATACAGAATAGAAGTAATTTAGAGACTGCATTTTGGAATTCATGTTTGTAATTTAGTAGTTATTAGTAATAAATTTGCATTGACACCGAGCTGAATTTGTTAGTGATATTTATTATCGTGACTGTATTGTTTGGAACTCGCTTTTTGCAGGCGCTTTACCCAGTCTAATCAAATTAAGCCATCCCGCCTCAATCCCGCCTCAATCTCGCCTCAATCTCGCCTCAATCTCGGCTCAATCTCGCCTCAATCTCGCCTCAATCTCGCCATCAGAAGCGCATCCGCGCAAGAACAGCCGTGACAACGATTTTCAACTGAAAGAAACTGAAAGAAATTTATCGATTAGACTCGTGGTGTTGCGACTGCATCAGCCTTTCGTGAGAGTTCTATTGTTTGCTACAGTAAGGGTTTTTATGGTTCTTTGGATAATTTGTGTTCGAATATAATCTTTCCTTATGTTTTGAATGTTTTTTGGTAAAAAGTATTTTAGTGTCAATTTGTATTAGAAAATTTGACCAGTTTGTAGGTAATATCAACTATGAATTGATAACGTTTTCCACGAAATCTACCTTTAGTTATTGAATGAAATGATATTCATGGTCTCTTTTCTTTTGATTTCTCTACTCGCCAAGATTTGCCTGTTAACCTCTGTTTCGCTATGGCCTCCATCTACGGACGCTACAACAGACTGGGTGTCTATCAATTCAATTTAATAGCATAATTTGCAGCTCATGGAGAAAGGCCTATACGCTGCGCATGATCAGCGCAGCGACAAAAATCAACTTCCACCTTGTAGTTGCAAGTTCCAATGGCAGAGAGTGAAGGTCTAGCAGGACAGTCGGTTTTAAGAACTTTAGGTAATCCATAAAGGATTTCAGGAGAACTACCAGAAGGAAAAAATTGATGATATCAGTAATGAGTTTCTGTTTAAATATTTATCTCTAGGAGGTGGATTAGCTTTTTTCTCTTTTCTGAAAAATATCAAGAATATTAGTATAGCTGGAAAAACATCATGGAAAGAACCGTGTTGATATAATCAGAGCGATTACCCTAGCCCGGGGTAAAACAAGACTGGGTTAAAAGTTATCCGTTATTAAAGTGAGTCAATGGAAACAGCATTTTTCTTCGACCCGTTTTTAATCCGTTTTTGATCGTGGCCTGGTTAAAATGTATTCAGGGTGAAATATTCGAAAACGTATGCACAGTTGTAAGAATGAAGATACTCTTACCTTTATCAAGTCGGGTGATTATAATATCTTATATTTAACGGTGTCGGTGTTCTTAAATTTGGTTTTAACGAAATCAAAATTAAATCCTATTTTTGGATATATACTAAACTTAAGCCCCGTAGATAAAATGCTTTTTCTGAAACTTGTCTAATGAGTAATTAGAATACCGTAAATTCTCGAATTATTTATTTTTGAATGGGGGCTTTTCCGAAGGGGGGGCTTGTACGAGGGGGAGCTTATAAAATTATTGTAGACATTAAGAAGACATTATTAAAAGACCTCGTTTATTTAAGCAGGAATTTCTTTATGAGCATTTAATTAATTTTTACTAAAAGTATGTATTTTTAAGATAACTCAATAAAACGCCAAAGACAACCTAAGATGGCAAAAATCATCCAATTTAAGGGGGCCAATTCGAGGATTTACAGTAGCAGTGGGGGCTTATTGACAATTTGTAGTTTTAGAGTGGGGGCTTATTCGAGGGGAGGGCTTTTTCGAGGGGGGGCCAATTCGAAGATTTACGGTAGCAATGGGGGCTAATTCGAGGGGGAAGCTTATTGACAATTTGTAGTTCTAGGATGGGGGCTTTTTTTACAAGGGGGAGGGGCAATTCGAGGATTTACGGTAGTTAGATTTAACCTCATCGGGATTGATACCTGTGGTGAGGTATTCATTTTTAAGTTGTTCTAATTTGCAATTTTGCTTAAATGCCACACGTTTTAAAGAATTGACAAAAGATAATAAATGATTCAATTCAAACATGAGAGAGTACTGTGGAGATCGTTCAAAAAGGACAGGGGTTTGTTACAAGTTTTTTCTTGTCAGCATTTTCGACTGAGGGCAATCTGGAATTTGCTAACTTGAGGTTAATCTTACTGTAGTGGTTGAAAATAACTATTCATTGCCATTTTTAGATGTCTTGGTATCCAAAAATAATAGTGAGTTTTCTACTACTTTGTATTCACCGGTCTTTAAACTGATTTTGCAAGTCTGTCGCTTGGTATGTATGTACAAAGCCAATCTTGTAAATGTACTTATTTATCGTGCATTTCACATTTGGTCCACAAATCAAAATTTTCTCACGGAACACCGAATTTTGTAAAATCAAAGTCATCTTTAAGGATTACTGCTTTCCTTAATCCTGCCTACCGAGACTTCTTCCAAGCTAGATAGCAAACAACAACCGTTCTTGGTTGCTCTTTCTTCCTTTTCTATAACATTGAAACCTTCGCATAAGAAAAACATTGCTAAACTTTTGAAACAAAGCTACCCTGATGTTGAGTGGGGTCTTTATTAACATTACCCACGAGCGGACTGTGTCGAGGCAGGTAGCAGAGGCAGGTCTCCTGGCAGCCGGCTGACGAGCCAAAATGTTTTCCTAGAAGTGTTTTAAAGGACCATTTATATAGATTCGTAAACGCAGTAACTGCCAAAAGATTTGCAGAGAAGAGCAATTAAACATTTACGTTCTAGACAAGCGAAGGCATATAAAGATTTTCTCAAGAGGTAAGAAATTGTTTAGGTATAATTATTTGTCTGCACTTTCACTTCCCTCTTGTTTTCACGGGTGGGTTTGCCGTTTGCGGGATGTTAGTGTTTAATAACGATATTTCTCATAGTAATCTTCGCGATGAAAAAACTTTAACACAGGTACTGCGCCACGAACTGGCCTAAGAGAGGTTGACCACTCATTTATTATAACGAACTGGACATACAGATGTACTTTCGTACAACATCGCCAAAGTTCAGTTCTTTCCTGTTTCAATTTCAAATGTTAAAAGGCCACTCCAGCCCAAAATTTTTATTTCAGAATACGATGCAATCAGATCTCCTGAAAACGAATCTGTTATTACACTCACGTTCAAAAAGTATTGGGACAAATTCGATAAACGAATTATGGCGTTGCGTTGGATTCGGTTTGCAACGGAAACTTTTTACCGCATGCTATTCAGACAGAGAATGAGAATGACATACAGAATGAGATTCAATCCGAACCACGAAAGACTAAAACTGTCTGAAATGTATTTCTGATGTTTGATTTTATCATTTCTAAGCCATCTTGTCTAAATGATTCTTTTAGCACCTTTTTACACACAAAAAACTGAGAATTGCGGGGGAAACTTTCGCGTTGTTTCCTGTCTACATATGGGGTCCCTATGGTCGAAAAAAGGGTATTTTGCCGGGCACGAAACAATCAACGATATCTTCCAAAAACAAGAAGCAATTCTCAAAATCTTTTCTGCGTAAAAAGTACAATAAGTAAATTATCCGAAATGATTTTATTTGACAACGAAAGCTCTTTTTATCTGGCAGAACTCACTCGATTTTCCTCAGAATGAGATTCAATCCTTTAGGCCCTCTAGACGTAAACAACACCACTCCATATCAACGAATTGATGCTCAAAACCAGGAGTTTTTCATAAAATCCTCACAATTACAACAAAATATGCCAAATGTAATGAAAAATTGTAAATTTTTGCGACAAATTCACGCAACTTTTTCGAGTCGAGTCGAGAGACCAGTTACACGAAGTTTTATCACAACTACTCGCTCCTTATCTTGTCAATATCTTGAATTTACCACTGCAGATATTTTTTCCTATAATTGAAAATTTCTTACTTTAATATTGTACCTCAATAAATTTCGAAGAATTTGATTCCTGGTTTAGAATGATTATGTTTATTTTTGAGGGGAATATTTCGAATACAGGGCACTTTTTAAGGGATTTTTAGTGATGGGGAATTTTTCAAAAGGACCCACGCTGACCTCAAGGGGACCTCAAGAGATCGTACAGGATTAATGGTCAGGTGGTTATAAATTAAGATTGTTATATGCCTCCACTTAAGCTAAAATCATGGCCTGTTGCAAGGGTGAGCTGGGCTGTTTCATACATACCTATATCTTTCACACAACTGGAAGATAACTACACTCATATTTTTATAAGAAACAAAGGTCGATTTTGAGTACTCCACTTTCTCAATGTTCTGGAAATTTCAATACTCGTTGTTTCTTAAGAGTTTCTCAATTATGATATCATGAATGATGTTATGAAATGTTCGTGACCTTTTTTCATGTCAAGAGATTCGCTTCCGTTCCGATGCTGTATTTAGATATGGGAAGAATATTTTTATCCCTTGTGTCTTAAATTCTAGGCCAACAGGGCAATCATGTTCTTGGATTTTAAAAAATTTTGTTGTTCTCAGTTTTATCAAGATTTAATATTTTTTTGCTTCGAGTACTGGAGTTTTTTAATTTTTCTGACTGTCCAGTACTGGTCCATCCACTGTATGCTAAAGAAAAAACGCAAGCTAACTCAGTTGCTGACTTTAAAAGACAAGTTCTTTCCCTTTCGAGTCAAGAAAGACAATTAAGTACATTAAGTCCTATTAAAATCATAATTTATTGCTAAATCTTCGTAATTGATTTCCACAGAAAGATTCCTTGTTTATCTCATCTGTATGAGGATAGTAATATTCTTTAAGACCAATTAATACTACCAATGTAGGTTGACGAAGCAACAAAAAGTCCCATTTTATATTTCCAGTAACAGGACAGTCCCTTCCTATAGATTTGATAGTCAATTGCATGCTAAGTTGAATGTCCGATGACAAAGTCAGTTGGCTGTGCCAATTTTTAATAAGATATCCATATAAAGATATGGGGGTAATTAGACGTCACGTGACAAATTATAGCTCATTTTACTACTTTAAACGTATTTCTACCATATTCCGCTGCTTAGACCAGGTTTATTGTTAAAAACGTCATTCCAGCCATGTTTCTCCTTCGCAAAAGAAAAGCAGGAACTTCTCCTGATTTAACCTCATTTTACCCCAAAACAGCGGCAAATCCCCATTTACCATCACAATTCAATATCCCCAGTTGATAAAGAACTCGAAAGTGGTAATCAAAATTTCCTTTTCCCAAAGTGGTACTCCCCTCCATTTTTGTCTGGTCAAATACATCCGTGTCTGACCAAGATAGTACCTGGGCCTGGCTTTATTCTTTTGATGATACAACAAACAGATGATTCTTTTGTGAATTTGAGCTTTGACAAATGTATATCAATTTTTAACAAAAAAATTTAGCTAACGCATTAGGAACTGGGCAAAGCTAGATATTTTGTGACGTCATCATCAAAAGTTTAATGGTCCATATCTCTAAAAGTATAAACATCATATCAAATATTTTTTCATGTCTTTTGATGCTTTTTTCAATGTTTGCCTCAGATTTAAAAAAGATGACTTTTAATCTTTTAATTTTGTAAAATCAAAGTCATCTTTAAGGATTACTGCTTTCCTTAATCTTGCCTACCGAGACTCCAAGCTAGATAGCAAACAACAACCGTTCTTGGCTGCTCTTTCTTCCTTTTCTAGAACATTAAAACCTTCGCATAAGAAAAACATTGCTAAACTTTTGAAACAAAGCTACCCTGATGTTGAGTGGGGTCTTTATTAACATTACCCACGAGTGGACTGTGTCGAGGCAGGTAGCAGAGGCAGGTCTCCTGGCAACCGGCTGACGAGCCAAAATGTTTTCCTAGAAGTGTTTAGAGGGGAAATGCAGTGACCGATTCAAAGTTCAAGCCACGACCAGACAGTGTCGAGGCAAGACGGGTAGCGAAGTGATTGACAGCAAGTTCACTTCCCGGGCTATTCAACAAAGGCAGGTCTCCTGGCAGCCGGCTGACGAGCCAAAATGTTTTCCTAGAAGTGTTTTAAAGGACCATTTATATAGATTCGTAAACGCAGTAACTGCCAAAAGATTTGCAGAGAAGAGCAATTAAACATTTACGTTCTAGACAAGCGAAGGCATATAAAGATTTTCTTAAGAGGTAAGAAATTGTTTAGGTATAATTATTTGTCTGCACTTTCACTTCCCTCTTGTTTTCACGGGTGGGTTTGCCGTTTGCGGGATGTTAGTGTTTAATAACGATATTTCTCATAGTAATCTTCGCGATGAAAAAACTTTAACACAGGTACTGCGCCACGAACTGGCCTAAGAGAGGTTGACCACTCATTTATTATAACGAACTGGACATACAGATGTACTTTCGTACAACATCGCCAAAGTTCAGTTCTTTCCTGTTTCAATTTCAAATGTTAAAAGGCCACTCCAGCCCAAAATTTTTATTTCAGAATACGATGTAATCAGATCTCCTGAAAACGAATCTGTTATTACACTCACGTTCAAAAAGTATTGGGACAAATTCGATAAACGAATTATGGCGTTGCGTTGGATTCGGTTTGCAACGGAAACTTTTTACCGCATGCTATTCAGACAGAGAATGAGAATGACATACAGAATGAGATTCAATCCGAACCACGAAAGACTAAAACTGTCTGAAATGTATTTCTGATGTTTGATTTTATCATTTCTAAGCCATCTTGTCTAAATGATTCTTTTAGCACCTTTTTACACACAAAAAACTGAGAATTGCGGGGGAAACTTTCGCGTTGTTTCCTGTCTACATATGGGGTCCCTATGGTCGAAAAAGGGTATTTTGCCAGGCACGAAACAATCAACGATATCTTCCAAAAACAAGAAGCAATTCTCAAAATCTTTTCTGCGTAAAAAGTACAATAAGTAAATTATCCGAAATGATTTTATTTGACAACGAAAGCTCTTTTTATCTGGCAGAACTCACTCGATTTTCCTCAGAATGAGATTCAATCCTTTAGGCCCTCTAGACGTAAACAACACCACTCCATATCAACGAATTGATGCTCAAAACCAGGAGTTTTTCATAAAATCCTCACAATTACAACAAAATATGCCAAATGTAATGAAAAATTGTAAATTTTTGCGACAAATTCACGCAACTTTTTCGAGTCGAGTCGAGAGACCAGTTACACGAAGTTTTATCACAACTACTCGCTCCTTATCTTGTCAATATCTTGAATTTACCACTGCAGATATTTTTTCCTATAATTGAAAATTTCTTACTTTAATATTGTACCTCAATAAATTTCGAAGAATTTGATTCCTGGTTTAGAATGATTATGTTTATTTTTGAGGGGAATATTTCGAATACAGGGCACTTTTTAAGGGATTTTTAGTGATGGGGAATTTTTCAAAAGGACCCACGCTGACCTCAAGGGGACCTCAAGAGATCGTACAGGATTAATGGTCAGGTGGTTATAAATTAAGATTGTTATATGCCTCCACTTAAGCTAAAATCATGGCCTGTTGCAAGGGTGAGCTGGGCTGTTTCATACATACCTATATCTTTCACACAACTGGAAGATAACTACACTCATATTTTTATAAGAAACAAAGGTCGATTTTGAGTACTCCACTTTCTCAATGTTCTGGAAATTTCAATACTCGTTGTTTCTTAAGAGTTTCTCAATTATGATATCATGAATGATGTTATGAAATGCTCGTGACCTTTTTTATAACGTCAAGAGATTCGCTTCCGTTTCGATGCTGTATTTAGACGTTGGAAGTATATTTTTATCCCTTGTGTCTTAAATTCTAGGCCAACAGGGCAATCATGTTCTTGGATTTTAAAAAATTTTGTTGTTCTCAGTTTTATCAAGATTTAATATTTTTTTTGCTTCGAGTACTGGAGTTTTTTAATTTTTCTGACTGTCCAGTACTGGTCCATCCACTGTATGCTAAAGAAAAAACGCAAGCTAACTCAGTTGCTGACTTTAAAAGACAAGTTCTTTCCCTTTCGAGTCAAGAAAGACAATTAAGTACATTAAGTCCTATTAAAATCATAATTTATTGCTAAATCTTCGTAATTGATTTCCACAGAAAGATTCCTTGTTTATCTCATCTGTATGAGGATAGTAATATTCTTTAAGACCAATTAATACTACCAATGTAGGTTGACGAAGCAACAAAAAGTCCCATTTTATATTTCCAGTAACACGACAGTCCCTTCCTATAGATTTGATAGTCAATTGCATGCTAAGTTGAATGTCCGATGACAAAGTCAGTTGGCTGTGCCAATTTTTAATAAGATATCCATATAAAGATATGGGGGTAATTAGACGTCACGTGACAAATTATAGCTCATTTTACTACTTTAAACGTATTTCTACCATATTCCGCTGCTTAGACCAGGTTTATTGTTAAAAACGTCATTCCAGCCATGTTTCTCCTTCGCAGAAGAAAAGCAGGAACTTCTCCTGATTTAACCCCCATTTTGCTCCAAAACAGCGCAAATCCCCATTTACTATCACAATTCAATATCCCCAGTTGATAAAGAACTCGAAACTGGTAATCAAAATTTCCTTTTCCCAAAGTGGTACTCCCCTCCATTTCCGTCTGGTCAAATACATCCGTGTCTGACCAAGATAGTGTCTGGGCCTGGCTTTATTCTTTTGATGACACAACAAACAGATGATTCTTTTAGTGAATTTGCGTATTGACAAATATATATCAATTTTTAACAAAAAAATTTAGCTAACGCAGTAGGAACTGGGCAAAGCTAGATATTTTGTGACGTCATCATCAAAAGTTTAATGGTCCATATCTCTAAAAGTATAAACATCATATCAAATATTTTTTCATGTCTTTTGATGCTTTTTTCAATGGTTGCCTCAGATTTAAAAAAGATGACTTTTAATTTTTTTTGACCGTGAAATGAAATTTTGCCTTGTCACGTGACCGGAAATAAAATTGGAAATGGTACTTGGCAGATTTGAATTCTCTGGCATACTGGCATCATGAAACAGTTTAGAGAACCTTGACAACACCTGCGGTTAGTTAGTTACGGTTATTTCCCTGTCTATAATATTCACTAGATAGTTTGATAGATAAAAACTATTAGACGCGAATAAACTTGCATCCATTTCGCATTTCAGTACATTCCCAATAAAACTACCCTTGCCCCTTGGTTCATGACGCTAATGTCTTTCGTCTTTACTTAACTGCTGAAAACTTTTCAATGATTTTATTGGAGTTTAAAACTCCCAGGACATCAAAATCTGCTGCCATTAAACATAAAGCAACAACGCGCTACTGTGAAATTGCCATTGCTCAGTGGCAATGGCAAACTGAGCAAAAAACTAAGCGCAGTCATTGCATTGGGGAAAGCTCCAGCCAGGGCTACCAAAAGTTTTAAAGGCCCTGGGCTAAATGCAAAAAATGAGGCCCCCTGCGAGCGGAGCGAGCTTAAAATTCTTGTGAGCACGCCCTAAATGGAATGCATTATTTTACAAGGCCCCCTAGCTCAATTCAAACACAAGATTGTTTGCTCGGGGCCCCCTAAATCTAAGAATTTTAGGGGGCCTCTAGGCCGGGGCCCAGTGGGCCCATGGGTAAATGCGTCACTGCTTTACTGTTCTGACCCTATGCATATGGGACGTGCTGGCACGGTTGCCAGGGCTGGCAGGGTCACCCGGGCTGCAACCTCCTGGCGATTACACCTCGATATTTCATTTTTTTGCCAATGTGAATTCTTTTGTAAGAGCACCATTATGGGTTGCAGTTTGATGAATGTTATTAAGGAGCCATCAGGGATTGCGATTCGAGGGGTCCAATCAGGAGCAAACTGTTAACTGCTAAAAAGTATGTCTTCATATTTGACTTACGTGGCAGTTTTAGAGTAATTTTATTAGACTATTTTGCCTCTGACTGATCTTATTTGCTGCAGGAAAAGAACATTCAGGCATACCCCAACAGTAGCCCCATTCTAAGACAGCTCTGTATTTTGAAACACTTGACTTACCTGCTCTTGTTTTTTAAATATGAAATAATTATGTTTTTCAGTGATGGCCAGGTACCATGCATTGGAAAGCGTCTTATACACCCATTGCTGCCCTGAGGTTGTAATCCAATATGAAAATATGGATAACGAACCTAGAAAGAGGTTACTTGAGGCCATGAAGACGGTATTTCTAAACTTTATAAATCCTCTACTTTTCCATGATGATAAACGGGTCTCATCAAATATCAAATACCCTGAACTCATCGAAGCAGCAAAGTTATTAGAAATTCCTCATTTTATGATAAACTTGGACAAGATTGCAGAAGCTTTCAGCAGGTGGGGAAAGACGATGCCTCGTGAAACTGTACTCGCTGAACATTCAAAAAGATTGACATTTCAACAGCAGCGAAAGGGGTTTTTCCTGGGCACCCATTTTGCAGACTATAATACTGCAGGCATAAACTGCACAGACTTCTCTACATTGCAAAGAGTTTTTATAAAAGACTTGAAACTCTTTGAAAAATCAAAAGGGAAATTTATCGAGGGTACTATCATCACACCTCTATTTGTCGTGGAGGGCATCACAACTATTTTAGAGGATGCTCAAGGAGATATCATTCAGCTGGGGCTTTATAACATGGTGCCAAGTTGCAGAAATAAATTTGAACTTGCAAAAATGAAATTTCCCGTTCATGCAAAAATTAAGATAGCTGAACCATATTTGAAAATATTTGCAGACAGCCAGCAAGGAATTAGAGTCGATTGTCCCGAAGAGGTTTGCGTTCTTCAGCAAGCTGACTTCGAACAAATTAGAGAAAAAGGCAAGTTGTTTACCGAAAATGGAGATTTTTTAGCAGCGTTTGATATCTATATCGCTGGCCTAGCGGAATTCCCAGATATCCTTTTGCTTTTGAACAACAGATGCCAGGCTGAGCTAAAGCTAAAGCAGTACGAGCTGGCTTTTTTGGATGCCGCTGTAGTCCTTTTTATGGAGCGGGACAACGAGAAGGGTCGCTTAAGATACAAGAAGGCAGCATATGAACTTGGTTTTACATTGGACAATGCCCCAAAGATGCATGGTCTTTGGAAACGGGTCTTGTTGAAATATAACAAACACTCTTTGGAAGAGAAAGTAGCTGGCCCATATTCCAGAGAAGACGGCAACAATGCATATAAGGAAGGTGATTTTTCTAGAGCAAAAGCTATTTATACTTCTGCGATGGGCGATTGTAATAATGTTTGCAAGCTGCTGATTGGAGCCGCTCTCGTGAGTTTGAAAACTGAGATGTATCAAACTGCAATATCAGCTGCGAGTGCATGTTTTCAACTTGCTACAGACGAAAAGCATCGCAAACAAGCAAGGTTTGCAATGACCAAGGCGTTTTCGTCGCTGGGGGAACTAGAGTTAGCAAGGTTGGCTGCAATGGGGGATCTCTCCTTGTTGAATCTGTATGATGGAAGAAACAATTCTTATAGAGTTGTAGCCAACGCCCTTAACAAAAGTTTTCCCAAAACTTTAGAGGCTGCTGAAGCTAACAGCAATGTCAAAGTGCCGTCGGATTATCTATGTCCTGACACAATGGAGCACTGCTACATCTCTGGAAAAGGAAGAGGATTAAGAGCTAAGAGAGGCATCTTGAAAGGAGAGTTGCTTGTTGTTGACCATCCAATCGTGTCACAGAAAAATAAAAGCTCTTTTGACGTGTCCATTGATACAAGTAGAGATATCGCTGCTTCTTCAAGTCAAAGAAATCTTGAAAATAAGCTCATTCGACTGGTCAAATACAATGGGTTACTTGCTAAAAAAATTTTGCTGTTGGATAGAAAGAGAGATGGCTCCAAGGCCGATGATTTGCCTTTGATTTCTGACCTCGATTGGATGGCTAATCGCAAGCTAAGCTATGATGTACCGCCTTTCTTGCCACAAACTCCTGAAGAAGCTGGAGTTGATAAAAGCTTGCTTACGCCTGAACTTTTCAATAACGTAATTTTCAATAATTGTTTTGCATGGGGTGTGCTGGAGGAAGAAATGGATAGAGGAACTGCGTTGACATTAAGAATCAGTTTATTCAACCACGATGATGACCCCAATTGCACTCATTTTCCAATTGGCGATGCGTTTACAATAATGGCAATCAAAGATATACAGAAAGAGGAGGAGTTGACCATTAAGTACAACGAAAGGGACGAAATGGCACGTTGGGGACTTTAATCTTTCTACCACTAAGATACTTTTCACGGAATGCCAAGAGAAGAATATCAATTTTCGTTGACCATCCAGAAATCTTATTTGATTTTACAGTTTAATATACGTGTATTTCAGATAAGTGTTTTCCTGACCTGATTGCTGCATTTTCAAAATAACTTTTAGCCAATACCAGTTTGATATTCTTGACAAGGTAATGATTTTTTATATATTCAGAATATACACATGTTTATTTGTAACAGTCTGATTGTTAAGAAACTACAATATTGCTCTCAGAAGGGTTAAGATACTTCAGACTTCAGTACTGCTCTCTAAAAGGCTAAGATATTTCAGTACTACTCTCCGACTTGCAATCCTTTTTGTACACTTTGTGTGTCTTTTTATCTTGTTAAATCGCTGTTTAAACATAAATAAGTGGAAAGAAGCAAGTGTTTTCTAAAAGTGGCGTTTTCCGGCGTTCCAAATTTTTTTGTCACACCCTATCATTTTATAATTATTAATAACTAAAATAGCTATACATGTACGAGATAAAATATTTACAAGTATAGCTAATAAAAGCCAACTACTTCAAATTACAAAAAACAGAATGGTTAAAAATTTCATATAAAACCTAAATGTTTTACAAAACGTCGGCAGAGCCTACATTGGCACTGGCACTTATTATACTTCCAAGCTTTAATTTTGGTCTTAAATTCAATCAAGTTTGTCGAGTGTCTAATTGAGACTGGGTCTAGGAGTGTACACCATAACTGTGGACCCCTATATCGAACAGTTTCTGAGCCATACATGATTGATCTCACTCTTGGTAGGTTAAAATCACGGTCATTTCTAAGGTTATAGTGGTTATTTTGTGGGCAGAATATTTCGTTCATAAAAGGAGGATTTAAGCTATGGTTTGTTTTGAACATTTCTATTATTTCTATCTGTAAGTTCTTCTGATGAACAGATACCCTGTTATCATATCTCATGAGACCTTCAAAGCTAGATTTCTGATCTCTATACGTTATCCTAAGGGCTCGCTCGTGCAGTTTGTTGATTTTAGAATTTAGTTTCCTACTATGGAACATCCATGCCAAAGGACAAAACTGAAACTGGACACTTTTCAGCTGACCCTCTTTTAGACTTGTGCGGTGCCTGATTTAGCCTCTCCCTCTTTTAAGCTCCTCTCTTTTTAGGCCCTTTTAAAGCAAAAATACAAAATAAGCCTTGTACATTCAATACGGTTCTTGTGGACTAAAAACAAAAAATGGCAGTAGTCGCAATAACAATTTTCAAGGTTGGGTCCAAGCTTAAATTCTCTTTGTAAATTGAATATTATTGTTAAGTGTCAAAAGCTGCCCTAAATTAAAAGAAAAACAGAAGCAATGACATTTAGGAACAAAAAAATGACAAATTTAGGGAGGGGGTCGTTTCCTCGAATAGTTAAAATTGCAACTTTAACTAAGGAATGTTTCTTTCGTATGACTGTATGAATCGACCTGTAAATTTATTGTATGACTTAAATTGATATTTTGAAATAGCCATGATTTTATATTTCGAGTTTCTTTATAATTCTTTAAATTGTATTCCCAAAAGTCTCTGAATTTGGATTAACTTTTCTACATGTCGCAACAACACAAACATTAAAGTTTGTATTAAAAAGTAAAGCAGCATGTAAGAATAATCAGTATTAAGTATATTTAATGATAAAAAGTAATGTTCTTTCAAGTCATTTAGCAGCGATTCTTCTTTTTTTGCTTTGCCCTTTTCAAAGCTATTTGATGCAGATTAATTTTATCTAGAAGTATCGAGGAATTGAGTCATTTTTGCTCTTAACCGAAGGAAATTACTAAAAGTTTTCGGAGGGCCAAATGTCCTTTCGTCGTCTCTTACAATTAAAATGGGTGATTTTTGAGCGAGTCCGATTTGTAAGATGAAACACTCTTTTTTGATGAATCAAATACTTCTGCTGCAGCTTTATGTTTACTGGCTTCTCAGCAGCTTTATCATAGCAATTTATGATAAGGAGTTAAGGACATTTACAAATAATAGGAGGATTTTAATGATAGGGCAATCATTTTTTATGCCAGTTGTTTTATCCACGTAATTAACAAATATGAACTTACCTTTACAAGCCAATGTTAAAATCTTTTCTTGTCGGCATTGATGCTTGTGTTACTTACGGAAAAATCGCTTAATTTCACTGAGAGAAAATGCAGCCCATCTTTCTCTCAAAATAGCTACAATTATACAATTTCTTTTGCACTTAGGTACTTTGCATTCACATTTTTAAAGCTTGAAGATCGATGAGAAGCTCACATCCATTGATGCTAACTGCTACGGCCGAGTAAAAGCTGGCAAAATTTGTCAACGAAAGGAAAACTCTTGTTGAATCTTGAAAGCTCTGTGAACGCAAATTTTGATTATTGACCTCTTGCATGGTACTTTTCATCAGCTAAATTTTTGCAAAAAAATGAAAAGATCCAAGAATGTGCCCTTAGATTTCTATACAATGATCGATTCACCTGTTACAGTGACTTAGTTGCAAATCAGAAAAGGGTACGATGCATGTTTCTTGTGTGAGAGTCTTTGTAATGAAAGTTTCAAGAAACTGAACAACCTAGATCCGTCTTTCATGCAAAACTTCTACAAAATTAGATCCTCTGCTTACTCTACAGTTTGTATGTGTGCCAGTACCTTTGAGTATTCAATCATTTATTTGTGTAGTTACTTATCGCTTCGGATTAGTTTGCTTTGTATTTATGATATTGCATATGGCAAGATAGAAGAAAATGGTCGATGAAAAACGAGTACAACAACAACAACTTTCCTATGCTTTTTGGTTCGTTTAAAACTTAACTGATTTAGACCGAAACTTTCCACTAGTGTGATTTCATCGCGGACAATATAAGATGGCTTGATCTTTTGTCTACGTGGCTTTGCCAGCAATTTCTCGGTAGTTTCAGCTGAGTGCATTAGCTACAACAATTTCGTTTCTCGGTTTATAAATGAAAGTATCAGCTTAAATCGTTAAATTCGCGGAGGAGCTTTCAGAAATGGCCTCGAGTGGTTTGTGATCATTCTCCACCTCAAATTGTTGGCCAGAGAAGAACTGATGAAACGTTTCAAATCCAATTACAATACCAAGTGTCTCTGCCAGCGAAGGCCACATGTTTCCAATACTACAGTGTTTCTGCGGAGAGATGTTTTTAAACAAGTTGAACTGCATATGTACTTGATTAAACACTCTTATAGATGTTCTAAGCTCTCGCTGGCTTTCTGTCACAGCTCTGGTCTTCTATGGGTTTGGCTTTACTTCTTCAGATGCGATTGCAGGTAACATCAGACACACCAAAGACAGATTTATCTTATTCAACTTTAGTCCACAATCACAAATAAGCGGACGAACATATTTGACAGACCAATTGTCAAAAACACTTTGTTGTCCGAAAGTTAACCATTCATTTCTGGCCGCTGGATCTAACGGTCAAGAGGTTCCTGAAATCAAAGTTTGGAGAGTGATATGCTAGGAGTATGGAGGCCCTAATCAATAACGGAATTGATTGCTAAACAACCCTGAAATGATAAAAAAGGTCTTCAAATTGCAAGGATCGATGATGTATTGCTCACTAAGATGGAACCAGAAAACCCTTTTGGAGATCTAGATTAGATAATAAATTTATCATGAACTAAACCATTATCGGTTCATCTTTTCTTTTACATTTTTGGCAACCTTCACAGGTTTCATTTCTGCCTGATTATCTTGTTTGTCCGAAAGTTGTTTTGTCCATAATTATAAAAAACAGCCAGAAAGTTTTATGTCCGAAGGCTTTGAGTCCGAAATTTTTCAGTTGCAATGAAAGCGGTTATTATGCTCTGTCTTCCCCCAGACTCTGACATCGTGTTATGCACTCTGCAGGCTTTCTATAGCCTAAAACATCTTTGCCACTTCAGCTTGACATACTACTGAGTCATAGAAGTAAACCAAACACTACAGCATACGGATTAGACACTGAATGTTATAGATGTCAAGAAGAATGGAACTCAATTCCCACAGAAATTACCTCGAGCTCAATTATAAGCACCTTCACAGCAAGCATCAAAACTATGTCACCGATTTTGTGCTCATGGCGCATTGGAAACCTTTTTAGGACAAGTGAGCTTTATAAAATGACAGGGAACCTACTGCACATTTCTGTATTTTATTAGTAATTCATTATTTTACCAATATTATACCTATATTATACCAATACAATACAATATTAGTATACAATACAACCGACCACTATGCTCCACTCCTTTTTAATGAAATCTGAAAATCTCTATTTCATCTCACCTCATAAAATTCAACCTAAATTAGAAGCTGCCGTGTCCCCCCTTCTTTTCCACTTTCGTGTAATTTTTCTATTTTTTCTTGTAATTTTGTTCTGTTACTCTTGCTTATAATTTTTTTAAATTCAGATTGTATAATATTAATGTATATCACAAGCGTATGTAATAGGGCACTGGGCTCGATAACCTTTCAGGCTTATCTCGGTGTCCTAGGCAACACTCACGGACATGCTATTTTGAATTCTTTAATTCTTCTTTATTTTTAAGACAATAAGTAAAGATATTTTTAATAAACACGCTGTAAAAATGTTGCTTAATGAAAATAAATTTGAATTTGAATTTATTACTGTTATCGTATTCGGTATTTGTTAATTTATTAATTTGGTTTTAATCAGCTTTAATCTAGCTACTAGTGTATGATTTCCAACTTAAAAGAAAGTAAAAGCACATATGACTCGCTAGATAGAAGTACATAATATCAGGGCTCTCTCTCTATTGACAGTCGTTATACATTTGTTAAGACTTTCGCCTATCTTTCGCTGGTTCTACGGATAGTTGTCGGTGTCCAAGAGAAAAGCCAAGAAAAAGAATCCCTCTAGCGCTCAGCAATCTCTGTTCATCACATAATTCTCGTTTCTCTAGGCTTGAATACGAATACTACTGGTAATTTCACATGTTTTTATATGTTCCAACAAGGAATTACCGAAATATCAACCAATAACAAGCGTTCTTACAATTTACGTAAATTTGTCCTGTGAATACTTATAACAATCACGGGTTTGATAATTATTAACTGTCCTCATTTTCACGAGGAGGAATTTGCGTATAAACGTTAACTAAACAATACATACTGCGTAAAACAGCAATGATTCATTCCTATTTAAGCATTTGATAGTGCAAGCATACAACCACGTAATGTGGAATCTACGTAAACATGACTAACACGGAACCATGCTGCAAAGCAAGGGTTACTAAATGGATAAGAGGGCTGGGAAAATCCACACTCTCCCCTCCTTGACCAGCTATGAGTCGAGCATAATGCGGGTTTTCCAACTAGCATCCTTAGCAGCTGCGCGTTGCGGCCTAACCCTGATGAGGCTCTCATTCCTTGCATCCCTTTCTCCTGTGGTATTCTTACTTTCCTCGCCATTCTCATTCCCTTCCTTCTTCAACTCGAGAGGAAAAAGTTTCTGTAAGTTCTACTTAAATAATCTTTCTTACCCTTGGAGCAAGTCCTTACTTTTGCTCCTCTGATAACTCCATCCTTCCCATGAATTAGATTTTCAATTTGTCCCATTTTCCATTGGTTGCGCTTCAAATTGTCTTCTTTTATCAAAACAATGTCTCCTCGTTGAATGTTTGCTTCCCCTGTGCCTCTATGTCTGTGATGTTCCCTAAGGTCAACTAGATATTCATTTTTCCATCGAGAAGCAAAATGGTTGAGCTTTTTAATGAGATACCAAAACCGTTTTTTGCATATGGCTGCATTTTCATCGACCTCATTAGCATCAAATTCTAGATTATTTGCTAGCAAAGGTAATCTCCTACCATGCAATAAATGATTTGGTGTCAGGGGCTCATAACCAATCTCATCATAAATATGTCAATGGCCTAGAGTTAAGTATACCTTCAACTTCTAGTAGTGTGGTGTTTAATTCATCCAAGGAAAGTCTTGCATTCCCTAGAACCTTTCTTAGACAAGACTTTACAGATCCTACAAGACGCTAAAAATATCCACCCCACCAAAGGCTTCGCTCAAGATTAAATCGCCATGTTATCCTTTTGTCCTGTAGGAAGGAAAATACTGAAGGATTCTTAGCAAGAGTGCTCAGGAACTAAGCAGCAAATTTGAAAGTTTTAGCATTATCACTATTAATGAGTGTACCTCTACGTGCAGTAAACCTTCGCAGACTCCTTAGAAAAGCTGGACCAGATAAATCTATAACTAAATCAAGATGTAATGCTCTTGAGGTACAACAGGTATCCTTGTAAAAGGGTGGACCGGCAAAGTCAATACCAACATTTGTGAATGGTGGCACATCCTTCACTCTAAAGTCTGGCAAGGGTCCTTCTATAGATCTATTATATGGCCTTCCTTGTTTGTGAATACACACAATACACTTGCTCAAAATTCTTTTTACATATTGTCTTCCCCCTGGAACCCAAAACCTAGAACGCAGTTCTGCTAGGGTTGCCTTCAGACCTAAGTGTCCAACTCTGTGGTGGCAATCTTGTATTACAAGATCAGTAAATGTGTTATCTCTTGGTAATAAAATTGGAAATTTAGCTTCTATGTCCAAATCAGAGTTACTTAGCCTACCTTTGCAAATCAACATGTTGTCCTTTTCTACAACGCCTAGTTGCACAGCAAGTAATTTAAAGTTACCTGATTTCTTCATTTGTTCTTGTGTATCTCTGATCCAATGTGCTTCTGCTTCACATATTTCAGTTGCAGTTAAACCATCTGTTTGCCTTTCTTCCTTTGACAGCCTTATGTTTCGAAGAAAGCGCAGAACTTATGCAGAAACCTTGTACAATTTGGCCAAAGTGCTGAATCTTTTAGCATCTATGATATTTCCAAAATGCCTCTCTGAGTCTTGTGCTACTGCTAAAGCATTTGTTTTCCTCTTCTTTTCTTCTTCTATTTCCTGTGAATCAGAAAGCAATAATTGTTTAGGCCAATGTTTTTTCCCCATAACTAACCAATGGGGGCCTTGCCACCACAACCTACTGGTATTCAATGCACCGGGTGTTACACCTCTGGAGCCTAAATCTGCAGGGTTGCAGATACCTGCACAATGACCCCAGTTCCTTTTATCTGAAATCTGTAATATCTCATTAACACGGTGCTGGACAAATTGTTTCCTGAGCCCTTGATTGTTGATCCAGTAAAGAGCAGTGTTTGAATCTAACCAATATCTGCATCCATCAATTTTCACCTGAGGGCTCAATGCTTTATAAACAGTGTCCATTAGTGTTGACAATATACGTCCAGACATAAGCGCAAGTCTAGGAATACTGAGTTGTTTCAATGGGGCTACCCTTGTTTTTGCACAAATAAGCCTAGAAAAAATACCATCATCAGTTTCATAGACGAGATAGATCACTGCACAGTATGCATTTTTACTAGCATCTGCAAATCCATGGAGATAGCAAGATTTGACAGTACCTGTTTCCTTACCATATAAGCACCTGGGCAAAGAGATATTTCCAGTTTCTTTTAGATCAGACACAATTCTATCAAAGACTTCCTTGTGATCCTTAGGTACCTTATCGTCCCATCCAAGTTTCAAAGTGCAGAGTTCCTGGAAAAGAATCTTAAAGGAGAACTGACACGCAAAAATAAGTTTGGCTAAAACGGTAGTTTGTGACAAGCAAATTCCTGGATCGAAAAAAATTTTTAAATCACAGTTACCGTTTTTGAAATACAGGCGTTTTAAGTTGAGAAACG